TTAAGCCATGCATTAGGCCTGGTCTCGTTCGCTCCATAAGACATAGAAATAAACTACATAAAAAATGTAAATTCGAACCAGGAAATACGGTACTTTCTGTATCTCACAAGAGATACAGAAATTACTGTAATAACCATTTGAAAAAATTAAAATTAGATTAAGAAAAACAGAATTACAAAAAGCAGGTAAAATAGTAAACTCATTTGGAAATTTATCAAAAATATTAGCTCTCACTCAAAAAACAAGATTCACCGCTTGATCTATTATCAACAGAAATAAGCCCCATCGATGCAATAAATAAAATCAACACACCTTTTGCTGATGTTGGCAGAAATTTAACAAAAAAGATTGTAAACTCAAATAGCTCTATCTCTAATCATATCCCTAAATAGTCTTTTTTTTCGTTGACGGGGTGGAAAATCCCTTCGGATCTCCTGCTCCTCGGGGACTCATGAGCCAGGAGTATGTTGTAATTCCACTAAAAACCACCCCGACAGCCGGCCTCAGGTGTCCTACTCTGGGGAGGACCCGGACGTTAAGACCATTTTACTCCCACTGGAACGTGCTCAAAGAGCAATACTAAAAGTAGCCACCTGTCACCCATTTAGGTTCCCTACTCATCAACTCTATCTGGAATGCTAAGTATTAACAGTTCGACAGTTATGTATACAGCAACATCATACTAAAACAACATGCGGAACTACCATTTAATCCTATGTTCTTAGACAAGAGAAGGAACGACATTGTATGTATGTGTCAAACCCCAAACAACGCATACGTACATTAACAAATTTTATTCCTTCTTAGCACCATATTTATATAATAGGAATAAACAAAGTTCTGAAAATATATGCCGTATCGTATACAGTGTCAAACTCTAGTAGAAGAATATTTAGGTAAGCTTAACTAAGCAGACACAGAAAACATCTTAGCAATTTTAAAATGATATAATTTTACCTATAATTAGGTTATTAAACAATAAGTAATATATATTTGTGTATACAAATCAGTCTGAAGTAATTTACATGATTAATCTATGAGAACTTTAACATAGGAACATTCTGTTACTAACATACATTCAGTCAAAAAAGTATCGGGAATGGATGATTTGTTCATGGTTCCAAATTCAAATTTTTGTTTTTTTTTGTTGTTGTTAGATTGCCAAACTGTTTTCCATTTTGGCGCGGCGTTTAAATTGCATCTGTTATTTATATTAAATACAGTGCTGTTTTTAGTTATATCATATCTAGTGTGTATTGCGAATTTTATAATGGACAAAAACATCGAACAGAGTTTGTCTTAAATATTGCATCGCCAATGGAATTTCGTGTTCGAAGTCACTGAAAATGTTACAGAAGGCTTACGGTGTAATAGTACGACTTTATCAAAAACACGTGCTTATGAGTGGTACAAAGCGTTCAAAAGCGGTCGAGATGTTATGTAAGATTTGCCTCGCTCTGGTAGGCCATCAACGTCTGCAACTTAAGGTAACATAGCAAAAGTGAAGGAAATCATCATCATCATCATCATCATCAGCCTATCGCAGTCCACTGCTGGACATAGGCCTCTCCCATTGCACGCCACTTAGATCGATTTTGGGCTTCTCGCATCCAGCTCCTGCCAGCCATCTTGCGCAAATCGTCACTCCACCTGGCCTGTGGGCGTCCTACACTACGTTTGCCGAGACGCGGTCTCCACTCAAGAACTCGTTTTCCCCAACGGTTATCGGTTCTGCGGCTAATATGGCCAGCCCACTGCCACTTCAGCTTGCTGATCCGGTACGCTATGTCGGTGACCTTAGTTCTCTGCCGGATCACCTCATTTCTGATGCGATCCCTTAGAGAAACGCCGAGCATAGCCCTTTCCATAGCACGTTGAGCGACTTTGAACTTGTGGACCAGCCGTACCGTAAGTGTCCACGTTTCAGCTCCGTATGTCATGACGGGTAGGACGCACTCATTAAAGACTTGAAGACTTTAAGACTTTAAGTGAAGGAAATAGTGACTGAAAATCCTCATTCAACTTTGAGAGAGATAGCCGCCGAACTTTCTGTATCTCACGAGTCGAACCGTACCATTTTAACTAATAATTTGGGTATGAAACATGTTACCCCTCGGCTAATCCCAAAAGACCTGAATTTTCTCCAAAAACTCAATCGCATGAGAGTCGCTGAGGACATGCTAGAACGAGTCAATTCCGACCCAACATTCATTAATCGCATTGTTACTGGTGACGAGACGTGGGTTTAGGAGTTTGACATGTAAACTAGTCAACAAGCTTCGGAGTGGCGCCTTCCAACTGAACCGAAACCGAAAAAACCCCGCCAAAGTCGATCAAAAGTCAAAGTCATGTTGACTGTTTTCTTTGACTATCGCGGTGTTGTGCTCGGAATTCTTGCCGGAAGATCAAACGGTAAATAGAGAATATTATTTGAGCGTTATGCGGCATTTTATATTTGGCAAAAGAGCAAATTCGACGAAAAAGGCCAGATTTGTGGAAAGAAAATTCTTGGATTTTGCACAACAATAATACGCCTTCGCACAAGGCCATCATTGTGAACTATTTTTGGCCAAACACTCAACAAATACCATCGAGCAACCATCAGATATGGCTCTAGCCGACTTCTTTCTTTTTCCTAAACTCAAATTACCACTTCGTGGCACCCGTTTTCAATCGGTAGAGGACATAAAGGAGTATTCGCGGCGAGAACTAAACTCAATTCCGGAAACAGCGTTTAAAAAATGTTTTGATGATTGGATTATTCGTTGGCGTAAGTGTATCGTTTCTGAAGGAGCATACTTTGAAGGTGATAAAATAAATTTGGATGAATAACAAACATTTTGTGTATTATTGATCTTTTTCCGGTACTTTCTTGACAGAGTAGTAGTCAAGCGACTGCCTGAAACACAGGTCTCACACCTAGCTCAGGCCATTTGCGAAAGAATTCTTAATATCCTGTTTTTACCTCTTTATAGTCACTCTTGCACATTTTAGAATAGTCATATACTAGTTTTATGTTAGCTTTAGTAACAAACTTTATATAGGAATCTAATGACAATAAGATGAAAACTATATACAAAATGTAACCAAGACTAATCTGATTCTGCAAATACATTTTATTTTAGTTTATTTAAACCTTCCTCTTGAGTCACTTTCTCTGTTGGTGAAAACCGCATTAAAATCTAAGCGTGCAACACAAAAAGGCGACTATACTATAAGAATCGCCAATTGTGTTGCTGAGCGCAATACTCGAGAAAGGATCGACCAATTCGGCTAATTTTTTTTCCATATTTTCGTTGAAGCAAAAGGAAGTTTCTTCTCATACAAACCACAGAGTAAATTACAACACCTGTCCATTAATGCCAAACATTTAACGTCAATTAAAATAAAACAAAGCCGCACTAGAATTTTATGTACGAGTATGGTAAGCCTTCGAGTTGATTAGGCAGTATGTATGTTAATGTGACCAAGATAAAGTTCGAAGAAAAGTGTTCACATTGAAATAAGTTTTATTTATTTACTTTTCTATGGGACTGCGACAGGCCAATAACTTTTGGCAGAACGAAGTCTGCCGGGATGGCTGGTTAATTATATAATTAATCTATTTATTTATTTATTTATCTCTAAATCGATCCAGGGCTTTATAGCTATATGCGGTCTATCTATTAGTGCTATATTTATATCTTGATCTTTAGTTATATTGAAATTTCTTTAACATAAGGTAAACAAAAGATGCGTAAATAGGTTTAACGTATCTTTTCTAGATAAGTTTCCTTTGACAAGGTGAAACGTGAACTGAGATAAATATAAAATACAGACGATAATAGTGATAAAACGATAGGTTCAAGTACCGTTTACTGATATTCAAATTCTCATCTTATCGTGGATCTCTTTAGCTCATATCGGCCCCCAAGTGTCTGTTATACCTACAAAGGGGCTCCCCGATATTTTCAACGTGTTTACAATTTGCAGACTGTTATTTTAACTTATATTGATGTTCAATTCCTTAACAATATATAGTTCGCCCTACACCTTGCCAAAGGAGTAGTAAATAAAAATCATGTTTTAAATCAAATTAAGGATATATTAATATGTGATAAATATAATATCAACACAGGCCCTTGTTCTAGTGGTTAGTGATGCTGACTGCTAAGATTGGATTCGGTTCCCACCCACGACAAATATCGTGTGATGAGCACGATCTATTTGTGCTGTGTCTACAGTCTACATAATTTATCTACAGATAATGTGCAATTAGGAATATATAACCTATCTATATCTATATGTTTATCAGCAGTCTGGTGACCATAGTATAAGCTCTGACAAGTTTGCTATCAGACAGCCGTCTATGAGAGGTGTGAGGCTGTATTATAATATACTAATTGATGTCCCTGTCCCAGTGGCCTCTCTGATCACACATTCGACTATGATCCCGGCCTGTTCGAACTGCAGTTTCAGGCCTGTTTCCTATCCTAGACTTGGTGTATCCATTAACCTTCCTCGCCTATCTTCAACACCGATTAATCTTCTTCCTTTGTCCCGTTTGAACACGTATTCGACATTTCCAAGAACGGACGGTCGACCATCAAATAAACCAGCCTAAACCCTTGTCTTTCAATTATCTTTCAATCAAATTATAGTAGATTCATTCATACTTTCATGAAACTAAATTTTATTAAAAAAATAGATACATGCAAATTCAAGCGACGGGATGACATTAGACTAGACTGCAATACGAGTAAGTGACGAATATGACATGATTACTACCATGCATATTAAACTTATAATAAAATAGAAATTAAACAAAAAAGACACAAGGTCCCAGAAACTGATTAGATTGATAGAATATTTGTAAAATATGAATAAATTAAGAATATTATTTGTTGATACGGAGTATACTTTTCCAAATAAAGAAATCAGAGTTGGTAAATTACCCTCGATTCTTTTATGCCGGTACTTGGTGACTGACCATGTCTTAATAATAATGGTTTTTCTTTCAGGAAAACCTGTCACAGAAGTGAAAGGGGACTTCATTCAAAAAGTTACAGGATCTTTCGGCAGATATCACCTCTGGCTATGCCTGTTAATCTTTTTAACAAAGTTCCCGGTTGCAATTCATCAGATGGCCATTTTGTTTTTGGCACCACCAGTCACGTACATTTGCGGCGATTCCGGTAACAGTACATGTCCTTGTGCGGACCCTGTATACGATACGTCTATATTCACGAGAACAATTACAATGGAATGGGACTTGATATGTGACAGAAAATGGCTTCAAAGTTTAACCCAGACGTTATTTCAGTTAGGTACCCTAATAGGAAGTGTCGTGTTTGGAATTGCTTCTGACAGGTGATTTAACTTTTTGACTATATTTTTATTAATTTCGCAATGGATGAAAAACTAATAGTAATAACCATGTTTTTAGATTTGGAAGAAGGAATCCTCTTCTAGTAGCTGTGGTTATGCAAATATCAGCCGGTGTTGCGGCAGCATACGTCCCAGAATTTTGGACATTTACATTCTTACGGTTTTTGGTTGGAGCATCAGTTGGAGGCACAATGGTCACCGGATTTGTGATCATTATGGAATTCGTCGGAACGCAGTACCGAGATGTTGTTTCAGTAGTTTATCAAATACCATTTAACCTAGGCCATATGTTGCTACCAGTATTTGGTTATTTTTATAGAGATTATTCCGACTTTCAGCTAGCCATATCCGTGCCAGTTACTATTTTATTAATGTATTTCTTCTTAGTACCCGAAACGCCAAGATGGCTTATAGCTATGAAGCGAACAGATGAGGCAATCAAATCATTGGAACGAGTAGCTAAAGTGTAAGTTTTTACTGGTATCATTATTTTATAATATTACAAAGAGTTAAAGTGAGAGCTCAGTAAGAATGGTTTGACTATACATTTTAGTCACTATCTAAGGCCATATAATATAAATCTCTATACGTATTTCTTTAGGTACGTATTATATGAGTAGAAGGTCATGCCAATTTACATTGGCATTTCACAGGCTTAATTGTTAAGGGGATTTCAGACATATGCAAAACATATGTATAAATAAGAACAGGTCATCTACTAGTACCGTGGTGTTTAGTACAGTCACGCGTCATAACTTTCATACTGTGTTAATTTAATTATTATATAGAAAAAGCTTAAGCATGACTGTTATTTTATATATACAGATGGATTGGTTACGTGACCTTATCTCTGTAATATAACTATAGTCCATGTAATCTAAGAGGTACCGTTTGACGTTTTATACTTTTCAAGCCCAAACAGCTTTGTATAGGCGTAACTCGCATAATTAAAATCAACTTTGCCGTAGAACCATGGAATTATGAAGCTATTTCTGTTTTATTACAAGATGTACAATTCTTTTTCAAATTTAAATGTAAATCTTTTAAACAAAGCAAAAAAAAACAAATATACAATAAATAAATATATTTTTTTAGACTTCGTTTCAAAGTCACGTAGTTAGGTCCTGTACCGTAATGTTGTGAATCTTCAAATTCTGTTGTACCCGAATAATCATTAAAATGTAAAAAAAATCGAACAGACATCTTTTAGTATTTACAATACGCGCCATAGAAGTCTGCGTCAATGAAGTTAGCTTTAAACCGAATATTGCGCAGATACTCTGGCAAACAAACGTACTGAGCATAAAAATGCATTTTTTTTTGCGTTTTTATGCATTTCTATTAATATGATAAGTTTTGTGGCCTCGTTCGCTTCAGGAAAGATTCAGACAGATGTACAGTGTAATCGTGTTGAAATTCTCTCCATGTAATTTTCCTTAATATGTCAACACATACTGATAACAAAAAAACAGTTGATATGCAGAGGAAACAGTGTGAGTGATAGCACACAGCCTTCGGGACACCAGCATTGACTGATTTCAAGTCGGAGCATGCACCGTCGATAACGACCTTAATGCTTCTACCTGCAAGGAAACTGGTGACCCAGTTACATAATTTCTTTGGAAGCATATAGGAAGAGAGCTTCGAGAGAAGCGCCCTATGCCACACCCGCTCGAAGGTCTTCGCTATGTCCAAGTTTACCACACAAGCCTCTCCCTCAGTCTCGATCGCCTGTGCCCACCGGTGTGTTAGATAAACGAGAAGATCACCAGCTGAGCGACCCCGGCGAAAACCATATTGTCCGTCATTGAGTAGCTGGTGATTTTCCAAGTACCGGAGGAGCTGGCAGTTGATTACAGATTCCGTAATCTTAGAGAACAAGGGAGTTATGGCTATAGGCCTGTAGTTGGAGAAATCAGAGCGGTCACCTTTTTTAGGGATCGGGTCCACAAACGCTACCTTCCAGGAGTTCGGAACGACGCCTAGGGAGTAGTAGAGTCAAAATAGGCAAGTTAAAAGCGGCGCCAACTGCGGAGCACACGTCTTCAGCACGATAAGGGAGATTTCATGGGGCCTACTCGACTTATGAATATCGAGGGAAAAGAGTGCTTTACGCACTGATTTCTGTGTATTACTTTTTTAGCGTGCTGGTGTTGACATCACCTTTGGCCCATGCTTGGTAACATTCCTACTTTCGGCAGGACACCGTTTTGCAGGATCTGTTGAACCAAGGCTTGGATCTGCCACCAATGGGAATGAGTGTAGATGGTTTTTTTTATTTTTTATATGTGATGCAAGCAATTTTCAACCTAATGATCACCCTCAAAATCTAACTTCTTTTTTATATTCGTGATCAGCGTCATTTATCGATGCCAAAAAACAAATATTAAGAGAAATATCAAAAGTGATAATTACACATAGTATCTATTTGTTGGACTTGGGTGAATATATAACATACTAGAGGGAATATACTATGTGCTGAACACGGCTGGTAGTGTGTGTGTGTGTGTGTGTGTGTTTTTATGAGATGTTTATTTGATTTTACCGAACATGAATTGTCTACATTACTAATATAGATTCACTAATAAAATATAAGATATAATAATATAAGGGCTTATACAGTAATATATATAAATCTGTAAAACTGTAATCGATTTGTAAATACAAAGAAATGATATTGATATCTCTTAAGAATCAGATATTGTAGCAATCTATTTCTTCGACCACCTCCTTATTCTTTAATCTGTCAGAACTTTCAAATGGTACCTCTTAAGATTAGATGGACTATAATAGGGTTTTAATATACTAAATACTATTAAAATTTTACAGAAACAAACGTCCGACAGAGAATATTAAAGCTGACGTTGAAGCCTACCAAGCATCTATAGAAAAACATCAACTGAAAAAAGGCAATGTATTTGACCTTTTCCGTACACCAAACTTAAGGAAGAATATTATAGCTATGGCATTTAACTGGATGGCATGCAGCTATTGTTTCTATGGAGTATCTCAGTACGTTGGGCAACTAAGTGGCAACGTTTTCATTAACGTCGCATCTAGCGCCAGTGTCACATTACTAGGAACTATTCTAGCAATCGGTATTGTAAAAATTTTAGGAAGAAAAACTATTGTGATTGTATTTCACTTGATTTGTGCCCTCTGTTTATTCATATTAGCCGTCATACCTGAGGGGGTCGGCTCTGTAGTGTTGGCGAGTATTGGCGTTGTAGCCAGTTTTATCGTATTTGTAGTTGTTTATTTATATTGTACGGAATTATTCCCTACAGTGGTACGAAATGCTGCGATAGGTATTTCATCAATGTCAGCCCGTATTGGCTCTATGATAGCTCCTTTCGTGATTGAAATGAGAGATATTGCATTATGGATGCCTCCACTTGCTTTTGCTATACTGCCTCTTATTGCCGCCTTTGTAACATTTCTGTTACCCGAAACAAAAGGCTGTGAATTAACAACTACAATAGAAGAAGGCGAGCAGTTCGGGAAAAAGACACGATCTCAAACTAAGAAATAATGTGCATAGAAATAATTTTTAGGAAATGTGTAACCGACTGGTAGGTGAACTTTACATTTGTAATTGACAACTACTGTCAATAAAGTGAGAAATAGTTACTTTGTTGAGTCAATAAGGTCAGTTTCATCAGCACCAATTTCAACATCTACAAGAATATTTAAAAGAAATATCTAAGACCGGAGCGTAAACATAATTATAATTCACTCCTTAGAGCTAAGCAACTAAACATAGAAATATGATAAAAGATAAAATTAAGTACCTACCTGTTACAGAAAAATGACTTTATATCCAGAAATATCTTAACACTAAGTATTTGTTCAGCTTCTTTAGACTTTAAACGTTTCAGCTACGTACGTTTTACGTACCTATATATGTTGTTAGACCACACAATTCGAAATAATAGAAATATTAATGTTGAACACGCGTTTAGTAAAGAGTTCCTCAAGTCTTTGTCGGTTATAAATTGAACGATACTGTATTAAAGACCACTAATTGTGACTAGTTAAAATTTAAAGAAAATAAAGGAAGCGTGTTTTTAACACGTCTACTAGTAGCGTAGGATACAATAATGATAGAAATAATGATTTGATCGTGTCACGTAGATTACTTGTTCCGGTCACGTTCGCTATTAATCATACTGTACCTAAAGAACTATAATACACATCAATCTGTCATTCATTCGGTAGTAATTTACGTATAATGTGAAATCTTAGGTTTTAGTTCAAAATAATAAAGAAGAGAAGATGTAAATACGACTAGAATGTTTAACTACTTATTACATTTCGTAGTATTTTGCAAAAAAAGCTATTTAATACTTATCTCTACGGTATCTAAACACAGATATTAATACTGTACGTATTACAGCATTTATATTATGAGGCATAAATCCTCAAAAATGTTTTTCATTCATGTACTTTTTATATATTTCATTTGTCAACACTCATAATGCCTTATTACCAATAAATACACCAATGTGGAACTAACGAATGGATTTGGTTTAACTTTAAGCCGAAGTAAAGCAATGGAAATTGATGTATGAACTTAGTTATTTCGTTATTCCACTTTTGTTGGGGTGAAACACCTGTAAAGATTCATTCATATTTAGTTAAGTTTTGCTATTTTAAACGTGTTCATGTAGACGAACAAATTGTTGTAGACACTGTTGTAATTGTAAAGAGAAAATTTTGTGGCTTCATAAGAAAGAAATGTAAACTGTACTACATATAGTTTTAAAAAAAGGCGGATAACACTAACATTGAAGAAATAGCTGATAATATGAATTCGACACTGGCGAATAAATTTTCAGAGTATTTTATGAGAAGTGTTGAAATGTTCCGAAAAAAGAAAATAAATAAAATTAAACACTGAAATTGTTGTTGTTTATTTCTATTAAACTACAATATTATACCGAGTCATATCTTTTTCAAATTAATTAATTTATTTATTTACTTAACACATGTAGGTATGTATGAATGTTGTTTTCGTTAGCTTTACATTGTAATATATTGACGAAGTCTACATTTTGCCCGCAGCATGGCTTGTTGTTTTTAGAAGGAGGTACTTACGCTCTTTTCTTGAAGGTTTGAAGGTCTTATCGGTCCGGAAATACCGCAGACGATAACCCGTTCCACAGAGTGGTTGTGGGAGGCAACAAATGTCTCGAAAAGCGCACACAACTATCCAGGTGATTAGGGTGAAAATTTTGACGTGTGGAACAATGGCGGAAAGTTGCGCCTGTTATTAGTCCGAACTACGCACTCTCCATGATATATGCGAAAGAGAATGCAGAGTGAAGCCAAGGATATTATTATTAACGATTCGAGTCGCTTTTCGTTGTATGCAGTCTGGAGGGAGAAGCTGGTACTGAGTTGCCCCTGCATAGAGATGAGAACAATATTCCATATGCGGCCGGCCTTGCGCCTTATAGATTGTTGAAGGCGGTGGGCCGAAGTGAAATACTGCCTCGATCTGTTCAGCACATCGAGCTTCTTCGAGGCAAATTTGACCTTACCCTCTAAGTTAGGGAGGTGCTTTTAAACCCCAGTGATACGACAAATGGTATCTTCCTTGCGGTATACGCACAGTCCTGTGTCTTTTTTGACTTGAACTTGTCTAGATTAAATAATAATAATAATAAGACTCACCACCCACGTTCATCAGTTATGGCTCTGGCTAAAGAGAATTGGACACAAAGTTGACAACGCCCCGGACGTTCACCCCAAAACAATTGTTACAATTGAAGATCGATAACAACGTAGTAACCACTTTAATCCGGCAGTATAAGGTTATATTAACTTATATTACTTATTTTTACTTAGTTAATAATACTACAATTACGCACTACTAAAATTCCTAATGACAATATGATACAATAATTTAATTTAGTCAGTAATGAACATTAACTTCGACGCCAATTAGTTACTTAAACTGCTAAATAGAATAAAATGGCTTTGTAAATTAAAAGTACCTACGGTTTGTCTTGTTTATTTAAGAATAACGTTTTTTTTACTTCTATGCAATTGTCTTAAACTTTGAAACTTAAAAATGACGTGGCTCACAAGAAATATAAATTTGAAAAATAACAGTTTTTTTCAAAGGTGGTAGAATTACAGTAACTGTCATTAATATTTTATTGTCTATGATGCCTATGCTGTCATATCAGTGGCATATCCATGCACGAGTAGTTTATAAGGTAATAATAATAAAACAATAATTACTGCGTAAATAGAAGATTACTAACCTTCTTGTAAATACTTAAATATATACTAATAAAGATAAAAGAAAGTAGGTATATCTTATTACCGCGAACAGTTTTCACAGTGAATGAATGACATTGCCGAGTCTTTTGTGGCACTTAAAGATAATCTTCACATCTTAAATTCTATGGAAACGATGATATCCAGAACGTATCGAATAGGTATTGTTATCTAAAGACGTTCTTAAACTTATGTACCAAAACTATATTTTCAAAAAATTGAATAACAAGCTTTGAAAACGCTTTGAAACATTGAATAGCACCTTTATAAGAAATACTATTTACGACCATCAGCTTCATAATGATATTTATTTCTTCATCTAGTTTCAAACTAAGCACTTTAGCACTTGTACTGTGAAAGCTAGATTGACTGATACATATTTTATACTTTTTTTGTAAATACCATAGAAATAGTATATTATTACTATTATTACGGTTTCTGTGGTAAATACATACATATGGTATATAGAAAACACCCCAAACTCCGAATCAAATATTTGCAGATCATACAAACATTTGGTCCTACTCGGGAATCGAACCCGAGACCTCAGTACAGCAGTCGCATACGCTACAACTTCACCACCGAGGTAGTCAAATAATGCTACATTATATTAAACACGAGAAGGTTAATTCTCGTAATAACAGTTCGGTCTCAATTCAGTTTCGATCAACTTTCGATCTCACAACAACAATCTCTGTTATAAAAGGTATTTTCGTAGTGAAGTATTAAACATTCAACGTTGACTCTAATGTGATTATATTGTATTGTAACCGAAAATTTAATCGGTAATCTGCAAGTCTTAGTACTCATAATACTTTACTATTTAACTACGAAAATACCTTTTATAACAGTGGTGAGATCGAAAATTGATCGGAACTGAATTGTGACCGAACTTTTATTACGTTGGTTTGGCCTTCTGTTTTCATGAAGATCTTAATATTCATTTATCAGGCCTTTATTGAGGGAGACCCACGTTTAGGTATATTGGGGCTAGCTCAACCAGAATGATGATAACACGACCTCACTGGAAAGCGCTGCTAAGCACTTCTTTCGTTAGTTTTCAAGCGTAAATGAGGTCCCTCGAGGATTAACCCTCCTTATACTCAATAGGGGCAAAACGTATGGTCGGGTCATCACTACCCATGGACATCTTTAACTCAGCAGTCACCAGTGTATTGCCGGTCTCTGAAGTGGGAGTGCGCGAGTACGTTAGTATCGTAAGCAATTTTGCAAATAAAAACAGTAATTTTTGTCACGTGTCACTGTCAATCACATTTGAATGCAATGGCGTGACACTCGACAACTCCGCCGAAAGTTTTGATTATCAGAGACATCTTATTATCTCTATTCTGGTCTCAACTAAATAATATTACTATTACTATGTTTTACAAGGTGCGTAAATACCAAACATAATTTACATGTTATTTATCTTATTTACATACATAATCTGTCAGTACATGTGTATGTCACTGAACTCCTCTTACACCGTGCGCGATGAACTGATTTTGATATTTTTAGGGTTCAGTACCTCAAAAGGTAAAAAAGGAACCCTTATAAGATCACTTTCTTGTCCGTCTGTCCGTGTGTCACCACCGATTTTCTCAGGGACGGTTAGACCTAGCAAGTTGAAATTTATACCAAATACTGAGGCCTCAATCTTAATCTTAAAAAATCAAGGTCCTGAGTCAATACAATAAAAAGATATAGGCAAATTTCTTTAAAAAAACTTGTAAGTACCAAAATTTACCTGAATTTTTATTATTTTTTATTTTTCAGAATTTTCTCTTTACTTGTGCTGTAAGACCTTGCTTTTAACCAAAATTGACAATTCTAGGTCAACCAGAAGTACTTACCCTATAGGTTTTGGGTCGAAAACCTATATGATAGTTCCCGTTGACCTAGAATCACGAAATTTGGCAAAAAGAAACGTCTTACAGTAAAAATAAATGAATAATTCCAAAAATGTTGAAAATTAAGATAAATTTTGGTACTTACAAATTTTCGCGAAAATCTGCGTAAAATCTGGGTAGGTACGGAACCCTCGGTGCACGATCTCGACTCGTACCTGACCGGTTTTTTTAAATATAACAATAGAAATATATCAAAAAAAAAAGTATTAAAAAACTAAAAAACACGCTTTCTATAGAAAACCAAACTAAAAAATAGAAAATAAATTTGAAAAAAAGCGTTGGGTGCCTGGGTGTTTTTTATTTTTTTTATTAGTGTATTGTCTACGATATATCTACAAAGCTTGAACGAATTCTGACCGTTTAGTCAGTCAAAATCACGCCCAAAGGAGTCGGTTACAAACATACAAACAAACATACAAGTGAAGCTAATATAAAGCGTGTAAAAAGAGTATATTTATTGCACATATTAAATGCAATGGCATAATAATTTTGTGTCTAATATCCACGCAATATGTTTATGCGTAAAATGTTACTTTCTCCAACTTGGCATGTAAAACATATGATAATTACTAAGAAATCATCAAAATAAAATGTGATACTGTGGCGACTTCGACATACAGTAAAACTAAGAAAGATACTACAGCGTCATCTAACGAAGACATACCGAACTAGGGAGTAACTGCTATCCTGTATCGCGATGTAAACAATTCTCTCGCTGATTAGCATTTACTCGTACTTATACAACTTGCCAACATCAATCGTTGGCAGGCATGATCACCTCGCCTAGTAGGAGGATCCTCCCTTAGTGTTGGAGGGACATGACATCCGTTGCTCCACAATACTATTAGACACCCGATTTTTCAAAAGTGGTTTCACTGTTAGATTTTTAAATCTCTTCTCTTTTTCACACCTAAGTTTTTGCATGAGCTTTGGTATCTCACTTTGGTATCTCGCTTGCTTTGAAATCATGTAATATTTATTTGACCCCTATCGTTTTATGTATCCGTTTTTACATATTCTGTACCATTTTAGTACGTAGTGTTTAAAACTTTAACTACACTCCTACTTATAAACAGTAAATATTAGAAATATGCTCCTGTGAATTTTCTTCATGTATTAACATATAGATGATAACGGGCGAACTGGCAATCACCAGGATTAGTGGAAGTTCAAAGACCACAACACGCTTAATTTCGCAATTTAAATGGAATAAAAGTTTACCCACCTTAGTTTTTCTTAACTTGACGTTAGCTATGTCCTGTGGCGTGATTGTCAATCTTGGCCCAGCTATCCTCGGCGGCGCGGATCCACACCTGGGTATTGTGTGAGCTCGGACTGGTAGTCTCGACGGAGGCGGTGGGGGAGGTGGCGGCGGCGGTGGTGGTGGCGGCGGTGGTGGCGGAGGTGGAGATACTGCGTTTGATTCCTGCTTGACGTGGTTCCTGACAAAGTTGAAGATTTATTTATTTCTATTCTCGTATCTTTTATATTAGACTAGTTGGTACCCACGATTTCGTTTGCGTGGATTTTAAAAAGCGCAGCCTTAGTAGCTGTATAAAATTTTATGAGGTTTTTCTGAGAAGAAAAATATCCTAAGTTACTCCTTCTATAGACAGCTACCTGGTAGTAAAATATTATCAAAATCGGTAGAGCCGTTTAGAAGATTACCCACGGTACAAACAGACCGACAGACAGACAAAAAAATTAAACTCGTTTTTAGGCATTTGACATTACAAACAGACACTTCAAGTTTATTTATTTGTATAAAAGACTAGTTTTACCCTCGGCTCCGTTACCCTAAATGTTATTTTTAGATCTCTCGCGAACATTTTGTAGGGATTGTGCAAATAAAAAAATTCTATCGCTATTTTTCACCTAGTGAGTGAGCTTACCGAGCGCTCAACCAGAAAAAGGACCTAATTCTAGAGGGAAGCACTCAATAGGCAGGTATTATATCATCGGTTGAGCCGTCTGTTCGTCTCCACCTTATGCGATAAAATAAAATTCAGGCATACATTAGTATGCGTATAATTGTTTACGCGTTTCTAATGTGTCTGTTTTGATTTTGCCTAAACATAAACTATCTACAGCTTTTATCATCATAAGGTTTAATCATTTTCGTAGTGAAGTTTTACCTGAGCTTACCCTCGAGGCTTTCAATTAGATTCATCATCTTCTTCATTCCTTCCTTCATACTCTCATTTTCCGCAGCGAGATGTGCTTGTCTTCTATCCACTTCTTCTAAAAGTTTCTTAAGTTCTCGTAACTCGTCAGAGTTCTTATTTTCAGTGGGTTCAACCAAGGGTGGCCGCAGCACGTCTGCGTAAAGGTTAGTGAAGGATTGATATCCCTGTAGGAGTAAAAATAACTAAATTATTTGTTAGGTTAGCCTCTAGAAACAATAAATTATGCGAAGGGCAGTTTTTTCAAACGAGAACCTCTGAGTAACGTACCGTACCGTAATATATTATGTCACTGTCAGAGCGTAAGAGAATGTACAAGAAACGGACAGTGCATGACGTAGACGACTAACATGAACTCACACACACTCATCCTATCTGACAATATTTCCTATAACTGTAGTTATAGGACAATAAAAATTAATCGTCCAAATCATATTTAAAATAAATATATCTTGATGCGATATATATATAATTATTCAAAGAAGCCCATCGAACATTTTCTTCAAATCCTGTTGTATTATTTTACATTACACAAATTACAACAAAATTCACGAAATCATAGAAACGATTTGTAAAACGGGTGACCTTAAGTTTTGCTAAATGCAATCTTTACTGAGTCATTCTATGGACGGACAAAGACTAAATTAAATAAATAATGAGTTAGTTCGGTGTATGTGTATTTCGGTGTCTGGGTAGGTCTAATAGACAACGGCATTTCATAATCGGATTATGAAAAGATTTATCATAATTATTAATGTGAATTCGAGTGTTATCAATTTTTTTAGAAAAACCTTAAGGATCTTCGATGTAAAAATAAATCGAACTGTGTCCGTTATTTAGTTAATAATAAAGATAGATGAGCTAAAACTTTTGTAACAAAGTATGTTTGTATCTGATACTCTCAAGTGGAAATAAAAAACTTATCCTTATTTTACAACCTATTATACCTATATATTTTACCTATATTTTTATTTATTTTTTAAGGGTGTTTTTTGTGTAAGTGTGGTATACCAATTTCAGAGGCGGTTTATAAAATATTTATTATAAATAAAGTATAGATATAAAACATTTTTAACTTTTGAAAGTCACATGAAATAGCTACAAAATACAATTAAGTTAGTACACAAATACTGTCGATCTAATGGTAAGCGGTTACCGGTTCCTATAAAGAGCCGCAACACCAGTTGTGTTATTAACGTATTATATTGGGATAGGTTATATGCATATAACACTAAAACAGTAAACACCAAATCTATATACATAAGTTAACTTGGTTTGTGTACGCTTTAAAAGCTCTTTCAAAGTTTTTTATGCACTGATTGAGCTCAAATTTTGACACGCCATACAATGTTTTTATTAATTTTTTGCGTTAGTTTTGTTCCTCCTTTCTCATCAACGCAACGCAATCAATGCCACAATGTGGCACACCAAAGCGTGGCAGAGTACAGTTAGTATTATATACATCTTAAAAGTTTTTTCTGCAAAATATTATTTGTTACCGATTGCAAAAAAGTAATGATACTAACTACCTTTCTGCCTATCCATGCGCACAAGTCCACGATTCTCCATGGTTTCGATTTGCTACCACGCCTGTGACTCTTCTCTTTCCGTGGGGTTTCACCTGATAACAAAAACCACTCCATTTCATTCAACTGACCAGCATCTAAGTCACACTCAATCTCCAATTCCACTTTGATACTATTATCTCTTAGAGCACTCATTTCAAAACAACGTATAGTTAAGTTTGATTTAAGTAACTAACACAATCAAATTTTTAAAGACTGTTAAGCGACGACTGGTAGTTCGAGTCGTTGATTTAAAACTCGAATGTCCAGGTGGTTCGATGATGTCACCACCACTTCTATTTACAACTGGCCGAATTCATGTTTGAAATAAATAAAAAAGTTATCAAATTAACAAGTTCAACTATGTCAGCTATATCTTCGGGTCAATGATATTTTTCCACTATCTTAAGGTCACTGCAAACCTTACTCATATACTTAACTAACAATGTTTGTTAATTTCACAATAGACGTGTCTCTAATGAGTTCATCATCTGCGTTCTACTTTGAGCCTGTAATATACCTACCTACTAATTTTGTTCTAACTATTCATTTCCAAAATTTACCCGGCTCCGATTGGGGGGGAGAAGTGTTGCATCTACATTCTCAACGTGGTAACCTACATAGTACCTTCATAATATATGTCATAACATCATCATCATCATCACATCTTACGACACCCCCGGAATGACTGGGTTGGTGACATTCTGTATTCTTAATCCGTCATCACTCGAATACTGTTAATGGATTCTCTGATGAGGTGAGGTGAGTCCATCAACGTTGATTAAGACTTCTGACGGAAAATTATTTTGTGATCGACGAACCAAATAATTTGATTTCATAAAATAAAACTATTAAAATAATTATATTAAACATGTTTTCTTTCAAATCAAGTTACTTTTTAGTGTTAATCTAAGCATAGTGATTGAATGGGTTGTAATTTCTTACCCGATAAGAGGTTCCCAGAATGAAGCACAGAGAAAGTCGTTCTGCGAGATCTTTGAAGAGCATCCTTAAATAAATTCGACTCTGACTTCAGACGTCTCTTTCGAATTTTGTATGAATGGTTGCTATTAATAGACTTAAATGATGCTTCAGAGTTACTAGATAACACAGAAGACGACATTGATGGCCCAAGTTTATGTTTAGAGTCCGTCAAATCAGATGTACTTGATGAACACGAATCGGTACATTTCGTTTTTTTCTTTGGTCGTGCTTCCTTGTATTCAGCATCACTTGAATCACGTCTATTACGTTTGCTTCCTAAAGATTGCTCAGAATTGTCATTAGATACGGAGTCGTATGAATTAAAGTCCTTGTTAAAAGAAAGACTCACGTCTACATAGCTGGAGTTAACTGGTAGACTTACATATGGTTCCGTTTGGGTTGAACTGTTTGTTATATTCCCAAGTTCATGACAAGGGTGGTCAGTATCATCAGTTATCATTACGCTAACAAAAGGCGGTGTCTTATCGTAGTCTTTTTCTTTAATGTCATGAATTGTATGAAAACTAGGATCCCATGATGTATTTAACAAGTCTGGTACAGAGCTTTTCCTTATAATTTCTGGAGAAATAATGCAAGCTTTTTGGTCTTCAGACGTATCAGTGTCAGTAAACATTACTTTTTCTTCACTTTCAAACGACATTTTATATCACTATCAATATGCCAGCCATAAAAACTCCTTTGTTTATTGACTAATTTTTTGGATTTGCTAAAATATAAAGGTGTTATAAGTATATCAAAAAATTTACGTCGTCTACCCTCATTTAAATAAAACTGGTTTGAATGTCAGAAATGAATTAATAGGGGAGAGTGGGTAACAGTGGATTACGTCTTTCTAAATATTCGTCTTTACGTCATTTGAATATAATTTGTTACAAGAGCTAAAAGGTATCAAAAATGAAAAGCCTTTATATGTATTTTGTAAGTATTTAAAATGTAAATTACCCATGATCAAAAGCATCACTAATACTATCGCCTGTCTTCGTTTTCAGGATCTTTTTTCTTAATATCCTGTATAGTCGTAAAATTTTATCAACACATTAGAGTTTAAATTTACACAATAGAAATTATTAAGATACCAACAATTAAAAGCTTTACCTATAAAATAAACGTTAAATTTAAAATTAAAGATATCTAAAATTAACGTTAGTTAATATTAGAGAAGTCTATGTCGAAATGGTGTCATATTTTCCTTTTTCCATTGCATATCCAAAAAGGAAAGAGGTATTTAAGAGCAATTTCCAAGCGTTTGTAAATTAGACTGCACATAATGCATTCGAATTCAAGTAAACAAGCTACTGCACCTCGCAATTCATTATTACCCACTCTGACACAAACCGGTATTTGTACTTAACTGAAGAAACTTAATAATTATTTATTGATTATTGATTTCTAATAACATCGAAGTAATCATAGAAGGACTCTTTTAATAGTGTGATCTTTTAAAAACAAAAACTAAAATTTTATTATAGAAACGAACAGCCCAGTCTAACCTCAGTGGGGCAATTATTATCTAAATAACATATGTTCATAATTTTAATGGTGTAAGAAATTCAAGTTACAATAATGTAAGAATTTTAAGTACATATAAATAAATATTCTACAGAATAAACATTCATATACATAGTGGCTGTCTGTACTTAAACGACTGCGTGAGAGCGCTTCTTCGGATCTAAGTATAGGCAACTATTAGGAATTCTATGGAATAGGTTAAAATTGGTTTTAAACCCAATTACTATTCTGTTCAGTATCTAGTTGTACCGGCCTGTACCTCATTATTTTAGGGGGTATAAGTACTATAAACCAAGTGTTTCTTTATAGATATGAACATCCGGATCCTATTAATTTTTATTTGTCACTAGTTTAGCAAACTGTGACTTACCTAGTCTAACAAGGAGTACCTTACCTATAATTGCTGAATGTAAACATATTATTTTTAATAGTTTACTCTCATTTTTAAATTGATTCATTTTAAATCTGAAAGAACTTTATCTTTCCACACATGATAACAATATGTCAATTTTGCAATGTAAAGTTCTGAACGGTAATATCAGCCAAAGTCAGCTGACGCCGTGATCGTCAAATCTGTCAATTTAAAAGCTGAACAAGCGTCCAGCGTCAATCGATATAACGTATTATTTTTTTAGCCACTTTACCTCAGAAAATAATATATGACACACCGTGATAGAATATTATTATTTACTAAATAAACAATTAGCTCACCCAAATATTAAAAATGCGTCATGCGTTTAAAAAGAAAATTTTATTTTGCGGTATTATTGTCATAACATTGATAATACTTCTAATCCATCCCGAAACGAAGCCTCCAAGGACGTACGAATATATTGAAAAAGGCAATATTCTGAGCAACCTTTTGGAAGAAGTTTCTGAAAATTTTTCAAGTACGGCTTTAATTGACTGTGATTATCGTGACATTATATACGATAGAACTACTCTGCCCATTAGTTTAATGGATGGGGATTTGATAGAAGGTCATAAAATAAAAGAAGGTGGAGAATACACTCCCTCGGACTGTAAGCCTAAATTTAGTACTGCAATTATTGTACCATATCGGTAAGTTATATGAAATAAACTCGGTAAACATTTTATTTATTTAGATAACAGACAAAAGTAACAGTTACAGAATAAATATTAACCAGATTAATTATATATTAACCAGAACTGGCACTAGTAGCTATTAAAGTATTAATTACCGCACAATGTTAATTGAAAGACTTGTGTTAAGAATGTATGTTCTAAATTGAATAAATGTTCGTTTGCACTACACATGCTAACCAAAACTGTCAACCATTCCTGTGATTACCATGCATACCATGCTTATGTAGTTTCAACATTAAGGTATGGGTAAATTTATTGGGAGAACTGTACCGATAGGCAAACTGCTTTTGTGTCCCAACAGAAATGTATTGAGGTGATGTGTCAATTAAAAATATGATAGTTGTAGTAGATTTTCAATCATTTGAATCATTAACATTACTATGTATATTCTGAAGTAATAGTTTTTGTAAAAAGTAATTTAAATTCATATAAACCACTTGGCAGCAATAGACACAGTCACAAAATTCTGGGAAAATGGAGTAGAACAACTCTTTTAAATAAAAGTGTATTTTGTATGGCACCTAAATTGTACAAAAGCAAAAGCATGCCTTTATTTAAAAGAAAATTGAAAGAGTTTCTAATTGATAAATATTATTATGATGTTAAGTTAAAATTATCATCTAAATACTCAGAGGATAAGTTCCAATAGAAAAGTATGTGCTTTTTTTGACTGCTTTTAAGAAATGTAAACATGCTATTAATAGCAGACACTCTGCTTCATGCTCAAAATATGCATAGGTATGAAATGTAGAAGAAGAGATTAACATGTTGGTCTGGAATCTCATATTACCTTTTTCTGGATTTTCCATAGACACATTTACATCCCAACCCCATTAAAAGTGAATTATGAACCCTTAAATAAAACCTTTGGAAGGGATTATGTTTAATTGTAGAAAAGAAGTGACATAAATTAAAAAAATATTAAAACTTAAGATAAAACCCACACATGGAAGATTTCAGTTTCATAAATTTCATATTTTGTTTCAGTGATAAAGCTGAAGAGTTACGTGGATTTTTAGTGTACATGCACACATTTTTTCATCGTCAACATATCCATTACCGCATCTATGTGATCGAACAAGTGGACACACAGCCTTTCAATCGAGCTAAACTCATGAACATTGGGGCTATTGCTGCAATAAAAGCTGGATATCCTTGTTTGATACTCCATGATGTTGATTTATTGCCACTGAGACCAGCAAACTTATATGCATGTACAAAACAACCTAGACATATGTCATCTAGTATTGATAAGTATAGGTATGTAATGTATTATAGTGACTTGTGTTGAAGATACCATATATTGTGTTGAACCATATTATATTGTGTTGAAAACCCTAATGTTTCCTATGGAAGTTGTTGTCTATATTTTGTTAAAAGTAGAAATCTGTTGGGGCAAGGTCCGGTGAGTATGGTGGGTGACTGAGAGCTTCCAGTCGTAACTCTTGTAGCTTTGCGGTGATCTGCCATGAAGTGTGAGCTCGCGCGTTGTCGAAGTAAAGAAGCATTGGGGTAGAGCGATGGACCAGTCCTAGTTGCCGAATTGCGTGCTTCGGTCGGTCCGGAAAACCGCAGATGATAACCCGTTCCACAGACTGATTGTGCGAGGCAAAAAGTGTTTCGAAAAGTGCACAGTAGTGAAGCTCTAACTATCTAGGTGATTAGGATGAAAATTTTGACGTGTGGAATGATGGCGGAAAGTTGAGGCTGGTATTAGTCCGAACAATTCCTCGGAGCACTCTCCATGATATATGCTAAAGAGAATGCATAGTGAAGCTACATCTCTACGTAACGCCAAGGATTATTAACGATTCGAGTCGCTTTTCGTTGGATGTGGTCCAGAGGGAGAAACTGGTACTGAGGTGCCCCTGCATAGAGATAAGAACAGTATTCCATATGCGACCGGACTTGCGCCTTATAGATTATTGAAGGCGGTAGGCCGGAGTGAAATATTGCCTCGATCTGTTCAGCACACCGAGCTTCTAAAGTGATACAATAAATGGTATCTTCTTTGCGGTGAACGCACAGACGTATCTTTTTTGGGTAGAACTGGACTAGATTTAGTCGTCCCCAATCTGAAACCTCCGCTAAGGAAGTTTCAATTTCAGACACAAGCAAGGAAACTGGTGACCTAATTACACATTTCTCGGAAAGCCCAAAGAATGGGAGCTTTGAGAGAAGCGCCTTATGCCAGACCCGATTGAAGGCCTTCGCTATGTCCAAGCTAACCGCACAAGCCTCTCCTTTGGTCTCGATCGCCTGTGATGTTAGAAAGACGAGAACATCACCAGCTGAGCGACCCCGTCGAAAACCATATTGTCGGTCGTTGAGTAGCTGGTGATCATCTAAGTACCGAAGGAGCTGGCAGTTGATTATGGATTCCATAATCTTGAGAACCTAGGAGTTATGGCTATAGGCATGTAGTTGGACGGGTCAGAGCGGTCACCTTATTTAGGGATCGGGTGCACAAACGCTACCTTACAGGAGTTCGGGAAGAGGCCTCGGGAGTAGGAGAGACGAAAAAGGCGCTTTGAAACCGGTGCCTACTCCGGAGCACACGTCTTCAACACGATAGGAGAGATTCCATCGTGCCCACACGACTTATGAATGTCAAGGGAAAAGAGTGCTTTACGCACTGACTTTTGTGTGGACCCCGTCATCCAAAATCGAGTTGGATGCAAAGAGTTTGCCTAGGAGATTGGTTTTCTCCTTGGCATCATAGGCCAACGAATTATCCCCCATCTGCAGGGGTGGAAAGGCTACAGAAATTCCCCTACACAGCCTTGGCAAGAGACCAGAATGCACGGGTTCCAGAAGGAAATCTCACCAGTCTCTCACCAATCCGGCTGATGTGCTCCGATTTCACCCTAGCAATGGGTCTTTTAAGGGACCTGGAGGCAAAGTTATATTGTTTTTTTAGCGTGTTGGTATTTACATCGCCTGCCGTCGTTGCATTTACCCATTTTTGCCAGCATTCCCGCTTTCGGCGGGATGCCGTTTTGCAGGATCTGTCTGTGCTACGGATTAGACAATGATCCGAGGAGCCAAATGTGGGGCTTCAACGACGATTTTGTAACCGTCCGGATCGGGGGTCACCAGAAGGTCGAACAGTGAAGGCACATGACTTTCCACATCTGGAACACGCGTGGGCGAAGATACCAGTTGTGACAAGCCATAGGTCAGGGCGAAATCGTAAACAGATCTTACCGCATGATCGGTCTTACGTGAGCCAAGCCATTCGGCATTGTGAGCGTTAAAGTCACCATGTATCACGATTTCCGCGGATGGGATCTGCTGCAGCACGGAATTTGTAGCCATTTGGACGTGGTCCATCAGTCGGTCAGTTTCGGTGTCACCGCTATGCGACCTGTAGAGGCATGCGTAGACGCGGGGATGGTCGTCGCTGTCTACGCGGAGCCACAAGATCTGATCTGATTCTGAGATTCAGAAGAGAATATATAATGCAGAAATTCACGTCAAGCGTGACGAGGGGCGACCTGATTTGCCTGCTCCCGCCGCGGGCAGATAACCTGTCGAGCGCTGTTGCGTTAAGATTAATTATTCATTTAGTCTCTGGATTGAAAAAAACATGAAATTCTGAGATTTGGATAAATAATAATAGGTCCTTCAGCAGAAAAATATACTCACCACCATGTTAGAAAAATAGTTTTGAAGAGCGAAAGGCTCGTTTTTTTGTTTTTTAAGTATTATTTTTCTGTCTATAGATTATCTTCAAGAATTGGTTCTACAATGGCAGCAATTAGTTTGAATTTAATGAAACATATTTGTAGACTAACACAAGATTTATAATAAATGAGAATGCTTGATTTATACTTACAGCATTTTTATATATTTTCTAAGCTGCAATACCTATAGCATATCAAATAAATAATTACAAATAATATGTGAGACACAAATAAACATTCGATTTCAGGTTTGTCCTAGCGCATATAAAACTCTATGGTGGTGTCACGGCAATACCTTCAAAACAATATAAAGAAGTGAATGGTATGAGCAATGATTTCTATGAAACAGGAGGGGAAGATGATGACTTATACTGCCGCCTAGAGAACCACAAGTTGAAAATGTGCCAATTTGACCCAGATATAAGTCAATATCATATGTGGGAACATCAGAAAGCAATAGATACGTAAGTAAAAAAAATGTATTACTAACCAAAAACTTATAGGATAACTACCCAAAGTCCAGAGAAAATTACTTGCAACTTGCATGCAGTCATCAATCATCATCAACAGCCTTTACTAGTCCACTGCTGGGCAAAGGCCTCTCCTTAGAAAGGAGGTTTTGGCCTACTATACCACGCTGGCCATACGGGTTGGTATAGGATTTGTGTCAAGTTTTCCTTCTCTTTGCAGTGCTGTTGTCCTGCGTAGTTTGCTCCCTTAGTCGCCTCTTACGACACCCCCGGGATGAATAGGGGTGGTGACACTGTATTCTTAATCTGTCACCACACGGACTGTTGCATGCAGTCATCTCGTGATTTGCTTATGGATCAGGGTGTAAGGGACGTCGTAACGAATACTGATATTGTATATTCAGTCCATCATTCTGTGTCGAAAATGATTGGAATTTTCTGCCTGTAAATTCATCATTTTCTTTTACAATTTTACCTTTTTAGTTAAAAATGATGAATAATTATATCACAATGCGTAAACAAACATTTTACTGAAAACAATTTAATAAATACCGCGTACGGTCAAAAACTGCAATGTAATTAATCAAACCGAAGCGTGCGGGGCCTCCCCTCCGGTTAGTGTTCGTAGATTGTTTGCACGGAATACACATGTAGTTATTACTTTGAAATGAAATGAACTTAACCTTTGATAGCTGATTGCATAATAGTTTAATAATAGTCCCTCCAACACAAAGGGAGGATCCTCCGACCAGGCGAGGTGATCATGCCTGGCGGGCCGCGGCCCAACGGTTGATGTTGGGAAGTTGTATATACGCTAACCGGCGCGGGAATTCTTTATATTGCGATACAGGATTAGCAATACTTATTTTAGTAGTTACTCCGTAGTTCGGTGTGTCTTCATTAGATGGCGCTGTAGTATGTTTATGTGGGAGTCGCCACAACTTAAAAGTTGGACTTCAAAAAAAAATCTTCTCTCTTGAAAATAACTGAACTAAAATAAAATTTTGTACTGAGATTTTTGTGTTTCCAGTAAGCAGAGAAAATATCCAAAGTTCTCCAAGGAAAAGATGTTAAGGGATGGATTAAACTCATTGAAATACACAGAGGTAGCAACAGTCCTTCATCCACTTTTTACTCATATCATGGTTGATTTGTAACATATCATAAGTTTAATGTTACCCCTCATATCACTTGTTCAATTTTGCTTTAATAATTAAATTTTATGAACCACTGTGAGGAAAAAGTAGTGAGCTAGATTTAGAAGTTTTATCTTAAGATACCAATTTACAATTACACATAGCTTTACTTTCGATTTTAAGGCTGAAACAGCGTCCTAATATATACATTATATTGATCTCTTAAACATGATTAAGGCGAAGTTTGTCAATAAGGTATCCAGCATCACTAGGATTTTTTTGTTTTGTCAGCTATTCATCTACAAAGCTATAATTATAAACACAGGGATTTTTGTAGAGCGAGTGATAATCTCTTCGTCCTCAATATGCTAACTTTTATTTTTTAAAGCCAACTCCCGCACTAGGAATATAATCCTGTGTCGCGGGGGACTTTATAAACATACATGAAACGGACACAAAGATGCATTTTAGTGTCTGTTGTAATTAATTTTGTATTTCATCAAATTTAATTAATCCAAATACGTAATACTCTTTTGATATACTCAAGCCGAATAATAGTATTACAATTTTTTAGCATCTAATCTAGTAGTTAGTTTTAGCATTTTTAGAAATACAATAAAATTAAACTAAAATAAGTATAAGTAGGTACAATTACATAATATATACAGATCTCAAAATAAAAACGTAAAATTAGAATAAAATTAATAAAACAGTTCCAGGTGATACTAATTTTCATATCGTCAGTCATGAATCTAGTCCTAACTGCACTGTATATTGTACCTCAATATTAAAAATACGCTCATCAAAATGTTACATGGAAACCACAATCTCAAACTTGCAGTTAAATACTTTTAACACTAATAAGTCTTGAAAAGCCTTTATTCTGGCAAAATCTCACATGCTGCTCATATTCTTGGTGAAGACTAATAGCTATTGATTCAAAAAGTTTGGAGTCATTTCGAATGTAAGCACTGTGGTAAGCTCTCCTTTTCTTTATCGATTATAAAATATATAGTCTTTTACGAAGTTTTATGTAGGGCATACAAGTAGATACATATATAAAAATGATAATTAAATCGCCATAATTCAAAGCGGCGCTAATGTAATGGCCAAGGCATTAAACTTGTTCGAATTCGAAGACTTCGAAACCCACCCAGTAGTCTAGCGACGTGAATCTACTCCTTACACAAGCGTTCAACTTGCCTGAAGAATTTATCAATACTATTAGTAATGTGTGAACCTCGTTACTAGTATTCTTTAAAAATACGGTAAACGGACATATTTATTTTTTACCTAAATTGCATTTCTATTTTCATATTAGCACAACACGATAATTTAATAAAACTATTATACGTTACGAAGATAGAAATAATGAGTAATACTATGTCTAGTATTAACGTTCCTATTGAATTTTCAAAGCAATAAAGTAACAATAATTGATTGTGATATTCTTGTTGAGGTATTCGATCGACGTCTGTCCATATATTCAGTAATTAAAATAATGCATCTATGTTTGTAAGTAATAAGTTATTTTATGAGAGTTAATTGTTTCCAATAATTGTTATTGTATTAGTCAGTGTACTAGTGTGTGTTATTCTGTATTGTAGGTACGCTTCTCTATTTCTATGCTGTCGGTATTTTAAAAATTGACAATCAATAGGTTTACTTAAGATTTTAGTATTTAATTACAATTGTTTTAGGTATATAAGCATGTTTGTTTTATTTTACAAGATTTAATTTGTTTTAAATGTATTCTTAATCCATCTCAAAATGTTTTGTTTTTATGTTTCTGTATTCTGATATACTTTTCTGGTTTTACTGTGATAATATAATAGTTGCTCTCTTAAATATTATATTCAAGGATTCTTTGTACCGTTTTTATTGATGTTTCTTTTGTGACTGTGAAGGTGTTTTTAGTATAATTGTTCGTAAGTATTAAACCCATATATGCGTATTTATTTCAATATATAATTCCATAGATATATAGAATACATAAATATGTGTTTTTTTTTGTTAAGCGCAGTGAAAAATAACTTAGGTATAAGTAGGTATAGCAATTTTAAAAATTGGTTGCAAATAGATTAAATATTTAGTATCAATTTGTTTTACTACCAGCAGACTTGGTATTGTTATATCTTATGTTATTTATTGTTCCAATATTAGTAATGCATATTTATATTTTTTAAAAGACTACTCCCGCACTCGGCAATATATCCTGTGTCGTAGGGGAATTTACAAACATTCAAAACGGACACAAAGAACATACAACTCAGAACAAATGTTGAAATGTGAAAATAATTTGCGATCCATTTATTTAGTTAACTGTAATAATATCATTTATTGTTATCATACTTTATTTATTGTTGTAGTTTACTCTAATTCAAAATAACAAGCACTGTACCTTTATATGTAGTAACTTAGGTCATTAGTTTTAGAAATCATATCATTGAAAGTTATTGGAATATGCTTGCTACTCTTGTAATGTTGAGGAAAATGGTAATATCACTATTCAGTATAAAAAGGACTTAGATTAGCTGTAAGAATGCGTTCACAATAATTATACACGCAGTAGGGTAGATTTGTAATGTGAAGTCACTCAGTACCGTGATAATAACAAAAAATGATACATTTATTTACCGAGATATCCAAACAAACAATATACAAAATGAATCTTCTCCTTCGACAAGGTATGGTCATGTTGTGTTTCCTGTACGTAGTTAGTAACATTCAGACAGTATTAGTTAGTTCAGGATTCCAATACTAACTACGGGGATTTCCAATACAATAAAAACGATACTTAGGGAGTAGGGTTCCTTCACTGTTTTTCTAACATTTTAATTAATAGGTAAAAATATCATATCGGCGTATCTATCTACATAGATATATCTTCTTTAACACAGGATATAGAACTATGCAGTACGCCACTTTAATCTGCCAATAGGTAAAACTGTTTCAGGAGTGTCAAAAATCACATCGGCTCATAAAGCGTATGATTTCAGTACCTTTTTAAAGAAATTTTGTAGCACGCTTCAGTCGACTTCAAATGACACAAATACATAATAAACTGTAAAAAGCGCTAAAAACAACTAGCTTGGAAGACTGTGCTGTGAAGCTTATTACAGAAACAAGCAAATTACTATTACTTTCGGAGTCTTTATAGAAAATAAATATATAAAAACATATTTTTCCGTTTGATTAAGTTACCCTAACTAATCCGTTATCCAAATAAACAGATTTATCTTTATTGTCAACAAAAACATGTACATACCAATTCTCAAACTCCCGTTTTCTTGAATTTCTCACGAAACGGCTCTCCGATTGGCTACTGTTTTTTGTACAGACAAAACCAGTTGAAATCCAAATTAACCACACTACATAAACCCCATTTATAAACGGACAGTCGTTTGTACTCATCCACCGATGATCGCTCTGGCTTCCCATCATGATTATAATATAAAAAAAAAGTGATTATGGTATTTTGATGTGGTGCTTAGGCTATTACTCCTCAAGTAATTGAATTTTACATGTTTTATACAAATTTGTCAGTTGTACCGGCCATTTACTCCCTGTTTCTTGTATAACAATATTTTATTGTAGTAGAAGTGTCGGAAAACCCGCAACTGTTAGTCTTAGATTTTCACAGCTTGGATCCAAAAACAGAGCCTACCCTCAAGTTCGTATGCAGCACAAAAAAGCATGGCTACCTACTAACACTTCTTCAATTGAACTAATGTGGATTCTATGGGTCCATTCAAACTAAATTAGGGAAATATTATTGATACGTAATTATTAATACTAGAAATGTGGAATGCAAGAAAGATATATGGCTTACTGTTAGACATAGAACAGCCTCTTAATAAAAAAATTGTGGTAACACCCGTACAGTATTACCGTCCAGTGCTAGCTAATAATAGGTCATTGACCTAGTCCTTGTAACAATAGCTGGTTGAACACTAATATTCAAATCAGGAGTTAATAAATACATAATTAACATTGACAAATAATGGTTTAAGTAAAACAATAGTTGATTGATTTGTAGATATATTTGGCATAAGTATTTCATTTCACAGCAAGTGGTCCCAAATCAAATGATAATCTATTAAAAATATAACCATATGTATAATTTATAATCATATTTACAACATCGATACAAACGCTTTTTCGAATACCTCCTGGGCATTCTTTTACAAATAAGAGCAGTTTGCATCACCATCGGTAAAATTATAAGGCATTCGCGCTAGCAAAACAAAATCAAACAACTTCACTGTTTTAATGTATTTTTCTCATAATGGCGGGAGGGGGCTTTTAACTTTTCTTTCCGATGGGGATCACTTCTGTGTAGTCAGAACTCACGACAAACTCCAATTTGTTATTATACGAACTAGACCCAGTCCAGGAGTCATGGTGCCAATGACGCCTGCCCTTCAGCTGGATTCGCCCTTAGACTCTCAATTCGATCTCTTCTCCCACCTTAAGCGATATCCTACATTTTTGTTGACTGTCACAATACAACTTAAACTCCCTTCGCTCTGAATTTTCTTATTGTTCTAATTTTATGTAGCATGGCATGAATATCGAAACTGTCGTTCTATGAAGCAACTATTTAATTGAATAGGCTAAGCTTGCAAACAATAACATAAGTGAAAGGTAGCGTACCCTGTACTCGTCGCTTCTTCCATACCTACTTAAAAAAGTGATTTGTTGCTTAAAACCATTTTCACGTATTTGTTTTGTTTTACGCTGTGATGTTTAAAATGTATTTACATGAATATAACATTAATTTTAAGGTGGAAATTATGTATACAATTTTAGTACAATAAAAAAATTACAAAGTTCACGAACAATATTTAAATACTATTTACATAAACTAGCATGCCTACCCATCTGATATTACAGCTGTCGATTTTACAATAGAACATATAAGTATTTCAAAATAATAAATACCATGGGTAAGGATACTATAACCTTTATACAATTACAATTCACATGAATTTTATTTTACTATTAGACATCTTTAAAAGGTAGGTACATCTAGTAGTTTTTTTAAAACTAAAACACCGCAATATGATCAATTAAAAGGGTTAGCACCTATAAAAATAAAAAACAATTAAATTTCGGCACCATACCCACCATACCTATAACAAATTTATGACTAAAAATAGAGCTCCTGGTACGAGTTTGTATTTGCCAAAATCTTTGGCTTATAGAAAAAATGCATAGCGTAAGCATAAGACATCAATTTAGAATTCGCATTGTTAAAACTCGTACTAGAATTATTGTACTAACTTCTCTTTACAGGTCGGTTTAAGACATTTACGGATGCTCTCCGATTTTTCTATGTTTATACATTTGTTTTTATAAGAACTAAAATCTATTATAGTCAAAACTGGACGCAGGATTCTGTTGTGGTTCAGTTAATCTTTTGAGCAATAAAAGTCCTAACTAACTAATTTAAATGCAAATGCTAGTTTGTATGTTTGTTTCTTACTTTTCAAACCATAAAACTTATTCACGATTCTTTCATTTTTAATTTTTTTATGGTGAAAATTACCAACTTACTTAAAACTTATTTAAAAAAATCTGTTCCTGAAATATCTGCAATCGAGCAAGCGAATCCGCGGGCAAAACTAGTAACCACATTTCCATTCTATAATAATGTAATAACAATAATAATATTTTGACACAGAACACCATCTAGTTTCATAGTAAGCAGAGCCTGCACTATGAAAAATTAAATATTATATTTAATTCTGAATATATATTGAACAAAAGATTTAGGTTAGAATCCGTAAATGCGTTTTTAAAAACATTAATGAATAAATATTACGTCATGTTACATTACAATATTACAAACTACGCACATTTTTATACAAACCATGGAAAATAACACAATTAATTAACTATAATATGTAAATCATAAAGACCAAAAAAATAAAACACCCTAATAAACGTTTTGTTTTTTAACCCAAATAACTAAAATCTATTAATCTACGAATCTATGCGTTTTTTAATCAATAAGACAGATTGTTAAGTTTGTTAAGTTAGCATATTTTTAAAGGAGTCAAAATAGAGAAAAAGTATTGAAGTAGGTACATAAAGTTACATAGTTATAAAGTGATAATAATTCTATTTAACATAAAAGCTGCAAGGAACATAGTCATCCTTTGATGCACATGTATGAAAAACGTCATGGATACTAAACGTGAGTTTTACCCACCACTTAGTAATGTATTGATATATGTATTCTTAATTAGATAGATGATTGATTGATGATTGATGAATTAGTCTAACGTTATAAAGTTATTCTGATACATCGAATTAGATTTCCTACTACAATGTGTTCAATTCTTCAACTTTTTTATAACACAGGGAAGCAAAAGAGCAGGCGGCTTACCTAATGGCAAATGACTACCGCTGCCCATAGACATATGCAACTTAAAAATCACGTGAGCGTTTCCTGTCTTTGAGGTGGGAGTATTTAAACTAAATGTTTCATTTTTCTGGTCAAATATAGTTTAAAATAATGTCACACATATTAGTAAATTATTAAGTAAAGTTAGAATAGCGCTTTCTTTACACGCAACTCTATTACTGATATAATATGCTCTAACTATTGAGCAATGAACAATTCTGAAAACGGAATGATATGTAGAGAAATACACATTAGATTAATCAAATAACTCATAAGTCAGTTAGGTCATTTCGCCTTTAGATCGTCTTTAATAAGCCCCACACCACATACCGTAAATTTGATATGTCACTTCATTTGTGATGCAACTCAAATAAAAAAAAATGTAGCTAGCTAGCTGTTATCTATACAATCTAGTCAACCTTAGTAAAGAATAAGATTCTGATTTGACAGAATTTAAAAAACTTCTGCCTTTTACGCGACTTTTTTTATTGTTAATACCTAAATACAAAATTTTTTTAAGATTCATTACTTGAATCAAGATTTAATACATTGTAATAACAAGTCATTAATTTGCAATTTTTATGTTACTGGATAGTCAATGTAAGATCTCAAATGTACCTAGCTTAGAGACCATTATTAAATTGATTATGGAGGGTGAAGATAAGCAAAACAGACCAGACGACACTGTAAAAAAGTGTCCGACAATACTTTTCGTATTCTGCCAAAGTGGAGATATTTAATTGTTGAAGTTAAACCTCAGACGGCTATTGCCTATTTTATTGTTTAATGAAATTCAATTTTAAAGTGTTGCGGAAATGAATGTTATAACGACCTTTAAAATTGAATTTGAACAAACAATAAAATAGACACTTAAGAGCTTGATTATTATTTTTATTTAAACATTTATTAAGTACTTTTAGTTTCTTTTTATAGATGTGATTGTCATTTTAAGTATTGAAATCTATTTAAGTCCGTATTACATGCACCCTCCACAATTTTTCCATCAAATATGTTTATAAATACGTATTAGCGACCACCAGTAATGTTTTACTAAAACTATGTTTTATTTTTCATAGTTAACTTTTTTTTTACTACCCCGTAGTCCGTGGTAAACTAAATTAATAGCTGCCCTAAACAATACATTTTATAATAAAAATTCATAAGATTCAATTCAGATTTTATAATGTAAGGTCATTTGACTGTTAATAAACGTTGACCACTTAATTACAAAAGGATTAGAGTTAAGTTATCAAATTATATTCCACGTGAATGATGAAATATACGATAACCTTATATGCATACTTCAGAATGTGTTTAGTAAAAATGGCAGATTATGAATAAATCAAAGTTTACGATCGTGAATTCTTATTGCTATTGTTTTGAATAGAAAGTTGGTTAAATATGAATATTAACATGTAGCAAAACAACACAATGACAATTACTATTCAAGGACATCACAATATATTCTTATTAGGAACTTCATCTAATAAAATACTGTAATAAACCTCATACATCGGGTTCCATTCGAACTAGGAAATCTGTGCCATATACAAACACTCAAATGATTATATTAGCAATGAATTGCTAGCTTACTGACGTTACGTAATTCACTCTTAATTATTTTATAAATAAAATAAATGATTTTTGTAGTTTGTACTAATGATTAAAATAAGCTAATGCTATCCGTACGAGAAATATAATTCATTTTTTATAAACTTTCGCGACTTGGTTGCCCATTAGGTACATCGATACTTCGTTGTGATTATATTAAAATAAACATTATCTAGCAGAAATACACCTTACAACCACTTTTTCAAACCATATCTTGATTGAGTAACACCGATAGTATCATTCGATAGAAACTTCAGATTAAAATATAATCCGTAGAGCTCAGAAGGCCAATTCTCGTAATAAAAGTTCGGTCTCAATTCAGTTCCGATCAACTTTCGATCTCATAACTGTCATAAAAGGTATTTTCGTAGTAAAGTAATAAACATCAACGTTGACAGTAATGTGATAATATCACATTGTGATCGAGGATTAAATCGGTAATTTGCTAGTCTTAATACCTAATACTTTATTATTTTACTACGAAAATATCTTTTATGACAGTTAAAGTCGATCAGAACTGAATTGTGACCGAACTTTTATTACGAGAATTGGCCTTCAGGTATCATACCCTAATACTATCACGATTAAAATTCTGATTCATTAGTAGCATATTTTCATTGAATACTTCTGGTATTCAATGAAAATAGATCAAGATACGTTCATTGTATTCATACCTAATACAAAGATATAAACTTAAGTATTAATATCGTCATATCTCCAACTTAATTATAAGGACTTAGACATGCCTTCCTGAGTTTACTTTCTATCACAATAACAATAAAAGTTCATAACTAACACTCATTGATTATAAGACTTTTATGGTCGTAATACAAGCATGCAAACAAGTCCAAGAACGAAAGAGAAAACCAGCTTAAGGTTTGATCCGATGTGAAGCCAGTCTGGCCACTGTGATTTGATGACCTGTTCTGGTTGCGTGGGTAGTATGAGTGCTGCAATACAACATATACTAACTGCAATTGCGACTACGTTTACTGGTTGTTGTTCTCTGAAATAGACACAAAGAAATATCAAAGACAGTGTAATTTTTTATGTGACCAATTTCCTGCAAGTGTAGATTCTAAACTTATTTTTGGGCATAATATGTATTCATTTGCATAACAATAAATTTTTGTGTGAATCAAAACTGCACCTGTGCACCTGTACCTATACATATTTTACATATTTCGTGAACAGAATACGAAATTGCTAATATAATATATATTATAATCTAAAGCGGCCTTTACAGCACTTAGAATGGGTTTGCAAAACAATTAACAGTCAGCGTCCTGTCTGTACATCGGTCAGGGCATTGCGAAACATTTTTATAGAATACCATGATACAAACTCATGTAAACTGAGACTGTCATGGAACAGACAAGGCATCAAACTATTATTTGTGTAACCTGAATCATTTTTTACATTTACATTAAGATATAATTCACTGCAAAACCAGCTTTGGCAAAATTTTTACTTCTATTGCTGTCACTGCCCCAAAAAGGCTTAGCTCTACAACTACCAACCTACATATTTTTGGAGAGTTATTTTGAATATCAGCATTGCTCGTGGTGGATCGACAAGATAGACCCTTACAACAGCATTAAATAATGCAAACAACGGATTAAAATTGCCATTTACGAAAAGTCCCTCAAACTACCTAGAACATCGATAGATCGGACTAGACAAAAGGCCAGGGGAGAACTCGAAAAAAAATGAACAAATATGGCTGGGTGCGGCAACACACACAGCAATCTTTAGTCAATACATTTCTTGCTGCTACTGTTACCTTAAACCTCAAATTTACCTGTGATGTAGGGAGCGCTGACATGTGACTTTGGTACTTTCTTCAATTGATCTCATTGGAGCTATGCGTGTCACTAAAGGGTGAAAACTATCACCTATATTTTCTAGATTTACATTTGTAGGTTCGCCTTCAATGAGTTTTGTTAGTATATCTCGTTTCCCCAGTGCCTGAATGTAAAAGTGCATTAATATTAGTTATTATGTCCACATTCATAAAATATAAAAGTTTGTGTGACTAAAAACTTTTAGGCCTTAACTTAACCTAAATTTAAAGGCTTTCTAAACAACTAAGAAGTGAAAGAAAGCTGTAAAAAAAACAGTTGCACTAAGGGAGTTTCGACAGAAGTTAAAACTTATATAGAGAGGTGTCTTTAATTGTGTTGCGACTTCAAAATTGTTCATTCCCATCTCAAAAAATGCTCAACATGCCTAAAAAGTTTTCACTGCAACAGAGGTAATGATAACAGTGTCACGAGTTCAATGGTTTTTTCCCATCTCAAAAAATGTGCTTTTTGTTAAACCATTAATTTTTTAATTTGTTAAATACATTCTTTTGTTCTTTTGTTCAAAAATGCCCAATTCGCCTAAAGAAGTTTTTACTTCAAAAATCAAATAACATTGACAATGGTCATTACTGGACCAGACGGGTCACATGATGTTAAGTGAGTATCGCTGCCAATGGACACCTGTAACTCAAGTAACCTTGTGTCTTGACAAAAAGGCAAACGGATGATGTAACGGAACAATATTCAAAAACATACATAAAAACTAGGGCATGATATTGAGGTCATTAATTTATGAATCGTACCTGCTGGGTATTTTTGTCGTACATTGTTATCCTGAACTTTTCTATGGTGTCGCAATGGGCGACAGACGGTTGTGTGTAACGAACTACTATATCTATACAGCTTTGGGGGGATATCACACCCTCGGGATCGATCACTGTGAACTTGTTCGGAGAAGTGCATAATACTGTAAAAACAGACGTGGTAAGCACAAAACAAATTATACGATCATTACGACACGTTTTATAATCGAATACAGACCTTTAAAATTAACTGAAAAATCGTAAGGATTGTACACAGTCAATAGCTGTTTATGAGTGTGTCGAGCATTTAAATAAAATTCTAAAGAAACTGGAAACACGAATACGGGGAAGTTTTTCATTTTTAATTTAGTTTGTGCAAACAACACAATAAAAAACAATAACAATTTCGTGAGATCGCACTAGCACTGACACTGACGTTGTTGACAGCTGTGGTGGTATGTAGTCATAGAGATTAACCTAGAGGGAACAAGAGCTCTAATCTTGCAATATGGGCAAGATAGATAATAGTTAGTCCCCTCTTTGTCTTTTTAGCCGATACCTGTGGTTGGCTGGGAATTATAAAGGGGTTAATAAAAAGCCAATCGCAGCTTAGCTAAACAGAGACCATTAGAAATATCGGGTGTCCATCTCTCTCGTTACCTGTATCTCGCCTACTGTGCGCTTTTCGAGACACTTTTTGCCTCGAACAACAAATCTGTAGAACGGGCTAACGTCTGCGGTATTTCCCGACCGATACGACCTTCAAGAAAAGAGCGTACTCCTTCCTAAAAGGCCAGCAACACGTTTATGACTCCTGAGTTGTAGACGTTCTCCGCGTCTGACGTCTGTAATGTCTAACATGAAAAAAAAAACTTACAGGCAGCTACTCGTATATCCCGTGTTCTTTCGATGGATGTAGTAATTTAACATTTTTTGTTAACTTTATTCTGGACCATAGACACAGTCTTTCGGCCTCATGATGTATTGAGTATATGTTAGTATAAATCTTAAAAAAAAAAGTTGAACCGACTTCAAACGTGTGCGTTGCCCCAACGGAAAAAGTCCTTTGAGGCGGCGAGTCTCTTGTCTGGATTTCCACCGTGAGACCTGGAGCCTAGAGCCCTTGCAGCTCTGAATCAGAGGCGCAAGGAGGCGCGGGAGTTGGGTCAGAGTCCTAACTCCGCCAGGTCTTCGTGGAGGAGTGGAAGTAACGACTTGGATAACCAAGCGCCGGGCACGCCGTTTTTGCGGCGGTAACATCCGTTATGGAGGATTGGCTCGGAAAAAGTTCGAATTTCATTGTTTGAGTTTAACAGATAATTAGTGTATGACATCGTGTAATTAATTTTGTATGGTAAGTAAAAATTTGTTGCATCCAACCACTGCGGAGTTATTCACGAAAAACTGTTTCCGCCTGGACAACGTTGTCCAAGCGGCACTTTTTTTATCCTATGGACGTAGAAGAAAAAAAATAGTGAGGTAATTCCTCACAGTACATTTGTACTGTGAGGAATTACACAGTACACTAATTTTTGATACTATTTTTCAGCGGAAACAGTTTTTCGTGAATAACTCCGCAATGGTTAGATGCACAAATTTTTACTTACCATATACAATTACACGACGTCCTATACTAATTATCTGTTAAACTCAAACAATGAAATTCGAACTTTTTCCGCTGGGGCAATGCACACGACCCTCTCATACGGGCTGACGCAGGTGATTACCGGGAAAGGATGCTTCGGGAATCACCTGTGTCTGATCCGCAAGGAGCCAACGTCTTAGTGCCACCACTGCTACTGCACTGTACACGGACCGTGGACTCGGCGCTCCACACGCTGGCAGAATGCCCGACGTGGGTGGAGCAGGGGCGCGATCTCGTGGCGGCCATCGGAGTAAGAATTCTCACGCTCAGTAACTTGATTGCAGCCATGGTACGGAGACCTGAGGGTGACAGGTGAGGCCATCTGCCACCCTAGCAGAAGGCGGTCGGGTTAGCGGCGCGTCGCGCTGTTGAGCGAGAATTGGAACACCGTGCATCCTACACACGAGGGGGTCATCTACAAGCCGTATATGGCCCGGAGTCCGTCTGGGTAACAAGGACTTCCTTCCTAGGGTACACCTGGTTCCTCGGCTACTGGTACCCGAGATGGCGTGCGGTTTTGAGAGTGTGACATAACCACCGGTGGGTGGTATCCGAGGGTGGTATTATTAAGTGGCCCACCAACCCAAGTGGTCGAAAAGTCGAACTGAAAGTCGAAGTTTGTTTGATTGGTGTATTATCAAGTATCAGTTTTGAGATTTAATTTTTTTTCTTTTGATTTTTAATATAGCTGCAACATTAGTATAACATTGCATTACATAAGATCTAAGATCAGTAACAATTTCTAAAAGTACGCGTGAAAACTTGTTCAGTAACCCATTAAGAATGTAATGTTCCTGTGTTCTTGCAGTTGTAGTTATGTACTTAAGCTTTGACATCTACCATAACAAAACATTAATCTTACTTAGTTGCAGGCCAAAGGTGAGTTATATTAAAAAAAATCAGATACTTCTTGTTTGCCCAACTTAGTGCGTAATTTCTACACAAGTAAGTCCTTCTGTATAGAATAGTAATTATTATATGCAGTAGTTATATTTGGTTACATATCATATCAGTTTTACCAAAATAAAAAGCAGACTTTTTAGGCCTTTTTTTTTTGCCGTGCGGAAATCCCCTCGGATACCACCTATCGGTGGCATCTCGGACTACGCCGTCTCGGGTACTAATAGCCGGGGAACCAGGTATACCCTAGAAAGGAAGTCCCTGGTGCCCCGACATACCTCGGGCCTTCTACAGACGAGTAGACGACCACCCCCCGTGTGGGAACCCCATGTTCCCTCTGCTCCCTGGAAGCGAGCGTGCTTCATCCCGGCCTGCTTCTGCTAGGGTGACAGATGGCCTCACCTGTCATCCCCAGGCCTGCGCTTATGGAGGACGGAGGTCGTTCTGCGACCTCCGGCGCCTGAGTCGCCTGCGGTACCTGGCCCGTTCCCGGGCCTGGCGGGCCGGGAGAGTTTTAAACCTCTCCCGGTCCCGCTCCGCCGTCTACTTCGCGAGCATAACTTGCTCGCAGAAGGAGACGGCAGAGTTCCACGCACTCTCGCCGCAATCAGGCTATCGAGCGAGAGAACTCCCACTCCGATGGCGGCCACGAGGTCTCGCCTCTGCTCAACCCACGCCGGGCACTCTGCCAGCGTGTGGAGAGCCGTGTCCACGGTCTGGCCATCGCAGTGGTGGCACTCAGGCGTTGGCTCCTTGCGGATTAGACACAAGTGATCCCCGAAACATCCTTTCCCAGTGATCACCTGCGTCAGTCGGTATGAAAGGGGTCCCGTGACGCCTCTCGAGCCAATCCTCCATAACGGGTCTTACCTCCGCGATGACGGCGTGCCCGAGACTTTTTAGGCCTAAACATTTTGATTGACAAAGAATCTAGTGTCAAATAGGACTTAGCAATAAACACGAAAATTGTTGTCATCTCATCTATTCACACTTTTAATGGTATAAATAGAAAATGTTTTGTATTTACATTAAAAATGTCTGTAATTATGTGTACACTATAAATTACATATTGTCGACAAAGCAATTTTGTACGACTTTGACAATTGGTAACTAAATTGCACAATGTATGTAAATACTATAATATTGCTAAGCCGGAGACTATCGATACTGAAGGCTTGTTTGCAGTTATATTCACTAACATTAAATCAGCGCAATTGTTTATTCTAAAACTGCTACTATTTATTTTATAGTGTTACATAAAACATTGTCCTATAAATATCTATGTACATTTACTACAAGCTAAATTTAAATAGTCTTACAGTAATTTAAATAACCTAGATAATATCTAATATAATTTAGGAACAGCCTACCACATGTTTTGGACAATTTCGCCTAAAAGCTTTTACTATGACATATACAGGGTCCCAAAAATGTGACAGATTTAGAATTTAGTTTTAGAATATTTTATTTTACAGTTGGACTATAAAAAGTGTAGTGTCTGCATATGACATATACATATGAATGGGAGATAATAGTACCTTTTTGGCCGCATACTTCCAATATAGGGCGACCTTCATCCTACAGAATTTAAAAGGTTTTATGAAGGTTAGAACACAAGCAAGATTAACTGTAGTGAATATTTTTTTCCTCGATATATCTATTTATATATAATATTATATTAAATAAAAGAAATTTCGATGTTTATGTATAATTATTTGAAGAAACTGTACAGTAATGTACTGACATATCACTCTACACTCTAAATAGTCCAAAGTAATTAAATAAACACATCTGTACAATGCACTGAAATTCTGAACATATAAAATTTATATAGCGGTATTATACAGTATAAGGGCGAATAAAATACCGGATAATAAGATTTTTACTCTCTTTCTTTCTATATAGAAAGATAGACTTTATCAGATATATTTTATCTAACTATGTAAAGTGACTGATGTTACTTACATTGTTGTTGTTAGCTTTTTACAAGAACTTTACTGCCATGGCCAAATATATTTATTCACCTTTATACTATACGAGCGATCAAATCAATAAATTAGTTTTTAATATTCTACACAGCCTAAGCCTTTAAATATAATAACATAAGGAAAGACAACTGTAAGGACACACAAAAATATTACACTTTCATTTCGAAATTGTACCTACAATTTATGAAACTTAAACATAGGAGAAAAAAAATGATAAATCAGCTTATGGGTGGTAGAGTAGATGGATAAAAAACTGTCTAGAAGGACCATTTTTGGGATATCTGTATATCGTTTAACATAACCACTCGCATTAGAAAAGCGCGAATAAGACAGACTGTAAATGCCCGATTTCTCACCGTACATAAGCTTTTTATAATATGGCGATATTTCTGCTCTACCATCCATTAAGTCCTAGTATTTTTAGTAAATAAATAAATGTTACACTATAGTTTTAAGGGATGATTAAAATATAAATTAGAAGGTATATTAGAAGCACAACACACTAATTATTATTAATGAACTTGGTATCGAAACTGGTGTAAATGGGTTTTGTTATAACATGTACAGGTTTATACTCCTCACTCAGATTTAGTATGAAAGGTAATAAGTATGTAAACAATCCAAATTTAAATGTATAGATACAAAACTACTGCTAAATGTTGCAGTATAATATACGTACATTTATTTCTTATTACACGTTGCAAAAAAGAAACATCGCAACGTAACGTTAAACGTAGAAAATACAAACGTATTTTTAAGACAATAAAAATACAGTATTTTATAATTGTATGCAATTTTCACCTTTAAAAGCTTAATCCGGAGACGACGATTAAAATCAACACTGTCTACATCGTAACACGGTATTTATTTCTACGGTACGGTGTACGGTAAAAAATATACACGTACCAATTTTAGTTGACCCGATCACATCGATTGTCAGGTCATTTTGGGTCATAATCTTCAGGACTTGCATAACTTAAAATGATTTAAAGCAAAATTGGATCAATGTAATAAATATGATAAAGTGATAAACAAAACGACCACCAATTATTTTAAACCCATGTTACTGAAGGAACAGATTTAGAATAAAACAAAAGTACCAATAAAAGTTAAATACTTATTAAAGAATTTATGCTTTAACCAGAAAAGAGAAATGATTACTGCATAACCAAAAACTTGAGTTCATAGTCCAGTCGCTAATAATGTTTAATGAGGAAGACTTTTTTATTTTATTTAAGGATATTTTTTCAAGTCTATCTATGAATAAATCCCATTACTGAGGCAGTTAGTAAAGTATTTAAGAGTCCAAATATAGAGAAAGTAGTCGCTGATATTAACTGACGACAGTTACAAGAGCACATTATTGGTAAGGGTATAACATGGCCACTGCTGGATCTTCAGTCTCAAAGGTGATAAGCACGTCTTTAAACTTGTCTAGTAGCTGCATTAGTTGCGACCTGCTCACATTCTCCATGAACATTATCTCTTCTAAATGCTGTTCGCCACGGAAGTAGCCTAAAAGCAGAAAATAATATTTAGAATCATTGAATTTGAGTGACGATTTCTAAGAGTAAGTTTATATTTAACACCTTAATTCCAAAAATGTATCCAACTGTGACAGTCTTGTAATTACAGCCTGTTGTATTTGCTAGAATTTATTAGATTTTATGTTTACGAAAATAAAACAGGTACTCATGTACAAAAGCACCAATCTTTTTTGCAAAAGAAACAATAGACAATAGAGGAACCTTTCTCTGTTGTGTATTTTTTGCAAAAATGGTTTGTGCTTGGGATGTGGGGTACAGAGAAGGAGATGCAGTACGTGCGAGCAATAGCTTGTGTTTAGCGACGCAGGCGCAAGTGTCCAGAGCCCTGCCAAATATAATGTGTTCAATGACTATTATGAAATGGTGCAGTGTCACATACTTAATGGTTAAGTTGGAACAAAATTCAGAGACTGTGCAAGCTGTAATGAAAACCACGTCTTTGATATACCTATTTAATGTCGATGCTTCGTGTCCGTGCCGATGTCGTAAGTAAACTTTAACTTTTTTTTTTTAAGAATTGTTGTAGGTACATAAGTTTATTTCAAATTTATTTAAATACGTCTAAATGCTAAAAGTTTGTTTTAAATAGAAGTTAATTATTTTAATGCTCACGAAATCCATGTATTTATTATTTCAAACTAATGTAGCTTTCTTACGTATTTGCGTTTCAATTAACGTAAACAGCACGAATCTTCAGTTTGTCGGCAAACAACGTATTTAAATAAATACAAGTTAATGGACTGTAATTTAGCGTTATGTGTTGCTACGTTGGCGCGCAAGAACCTAGATATTAATATAATTCTTGCAATGTGTCTCAAAGCTCGGGCACCTTCATAAAGCGTCGAATGGCGAAGCGGAACCACGGGTTTGCGGAGTAAAGGATAATAGAAGAAAAGGGTAGCATGTCAATACAGCAGATGATATTTCACAACAAACGATTTATAAACATAAACTTGTAAGTCGAGTCACCTGACTCGTCATACTACACTGTAGTGAGGTCATGGAGCAGAAGGAATTTCGTACATTGACTTGTTATTATCCTGTCTCTGTCCCTCGCGCACAAATCTATGGCCGTCACGCTCGCAACGATGCGATGACATTTGTGTGGAGATAGTAAACTTTTTGGGCGTTACAATAAGCCATTGATATAATACTTACATAGATGAGTAATTACCGCCTAAAATCGTTGCTACTGCACATCTGTCCACAGGCATATGCGTAGCAAACGTCAATTCAGTGTTCAATGTGGCGTCAACCGAGTTGAACATAGCGACACATGACAGTAACAATCGCCAAAATGGGTAAATGCGTAGTGAAAGAATGCGATTCAAGGTCACAAAACCATAATAAATCATGCGGAATTACTTATCACGTGAATCTGTAAACAGAATTCTCGAAATTATCATCCAATTCTTCTGAATGAATTTGAAATCAAAAATCAGGCAAAGACAAAAGCATTGTAACCCCATTTACAAAAACTTTTATAATTGGTTGGTTAGCCAGCTGTCAAATCGTGTACAATTGCGATACATTTTCTGATTGGTGTTTCATATCACGTGACTCACGATAAAAAAAAAAAATATTTTTCTCAAAGGAAAATAAATTAAAAAAAAATCTTATCTTCATTAATATTATTTTGGGCTTTCTGTCAACTCGCAAGTTTTAAGAGTTAAGTCAAGTCACGTTGGATAACATGAGTGCAATATCTACCTTTTTTGTGCAGTTGAGCTAACAGCAACAGATCATCAGTATTCTTTGAAGCGGGTATATTGGCGAGTGTGGTACGTTCCTCTGAAGTGAATGTGTCCAGTAATGACTCAGTGGTGGGCGGCTCGTTGGGTATTCTACACGCGTCTACTACGTCGCAACTCGCTGGCACGTTCCATACAGTTGGTTGTTGGAAACTGGAATAAATTTCATACATATTTTATAATTATTTGTCATTTGAAGAATTGGCCGACATTTAATATGCCCAATTTCTACACGTGTGTGAAAACTTATGACTTTATAATGCAATTTTTCTCTATATATATATTTACTTTTTTTTTCTAAAATAGGATAACTCCCATACATAAAGCGGACACAAAGAACACACCGACTCAGAACAACCATTGTGGGGGGGTCGAACCCACAACACTCTACGCTTTCGGAAGCGGCGAAGTGACCTCTTAAAATACTATGCCACCCGTGCAGTCAATTATGAAATAACAAAAGATATTATGAGAAGTTGTATAAAATGTTTAAAGATGTCTTGTTTTAGAACAATACATCTTTAAACATTTTTTATTCTTTCTTTTTATTTTTACTTTCATTCTTTCTATTTCATTCTTATAGAAGAATAAGTTTTTATTATTAGGAAATAAAACATTGATAATTGTAATTTAGAATCAGTGTTACCATTAAAAAATCATTTTTGTTTTCCCACATTAGTGGGAGAATTTATAATTTATGAAATAATATGCTTTATACTGTTTTTAAACATTTTGTCAATAATAATAAAATATAGGAAGAACGGTAGTGGTTAGGGCTGGATCGATCACTTTTTTTAGGGACCCGTTGAACGTTCACCTTCTGCCAAGCTCGCAGTGCTGGAGACTTTTGTATAAAAGAATTAATTAATTCATTCATTCATTTTTCCTAATTAATTATCAAATATAAATAATAATTGTACAAAAAAAAATATATAAAATAAAAAAGTAAATAAATATAAATAAAAAAATATAAAAAACAAAAAAATATATATATATAGAGGAAAGTCACCAAATATGGAATACCATTTTGTTTTTGGGATATAAAAAAAAACTTCATATAAATTAAATCAGTTTAATGTTTTTACTAATCCGTCATACATTTATATGTAGTAATTCACAGCCTTTAATCAAATATATTAGTTATCAAATTAAAATCTAACACAAAAAACAATATCACAAATGAGTAACCAAATATGAAATGGGTACCCATATATGGAATATAAGCATAAATCAACATAACAATAACTAAAATGGACATTAATATCTTTGAGATCAATTAAATGAATATAACATATTGTGATCCATGAAACAAGTTACATAATTACTTGCAAAAGTCACAGATCCAAGTATCAAACTCTGGACCAGCACAATCATAATGTGCCCAGAGCCCACACATCAAGCATTTAATCCAGCTTTCTCCACTTTTATCCACGGAAAAAAGTCTTGAACAGAACATACATTCTGCATCAGCAAAGTCAGGAGGTACTTGGTCCATCAACTCATCATGTTAACTACCTTCATCAAACTGGATAACGTCTAGTTCCTCAGAATCTTCTTCTTTACTATCATCCTTATTTTTCTTCGTTTGTTTGTTTCTCTTCGCAGTTTTCTTCTTATTCTTTGTCTTGACTAGTTTACTTTCTTTTTCTTGTCTCTTCACATTTTTGTTTTTTAAATTATTTTTGTGGGGAGAAGATGTTATGACTACTGCTACAGCAGCTTTTCTTCCTCTGCTAGATACTTTTCTTCGTTTCTCTGGCACTGGACTTATGGCATGCGGAGACACCAGATCCAAACTGCTGCGATTAAGCCCAGAAGTCGAAGGTGCAGGTATTTCACCAGAACTTGACCTAATTATGGAATATTCCATAATTAGACACCGACGACTGTCCATATTTGGATTTTTATACTAGTTCATACTCTTCTAAATATTTTTTCAAGTCACAATATTTTAATGACAAAAGATCACAAAATGGTGAAATAAACATAATACCGATATACTAAATAGTATAACACTTATGTATATAAACATAACAGCTGGTAATACTCATTTATTACTTACCTTTAAAATTTTCTGCACGACAACAAAACAAAACACGCCTGCCACACGTGAAGGGTTCGCGCAACTGACTCGATAATGTGAGTTCGATAGTTAGTAGACCGAATGAAACAGAAGATGGTCGAGTGTTGCGTTCCATACTTATAGTCTTAGAGAAATGAAGGAATTCCATATTAGGATACTATTTCATATTTGGTGACTTTCCTCTATTTGTTATATATTTTTTTTATTTGTATTTTATAATATTAAAAGAATTTGCAATACACCCTGGGGATTATTTATTATCAGTACAAGTTGATCATTCACTTTTACTATTAAATGCCATTATTTATACATAGGTAAAAATAAGATTGTATCATGAAAGTAAAATATTCACACAAACTTATAAAAAAGAGTCTAAAAGACAATTGTATACAAAACTGATGCTTCATAGCGGAGTTTGATTTTACACTGAATATAAACCCTTTAAACCAAATATTTCTAGTTATTTTATTATTTATACCTATTCCATTTAATTCGAAATGTATTATTGAAAATATTTAAATTAATTTACTTTATTACAAAATTGTTTAAAAAAAAAATTGTTTCTTGGTTGTTATGGGTAAAATTTCATACGGTAGTCAACACTGGCCTACCATCGTAAATTTATGTCTTTGTCTTTGTCTAATCCGAGCGATGGTATTGTTCTTGTCTCGCGTGTAAATGAGACATAAATATGTTTACTTTCAAATGTTTAGTGGTATCAAAGCTACGTCGTCAAAGTTCAAAAGTGGTTACACTTTTTTCGACGTGTGATAATGAGGTTTGCTTCTCTAGTGTTGTTTTAACTCAATGCAATAAGCTCTGCTTTTGTATATAGGATATTTGGTTTGCCGTGCCATTGCTTTACATATTCAAATAATAATGTTACTAAATTTTTACATTATATTAATACTATTCTGAAATAAGTAATCCTGAAATAATAACTTTATTATATTTCATAAGTAATTACTACATTTAATTATACTAAAAAATAATTTAATGAGTATCACAGTTAAGAACCATACTGTACGATATAGCGTCAGAGCGGTGACTTTGTAGTTGTTGTTGTACCTGAGTATAGTATATTCGTATAAACTGAACATAATATTAAAAATTACACTTAATATTCTGTATATTTTATATATTCTGCAAAATGTTATAGACTTGTATGTTAAGTAAAAATGTTTTTGACCTCTGGCCGTGTACACAAAGGTCATTGTACGAAATCCTTCCTGCTGCGCAACCAGTAAACCTAATTTCATGAGTATCTCTGTTACAATACTATGTAAGGTACATAAGGGTTTTTTTAAGCACACACATCTCACACACGTCAGTCTGATCCCAAACTAGGCGAGGAGGCTGTGCTATGGTAACCAAGTCTGGAAGAAATAAGAATGTTGATCAGCAGTCACTGATCGGCAGTCGCTTATCAACATTCTTAAAAATTTCTAAATACAAACAGGTTATAGATGAATTACATCCAGACACAGAATAAATGATCATGCGCTTCACACAATTATTTGCTCCCTCCTGCTTAGAAGTTAGGTCAGTAACCACTAGACAACAGGTCGGTTGGTATTTCAGTTCAAACTTAATTTAAATTTAGATCGCGATCACTGATCAGTGTGTCTATAAACTGCGAGTTCTTGAAGTAAGTTTTTTTAAAATCTGAAAACAGAATTCTCGAAATTTTCATCCAATTCTTCTGAATGAATTGGAAATCAAAAATCCATCCATCCATTTACAAAAACTTTTATAATTGTTTGGTTAGCCAGCTGTCAAATCGTGTACAATTGCGATACATTTTCTGATTGGTGTTTCATATCACGTGACTCACGATAAAAAAAAAATCTCAAGGGAAAATAAATTTAAAAAAAATCTTATCTTCATTAATATTATTTTGGGCTTTCTATGAACTCGCAAGTTTTAAGAGTTAAGTCAAGTCACGTTGGATAACATGAGTGCAATATCTACCTTTTTTGTGCAGTTGAGCTAACAGCAACAGATCATCAGTATTCTTTGAAGCGGGTATATTGGCGAGTGTGGTACGTTCCTCTGAAGTGAATGTGTCCAGTAATGACTCAGTGGTGGGCGGCTCGCTGGGTATTCTACACGCGTCTACTACGTCGCAACTCGCTGGCACGTTCCATACAGTTGGTTGTTGGAAACTGGAATAAATTTCATACATATTTTATAATTATTTGTCATTTGAAGAATTGGCCAACATTTAATATGCCCAATTTCTACACTGTGTGAAAACTTATGACTTTATAATGCAATTTTTCTTTAAATATATATTTACTTTTTTTTCCTAAAATAGGATAACTCCCATACATAAAACGTTTAAAGTTTTGTATAAAATGTTTAAAGATGTCTTGTTATAGAACAAGACATCTTTAACCATTTTTCATTATTTCTTTTTATTTTTACTTTCATTCTTTCTATTTAATTCTTATAGAAGAATAAGTTTTTATTATTAGTAAGTGCTACGTTAAAAAGTTTTACCTCATCTCACTCTGTAATTTCAAATTCAAAGACACACCATTCTTCTTTTCATTTCCATTAAACAAACCATTAGTTTTTATACGTGGTGATATATCTTGATCACTTCCGAATTTATCATCATCACTACTGATATCTTTATTCCCACTGTTCACTGTACCTTCGCTATCTTTCAAGGAAAGATCAGATAACCTAGACGAAAGGCCTTTTTTTTCCGTGTCTAATTTATCTACATCGCCTTTGGTAATATCTATATGGCCGTTCTTAACAATATCCCCATTTGTATCGTCACTATTACTTTTAGTACCATTCATGTTATTTGATATACCACTGTCAACTGAATTTCCTTGTATTTTCTTCTGTGCTGCTTCTTCCTTATTCGTATCGTAATTATAACCATTTGTCATAGACGGCTTTATTCCATCCACCACATCGATTCCATCGTCAAATGAATGATTAGCGGAATCATTCTCCTGGAACTTATCGTACTTTATGTGTTCAGATTCGATGACTATAGGTTTAGTATGTGAGAAATCTGTTTGATTTAGGTTGTTTTCTGTTGGATAATCTTCATCGGAGTCAGGGAATATGCCGCTATTCTCCCTAGGTTCTACTGGTCCAGGCACATTTAGTTGCATTTGGTTGAGAGAAGAGAATGAAACGCTACAAGACTGGTTGTAGACGTCGTGTTTCTCGCAGAAGTATTCCTTGCCATCTGTAAGACGTAATAGTGTTGTCAACAAATTTGTTTGCATATAAATGTTATACCACTAATGTGGCAAACAACAGCCGCATCTTTTGGTAAGAGATAATTGATGTCTACATATATTTTCAAAACCATTCAGCGTTATTGCTTGATAACCACCCTTTAAAATTCCCTAATTTTTTAATAGGTTTTCATTACGTAATACGAATTTCACATGCATAATTTCTTACCTGGGTCACGTCCCCAGTGAGGCGAGTTGAACTGCACGTAAGTATGTAACTGAAGTAACAATCTCCTTCGAAGCAGCCAAGCGACACATCTAGCCAGTCTTGCACCGCCACCGCCTCCCCCGCAACCATTACGGGAAACATACCACAAAGGAGCAGGCAGCGAAAATTCACTTAACATCTACAGAATAAACGTTTGGTTAATTAAATAATATGCTGTAAAGTAACGCCAGGTCAGCAAACTGTGTATAAACCTCAGTTTTATAATAAAATATTGTCAACTAACTGTTACAGGTAGCTTCGCTGCCGTAAACGCAATTTATCTATGGTTCCGTTTTTTTTACTATACTCTATTTTCTTTACTGTATCACAATTTGGTTGGGGTTTGCACAATTTCATGTTGATCGGATGAATAGTAAACCAAATACTTGTCAATAGTACGCCCTTCGGCCGCCATCGAAAACGATGGTTCGTAACCAGTTAAGGAGGAAGAAAAAATGATCTTTGTACGAAACCATGTTCAAACCAGGATTTTTTTGTTCTTTTTACGAAAACTACTAGTTACAAAGACGTATACGTGCCACAGTACGTACAGAAACTTATGATTCATGAAATACTGACTAGTTATAATAATTGTGTTACACGTCTAATAATATCTGTATTTGATGTTTGTCTCGTGAAAGTGGTTACCTTATTAAATACAAAAAAAAAACTTTAAAGGAAACTATTAAAAATAAATTCCTTGTACGTAACCGTGGTCTCGTAAAAAGAAAAAATCCTGGTTCGGAATTGGTTTCGTACAAAGATCATTTTTCCTCCTCCTCAACTGGTTACGAATCATCGGTTTCGATTCGATGGCGGCCGAAGAGCGTACGACTGAACAAGTATTTGGTTTACCCTATTTACTATTCATCCGATCAACATGAAATTGTGCAAACCCCTTGCCAGGGATACAGTAAAAAAAATTGAGTACAGTAAAAAAAAACGGAGGCATAGAAAATTATTTATTAACTTAATTATTACTATACTATACATATTAGTTTAATGAACTATTAATAGAAAAATTGAAAGTAATAACGAAGAATGCCTTTCAACCAATAATAATTTGCAAATGTAAGAGTAATAAAACAAGTTATTTACAATGCACACACACGTAAACCTGACCAGGTGTTTAGTTTGCCGTGTGTACGTCATAAAATACGAAAAACTAACATTTGTATTTAAATTTACATTTTATTTTTAAAAGAACCAACCTGCAATAAACATAATCCTGGAAATTCCTTAGCAAAGTCTTCAACAAGCGGTGAAAGTATGTGGACATTAGCACCTGGCGCGACAACATACACGTTACTCTCACATAACGGGTAGATCACAGTGGCTTTCGCCCAGTACACCAAATGACCTGTGAGCTGGGAAACCTGAAATTAAGATTATCTATTTAATTACAGTAAGGTTTTTTACGTAAACAGATGAACAATTATTCATTTTTTGCCATTGCATCTGAAGATTTTATTATATAAGCCAAGCTCTAACGTATTTTGTTTTGTATGCAGTTCTGAAATACCACACCAATAGTGTGAGTTTATTTCATATCTACTCGTCACTAATCGCATTGCCGAACGTGGTCGCCCTCTAGAGCTCTCTGGTATATGTGCTTACCTTATAAGGCGCAATGTGCAGGCGTGTTTAGTATAATTACACACACTTATAAATTTGTATAAAATATATATGAAATACATACGTATAAAATACGATTACCGTTTAAGTGTGTGAACAACATACAATTGATGTCTCTTCTAACTATACATATATTCCCATGGATGCCGCACAGATTCGCTATGGACGGATGTATGAATAATTTATACTTCTTAGCACTAGTAAACGTTTACCAATATACAACTATGAAATAAAAAGAGAAGCCTCCTTTACCAAAGAATACTGTCTACTAAAACCTTTTTTATTTTTAAACCTTATCTTATTTAGTTAGAAATACATATCTTTTCTTTATTGATTATTTACTGATGCTGCTAAAATAATAATTAATAGGAAAAGAAAACAATTTAAACAACTTTCCTGTACCTGTTTCAATGATAAGTCAGCTTCTATAGCGAGTGTTTGTAAGCTCTTTAACGGGCTATAAAGCTTTATCAGTCTTAGGAGTGCCGAACTACTATCCAGTGGTATTGAGGATAACAAATCATTTGGATTTACCTGAAAAATGAAATATCACAGGTAACAAAACAGGATCAACACAGTTGCGATTCGGTAGATCTTTTCCAGTATACAATTAAAATTTATTTATTTATTTATTTATTTTCTTTAAAAACAACTATTTTTACAGGCTTAGTAGTAGTAGGCCCAATGCAATAGTGTTATACCATCTACTTATTTATTATAAGAAATAATTCTTAATGCTGTTATTGTGAATTCACTCAGTGAGCAATAAAATAAATCTAAAATTACTTCATTTATTTACGATTTTCTTTCCTTGATATGTAAGCAACTGTATACAATATTTTATTCTTTAACATCATGTAGGATTGTAATAAACTGTAGGTATTCATCAATCCTTAACTTTCAACCTTAGGGATAGTCTTGTCTCTACAGAATACCAAAAGATATAAAGCAAAGAATATCAAATACCAATTTGGAACGAAAGGGAAATATAATAGTTAACAAAAAAAAATTACAAATTGGTTTATAAATGACGAGTTTTGAGGTAACAAACATTAAAAATTCAACTGAATTGAGAACTTTCTTCATTTTTCAAGTCGTCAAAAATGAAGGAAGTCGTGGAAAAAGTGTTTAATACGTAACAACATTATTTATTTTCAGGTTTTAAGTACTTTCACATGCTTACCATAAGTAAAATTCCGTGATAAGGCCTAAGTTTCTGTAAGCACTTGTCTATCGTTTCTGGTTCTATGATTAAGCCTCTATTATGTATTTGGTGCGCTTTGTGTGGTAAGCAGAACGAGAGTAAAATCCATTTGTTAATCCGAACCTGGACAATACCTGAAAAAATTGCTAAGTATACGTTATAAGAGGTAATCGGGGCAGACATTGCTTAACTGCCAATTATGAAAACATAAATAAATTAAGAAAAGTCTCTCGTCTATACCTTGGTATAAATTTACGCATACATTTAGCAGTATAACTACAAAAAATATTTTTGGCACGAGATTTTTTACAAAGGGGTATAAAGTAGTATTAGTAATACCCAGGCCCAGCTATGTATGGTCACCGTGAATTTTTGATAGAAAAACTCAACACACGGAAAACGTATCTTCATTCATCAGTATCATCACACAACAAATTGGTTCAGAAACATGTTATGAAGTCAAATCAGTTCAGTAACTTTTATTCCGTTCTATGTTATCTTTTATTATAGATGTTAAAATTTTCAGAGTAATTTCTTCGTCTACTTTCGAAAATGAAATTTTATTTATTTATTTATAACTTCGTGCACATTTGTACATCGGCGGACTTAATGCCCGAGGCATTCTCTCCCAGTCAACCTTTAGGTAGTGTATGGAATTGAAAAATTGAACTGTTAGTAGTGTCTACGCAAAACAAATAATAACCTATAATGAATTTTAAAAACTGTCTCTACCCTTTTTTTATCAATATTCTAGGTACTGTTTTCTTCTAATTCAATCCTTCGGCATATAGTGATACTGCGGCCTTACAGAACTCGTGAGGTAACCAGACCAACCCTACGCCTTTCCCTAGTAAAGTATTAAACATCCAACGTTGAATGTAATGTGATTATATCGTATTGTAACTAAAAATTGAATCGGTCATCTGCTAGTCTTAGGCCCGTATTTTAAAAGTTGTCTCAGTCGTGAATCTAGTCTTAAAACTAATATTAAGTAGAGATTTTATTATTGAACGTCACTTAAAACGAGATTCGACACTCCATACTCAAGTGAGTGATAGCTTATTTTAGAACGATGTTTATGTCGAAATCATTACTCAGGTATAGATTTTGACCCACTAAGGGGGTGGTGATTTGGCAGATACACATTATAGGTAATAGTCGATAACTGGGTGTCGGTAACCGGTAACTGTCGATGACTGGGTGTTGATTACTGGAGATTCGGTGTCGACGATTGGAGATTTATACACTTTTTCCTTTTTTGGGATTTTTTTCTAGTCCGTGTATAGTTAACAAAAATAATACATCCTATTCTTATCTCAAGAATATACCTTACCGTACTCAATCATTACTTTTGGTTTAAAGATGACTAAATGACCTTTAATTTTATAAAGAAGCCCACTATCTCCTTAAAGTGTCGATCATTGGTGCCACTACGTTACAACAAGTTTATGAAAAGCAGGAAATATAAAATTAAAAACTAAAAGTTGTTTCAATTTTTGTACCTTTTTAAAAATGATAAGAATAAAAAATAAAACTTTCAAAATGAGGGAAACCGACTTTTCGCATCACTATTTTATCGATGTCGATACGACGATTTTGATGGTATGCACTGGCCTACGTTCAGCTCACTAGCGCCCCTAGCGGATCATCGTCATGAAGACTCAAACTCATATGAAATGACGTTTGTTCAGGAGGTGTCTTATCTGTACTATGTACATATCTCTTAATCTGTGACCTTTTGGTTTATGTTAAAAGTATGGTAATATAAAGTTTAGAAATATCAAATAAAAACATCTTTTGACATTTCAACATGACAAGTGTTGATAAATAACTTGAACATTCCGTTATAGCCCATTCATACAGCTAGTCATTTTTATTTTAATATTTATTATACTTAATTTTGAACGAACAACAAGCTTGTTAATATGTTAACATTGCTACACTAGCGAATAGTATATTATATACAAATTCACAGAAATTATTTTTGTAGAAGAAAATTATTTTTTTAATAATAATGCTAAATTTAATAGCTGCGTAATGCGGAATAATAGTGTCAATCATGCGGAAACGTAATTGAGAACAGACTGTAAGTTCAAATCAATACTTGAAACTAGTTTCAACTGACTGCACGGATGGCGTAGTGGTTTAAGCGGTCGCCACGCCGCTTCCTACTACGCCGAGTGTTGTGGGTTCAAACCCCACATGGGACGACACTTTGTGTGATCCACAAATTGTTGTTCTGAGTCTGGGTGTTCTTTGTGTCCGTTTCATGTATGTTTGTAAAGTCCCCCGCGACACAGGATTTATTCCTAATGCGGGCGTTGTCTTTTATAACGAAAAAAAAAAAAAAAAGAGTAAAACTTAAAACGCGTTCTATTATATGTTCTAAAATAAGATCGATACTTAAGATTTGATCTGCACTTAAAACTAGTTTCAGGCAATCAGAGTTCAACCGACACTTGAGACGTCTTTTAAAATACGGGCCTTAGTAATACTTTACTATTTTATTACGAAAATACCTTTTATGACAGTTGTGAGATCGAAAGTTGATCAGAACTGAATTGAGACCGAACTGTTATTACGAGAATTGGCCTTCTTGACCGGGGGGAGGAGGCTCAAAGGGCAACGGACTTGTGACTCTCGAGTTGTAGGTATCCACGTGACCCGTCTGCTAAATTACCCTCTATTTCATAACGCCAGCCGGCGAAATAGATGCCGACCATGACTCACGAATCAAGCGCTATAATACACGAAAACTGATTTTAGCCGCGGTTGAAGATTAGACTTTTTAGTTGAAACTGATCTATCGATCAAACTAGCAATAAAATTAACCAAAAGAATGTTAGGGATGCAACTTAGTGGGGGTCTTTTTAAGTATATCAACGACTATGAACTTTAAAAATCTTTTATATTTCTTTATTCTATCCTTAACACTCACCTGTACTACTAAGCTCCTCAAATACTGCTTTCATCGACCTAGCTAGTGAACTCCGTTGCAGTATGAGATGGAAGGCAGATTTTGGTGCAGAATCAATCCCATTGTCACTGCTATATGTTGTCGAACTGACGGAATGGCGGAGATTATCTTCTTCTTCCTCACCTTCACCATTAGCTTCACTGTCTAAAGCTGAAACTTCATCATGAGCCGCCAACTAAAAGTTAAGATTTATGCTAGGTAATTAAAATTGTAATTATTTCAATGCTTATATAAATAACATTTACGTAAGAATTCTCAAAAAAAAAAAATTACAGCAATTCAAGTTTAATTATAGAAGTGTGTGCAAAGTTATGTATGTAAATATATCTCAAAATAAGCATATTATATGGCATCCTTCTCGTATTCTAGAAGAAAACCGAATCCAAAACTCACCTTATATTTATATTTTATAAATGTATTTATATTAGTATTTTCATTTTTATCAAAAATCAAACTATATAATAGTCTAATTGTACTATAGCTCATTACAAAATTAAGCTCAGATAATAGCAGAAAAAGAACCAAAACTCACCATTATTTTCATTTCTTCAGTTAAATAAGAACACCTTTTTTCTTCGTGTCTTAGTGCTTTTCCCAACCTTTTGCTAAGATCGTAGTAGCATTTTACTAAAAAATAGATATAGGTCCTGAGAGCATTGTTAATAAATTAGCCTATGTTGCATGGAAAGAGAAAAATGGGTAGGGGTTTCGGAGTAAGGATACCGGAGAAGCGAACCCTGATTCTTTACACAAAGGCCGGCAACGCACTTATATCTAGTTGCACGCAACTAGATATAAGTGCGTTGTTGCACGCAACTATGGGCGGCAGTGGTAATTTTTCATCAGGTGACCTATCCCCTCGTTTGTCTTTTATACAGTGAAGAAAAAAACCTAATTAAGTTTCGATTCGCGATCCTCAAATCGATCAAATGTGTTACTTTTTTGTATGTATATTAACGATTATTTTTAGTTTTGCATGTAAGAACAGTATGGTGCCCTAAGTAACAAGATTTCTCAGACTCTATCAGAAGCTCTGAGTGTGATATTATGACAAATTCAGGCAAAGATTTAATTAACTGAGTCTACCTATAAAGGTTGTTTTTTAATGTTTGTCACCTACGCCTTCATTTATAAAAAAATTGGAAAATCCTTTTTCTATAATTTTATTTCATCAAAACAGAAAACGTTTTGTTAATATTTACAAAAAAAAAATGTTTGTTGTTTATCAGTGTTTTGTTGTATGTTTGTTACGCGGTTTCGCCATGAATTTAAGGCCGATTTTCAAAATTATGTTTATAATCAGAAGAGTATACTCCTAAGGTGGTCCCTTTGTCACCAAATAAGGATCTGATGATGAGATCCCATAGAAATTGAAGAAAATACAAATGTTATTGGCCCGCACAACGAGTTTTTTTCTCAAGACATACAGGCATTTGCGTTCTGTAGTCATTATCTTATGTTGCTGAGATGATAATGGGCGGGTCCCTGACTTTTATAAATTGGGGGATAATTCTATCAATAATACAATCACGACCTTTAGTTATATTCGTTTAATATATTTATCACATGTTTATATCGGGTTAAAGAGATATGTGCACAAGAAAGTAATAGATGAGATGGTTTTTTTTTTAGAAAACTCTTTATTTTATTTGTAATTGTATACTTCTCGTTTGGTCCGATCCAGATACATACGTTACATTACGTAAATAATAAATACTACCCCTAATAGTGGAAAATTAAGTAATGTTGAAGACAGTTTATTACATTCATAATGATGTACTCGTAGTAGTAGCGTATTGAAGTCAGTGATAATTTTTAAAAGTAAATTATTATTTACTCGGAAAATAATTTATAACTATCTAAACTTCATTTTATATATGAATGTTTAAGTCAGCCTACACAACTGATTTGCTCAACCATGGCTGGACAAATTGCCAAAATTGGCTGGTAAATCAAGAAATGATGGTGTATCTCCATTAATTGGCTGAGTTCAACTGTTGGTCTACAACTATCGACTACCAAACAATAATAGACATTTAGGATTACAAAAGCAATTAAAATTGAACTGGCAAATATCTACATTTTTTACTTTTTTTAAATTATAATAAGTCCTTACCAACAGAATGACTTGCTGAAGCCTGCAGTGCAAACACAATATTAATAAGAATCATGGTAGCTGTGTCGTCTTTGTTAGTTCTGTAAGGCAGTAGGGTAGGGTGCCCTACAAACCTCACATCATTGACTTTGAGTTCAAATTTCCTGTTGCATAATTCCGCCTTTACAGCAAAAAGAGTAGACAGCATTTCATCAGTAAAGCCACTCAGTTGACCTGCAAGTATTAAGAAATTCAGGTAAGTAACTTTCTTGCAACTTAAATGCTTTATTTTAAACTCGAAATTATTAGGCTTAAATTACGGATTGGCAAATTCGAACGTGACGGGGTCACCTGAAAGGAGCGTCAGTTGAGCATAGGCGCCTTGTTGTTTGTGTGTGTTGTTGAAGGATAACTTGTGTCTACGAGTGAGTGTCTACGCGCTTCAATCAAATCACATACAATATTGATACACGAAGATGAATCCGTGAGCTTAATATTATAGGTTTTTCAAATACTAGTCCGCAACATAATTTGCGAAGGAAAATTGAATTTGGAAATAACGATGCTGCTTTATTCAAATCCCCAAGAAACTTACAAATCCAAAGTTGCAAAGAAAAGAATTGAAATTAATAACTTTACGGAGGTTATGTAAAAAATAGGAGAGGCCTATGTTCAACAGTGGACTATAGTCAATGGACTACAGGCCGATCAACCTGAGACCCAGAAACTAGAGTATACGTCTCTAAAGGTTTTTGGATGCGCTGAATCCGAAATCTAAATTACCGAATTGGCTCTGGTTTCTCAAAGTGCAAAAATAGCTGTTTTTTGCCATTTTTGAGCTTATGTAGCATCGTAACATATTTTTTTTGCCAAAAATTGTCAAAAGCATTTTAAAGTATAGGCTCTAACATTGAGTTTGCTCAGTTATCTTTTTTTTTCGCTCAGATATCACACATAACGCTGCGTATCACTGCAAACAAACTAAAACAACCCTTTTTTTTTTTTTTTTAACGTGTGGAAATCCCCTCGGACCGTCACCCCTCCGGGGTTTGCGGCGGGGTGGTGTGTCGGACTCGGACCGACTAAAACCACACGGTGTGCCACTCTGCGCCTGTAACAGGAGGGATCCGGGAACAGCTGTTGTTAAGACATCCGGACCCCTCCTAGCGCCAGCCCGCTCCTGGTGCGGGCTCCGTCTCAATGTTGTTCCTCTCTTTAGGCGACGTCCGGCACAAGCGGACGCCGCCCCCTCGCGGCTGGCCAAACTAATGCGGGTGGAGGGGAAACCCACCCCGTCCACCCTACACTAACCACCCCAAACTAAAACAACCCTACAACAAGCTCTACAAAAAGGTAAAACAATGTTCTGTTTGAGGAAACTGCAAAAATGTGATTTGATGCTATTAATTGATAGTACTAGTAGTCAACTGTATGAAATAATAAATGATGAAATTGCAACAGTTGATGAAATAATAAATCAAACTGGACATTCAGCGGTTTGTTTGCCTCCAAATCATCCTGATCTCAATCCAATTGAGATGGTATAATTATCAAAAGAGACTGAGCGTGAAATTATATCAATTCCAATTTAGATCAGAAAATAAGATGCTCTTGCAAACTTATTTACTAATTGCAGTACTAAAAAAAGGAGAAAATGTGGTGTGCACTTAATAAAATCTGAAGATAAATAGTACAACCGAATATAACATGAATAGTTTGATAGGTAGGCACACCCCAAAAGGACCATGGGAGTGTCACAAACGAATTTGCCAGGCCATAGTAATCTAACATGTATCTGATTTGATTAAAAATATTAATCAATCTATTTTTAATGAAAGTTTTTATGTTAAAGATGTATTAAACAAAGTTTCAAATAAAATTTTGAAATATCTGTGTTAATTTTATTTTTATTTTAAACATTTAGTTTAAACCTGAATTTCAGCATTTTGATGTAATTTTTTACAAATATAATACTAGTTACAATTAAAATTCATTTTATTAGAGAACCATGCTCCGGCATTTATGGGCCGGCTCCACCTTAGTGATACTACAGCCTCATAGAAAACCGGTGTTAAGCAATCTTTAATTGCTTTTCACCGAGTGAGTAAAGTTACAGGAGGCCTATCTAAGTACCCCCCTCCACCCCAACTTTGAGAGGGTGCACTGAAACACTGGCGATGCCATTCTGCTCTTGAGCTGCAGGAGTCCATGGGTGTTGGTAGTCACTTACCATCAGGTGACGCATCTGCTTGTTTGTCGCCAATTCCATAAACAAAAAAGGGGAATATAAATGGAAGGATTTTTACACTGAATAAATTAGTTATAATATTGATTTAAAAACATGCAATTGTTTTTTGCAGTGGTTTTTTTTTTATTTCATTTCATTTGTTGCAAGATTTGTATTCATTAAAATATCTTCTTAACCTGCTGGTCTAGTGGTTAGTCTAGTTATTCTGACCGCCAAGTTTGAGCTAATGGGTTTGATGAGGGGTACCATGTGCACAATCATTAGTTCGGTATCTGGGTATGTTTATTTATGATATGTAGGTATTAATAAATATTTAAATATGTGTATAAGCAGTTGGGTTATTAATGCACAGGCTCTGCTTAACTTGGGATCAAATGTCTGTAAATGCATATACTAATTATTATTATTATTAAGGTTACATGTATATTTATAATTGTTTGATAAGGCACATTTAGAATTTAATGGTTCTAAACAAATGAAAACCATTATTGAGTTCTCTAATGAGTTTAAAGTGCGAGTGAAACTATTATAACATAAATAAAAATCAACGGTTTAATAAATCAATATTGGATTATCACAATTATTTATGTACATGTCTACTTTATCTATTAGATTACATATAAACATGCTGTATTCCATTGAATTCCTTAATCCAGAGAACTAGTTTGAGTAATAATGATATTACTTTACCTTTACAAATGTTGGATGTCTGCGACTGGGGATTCTGCAGCAAGTCTTCAGCAGCATTCAAGGCGTAGGCATTGTGACGACCATATTTTTTATGTTTATTCTCAGCTTTGTTCTCTGTCGTGTACGGATACCTAAACAACAACCTATCACCCTTGCTGTCCGATTTAACAAAGAATATATTCAAAGGATTCACTTCCATCTTCACAGAATGATGTTTAAAAAGCTAAATAGTGAATAATGTGTATCATACAAGGTGATCAAGAAAAGGTTTTGCAACAAAGTAATCAAACTAGTCTTGTTACAAGCTTTTACACACATTTTTCAACTATATTTCACACGGTGAAACTTTGCTTGCGAATTTTAATATAGCTTTTAATCGTTTGTAATTATATTACGTATTGTAACTTCATAAACGATTAACGAAACGAAAACCAAAACATATATTCTGTATTTTTGTGACGTTTAAACGGGGCTGCCAGTGGGGGCTAGTGACGACTGTTTCATATCGCGTTAAGTGTCTGAAATAATACGAAATCTACTACTTTTGAGTGCAATATATATTTAAACTTAACAATTTATCCCAGACATGTTGTTATTTTCTTCCAATAGGTTTGTCACGATATTCCATTCCATACATGTCATTAAAACCGAAACGCCAACAATGTATTCTAATAAGATTTGTTGATTGAGAATATTGAGATTGAAAATATACAATCAGCATAATATGCTGATGAATGTAAAACATGTTCCCTTAAATAACATACTTTTACATTTTAAATTAGGTACCTAGTTAAACTATTTGGCAGTCCTGCTATATTATACCTAAGGATTGCAATCAGAAAAATCGGACTGGGAATCCGGCGGATCATCATTAACCTTTTACTAGATCCGACACAGATACCTGATCTGTTGACGGTTTTAGCAATTTATGACAAAATCAAGCCGACCAAGGACCGAAAAGTGAAAATTATTCTACCGGGTTCAGGCGGATCAATTGGAATCCCGAAGGATTAAATATGACGCCGGATTGCCTTCTCAATATTTTGCTGATTTAAACTGTTACACTAGGAATTCAAAATAGGAAAAAAGTATGTAAATAGTTTAACTTCTTTATTGTCATCATCATTAACAGCCTTTACTAGTCAACTGTTTGACATAGGCCTCTCCTAAGAAAGGAGATTTTGGCCTACTATACCGCGCTGTCCAGATGGGTTGGTAAAGGGTTTGTGTCAAGATTTCGTTCTTTTTGCAGTGCTGTTGTCCTGCTTAGTTTACTCCCTTATTCGAGTGGAATTATTATTTATTTTCTTGTCATTTGTAAATATAAAAAATAAAAAGCCGTGTGGTGTCGTGGGACACCCAAAAGAACGAAGTTGTGATATCGAGTAAAACTGATTCGACACGATTTTAATTACAACGCCATCTATGAAAGCGGCTATTACCTACATATTTTTCAGTTTGTTTCTAATTAAAACAATTTATACATTGGTAAAATTTCCTTGAGAAATGATTTCCTATCTATTCGATAGATGGCGCTGAGTGACTGACAAGTGATAATTCAAAATAAATACTGAGATGAAAAGTAATGATTTCCTATCTATTCGATAGATGGCGCTGAATGACTGACATAAAAAAAGTCGTTACAACTTTTCGTGAGATTTTTGTCTAGCCCCCTTTCACAACGCGCGATAAGGAACTTGTGATAACGTAAGGAGTTGCACACCTCCGTAGCCACTATCTATGCCTGTCTACAAGCTATATTATATCTATACTAATATTATAAAGCTGAAGAGTTTGTTTGTTTGTTTGTTTGTTTGTTTGTTTGTTTGAACACGCTAATCTCAGGAACTACTGGTCCGATTTGAAAAATTCTTTCAGTGTTAGATAGCCCATTTATCGAGGAAGGCTATAGGCTATATATCATCACGCTAAGACCAATAGGAGCGGAGCACCAATGAAGAATGTTTCAAAAACGGAGAAAATTTATTACTTTTGAGAGACGCAGACGAGGTTGCGCGGGTCAGCTAGTGTGTCATAAAGTAAAAACAACTGACTATTGAATTGTACATGTCATAGGTGTTAAAATAAAATATCCATATCAAATGTTTCGATATCATCGTTTATTGGGTTTTACTTGCACTGATCCCCCACAGAACTTCGTTCCAATAATAAGTAATCGACGGGCCTGTTGGCCTAGTAGTTAGCGGCCCTGACTGCTAAGCCGGAGGTCATGAAACCACAGAATACCCCCTAAGGCGTGCAACAATTACTTGCTGCAGCTTGCATATTACGTAACTCTAAGAATCACGACATTAGTTAGGCCAAGTTTGTGACCGGAAGGCACGTCTAAGTTCTTGACAATTTAAAATATTTTATATCAAAATATATTGGAAAGGCCTCTATGTGCATATCTCTTAATCTGTGGCTTCCTGCACAGTGTAATGGTGTGGCATGTCAGATAAGACATCCGGTTATCAAAAAGATGGCATAACATTTCATCGGTAAGTAAATTATATTCTTATCACGTTATCCTATTTCAAATGCACCGGAGTTCAACTTATACTGGTGACATAATGGTGACATGCAAAGTAATAATTACATTTATTATAGTCCATATAATCTAAAAGGTACCGGTTGACAGTTGTGACAGATCGAAGTTTATCGATTGAGTTAAGGAAATCGATTTTTACAATATCCGATTCTTCAGAGTTTTAGATATCATTTCTTAGTGTGTAGTAATCAATTACAGTTTAACAGATTTATGTATGTTACTATAAAAGCCCGTGTAATAGCATATCATAGGTTTTACTAGTAAATCTTAGTATACACTAGACTTGTAACGTACGACAGTAACGTGCCATTGACCGGACAATCTCCGTGTACAGCCGACTTATCGCGGTGCTGGGTCCACCCAAACTAGGTAAGGGTGGACGCAGCGCCAACCAACTTTTGAGCAAGCTGTTGGTAGTGCTCGTCGAAAAGCCACCTCCCGTTAAGGATCAAGTACAGATACTTCTACTGGCCCTGAACCGGTACGAGGACCTAGTTGATTATCATTGAGGCGCCTCCGCCTGTTCGCCTCTGTAATGTTAATTGAATGTTCTATATGGGACAACACTTTGTGTGATCCACCAATTATTGTTCTGAGTCTGTGTGATTTTTGTGTCCGTTTCTATATGTTTGTAAAGTCCCCCGCGACTCAGGATATATTCCTAGTGCAGGAGTTGTCTTTTGTCCCAGCCTATGGGTAAAGTCTCTTCGAAGGCTTCAATCGTACCCTATAGGGTATTCGGTAACTATTCTGTAGAATATATTCTACAGAATAGTTCCAAAAACAGACAGACCCCTGTGGAAAACTGCACAACCTGGGACGGCATTTCAGATATCCATCTTAGCCCTTGTACATGCAGGTACGCCCCGATACAAATCCCGGTGAGGTGACGGCCCGAGGAGGTTTTCACTGGTAAAAAAAAGATATTGAATTGCAGAGGTTAGTGGGGCAAAAATTTAATAGCCTAATGGCGGCAAATATGTGAAGCCGCCACTGACGAAACCCTATTTGTTCATAGAATTCTTCTATGAATATGGACTGCACGGATGTCGTAATGGATTAAGTGGTCGCCACGCCGCTTCACACAAGCTGAGTGCTATGGGATGACACTTTGTGCGATCCACAAATTGTTGTTTTAAGTCTGGGTGTTCTTTGTATCCGTTTCATGTATATTTGTAAGGCCCCCCGTGACACCAATATATCCTATATTCCTAATGCAGGATTTGTCAAAAAAAAAAGAAATAAGAATAAAGAAAAATAAATAAAACGGACAGAATAACCAATAGTCCTTTGTTCCAAAAAGTTCTTTGTGTTCACTGCATACTTCAATCGCCTTTGTGAACATGTGTCGTTGTAGTTCGTATTGATTTGGCACTATCAATACTATTATCTATCCTCTCGTTTTCCTCTTGGACTATCAGAAAAGAATAAATTGAAGGGGTTTTCAGGGGTGTTATCTTTAAAAGTGAGTCTTCCTCTACGTCAGTAGGGAAAGCCTTACTGATGGAGAGGAAAGATTTGTCTATTAGTAGTTTTTGGCTTCTACTTTTTTTTTCTAACCACTACCCCAAGAGTTCTAGTAGGAGTTATAAAATAAGTGGTCACACTGGCAAAGACAAATTTAACAATTTATGGCTTAAAGGTCTTGTTACCAGGCCATAAAAATACAAAAAAAAAAAAACAATTTATACGTCAAAAAGTCAAAACTCGGATGCGATATAATTTGGAAAATTCGGGTTGCGAAAATTTGTGAAGTATAGGAATAGAAAATGGCTAACAAGGTTGAAAATAATTATAAAGTGAATCCAGAGAGGGTACGACTAGAAACAGATCAAGGTATTGTTGAAAATGAAGAAAGAAAATGGGGAATGCCGTTGAAAGATGTGTACAAACATGGACTTGCTTTTTATAAAGGTATTTTACCGTTATTCTTGTTAAAACAATTTGAAGAATTTAAGCATTTGCTAAATTTTACAGGGCCGATATTAAATTTTGTTTTACACGTAGCTTTTGTTGTAATTGTCATAATTTTTGACAACCTGATAAATTCCTATTTAGTAGATATAAAACGACTTCAATTTTTATTATTTATGTAGCTTTGTTAATTTTTTATTGTTGTTGTTTACTGGAATACAGATAAGGAAGGTAAAGCCATCCATCTAAGTTATGAAGATAGACTTAAACTGGTGGCCTATACTCAACAAACGGCGCATGGGCCATTAGACCCAAATTCCGCATCTCCACTTGGAGTGCTGGATGTTATTGGGCGAGACAGACGAGCTGCTTGGCAAGCTTTAGGGCAGATGTCTCAAATTCAAGCCATGGTGGGATTTGTACACACTTTAGACAGGTATAAATTATTTCAGCATTATTATTTAGACTTATTAATTCATTTATATCCCTAAAGAATAATACATTTCGGCTCAACTTTCCTTTTCCGTACATCGAGTTTGGGCTTGAAATTTTTTTTCCACAAATGTTACACTATTATAAGCACTCACGTAAAACTTTCAACACGCGGAGATGCATATTTTTTGAACAAAAAAATATTGAAAATCAATTATTTTTGCAATTCTTCTGTCAAAATTGTAGTTTTTATGACAATCTTTACCAAAGATTATATAGAATTCACATCAAGAAACGTTTAGTTTCATCAATGGTTAAGTTATCATACGTTTCGTAACATTTTATTTTACATAAATTTACGTAAATAATTATATTTGTACTCATTTCAATATTTTTCATGCACACATATATTTAACAGTTTATATATGATAAATTATAGCATAACAGTACCTGTTAGGGCAGATAACAAATAAATTAGGTTAGGTTCAACTTATGTCACAGAACCGAATTGATTGACCCCGACTCCACGTGGTACGACTCTGTCCTACCCCTAGAGTGTTTTTATAGAACCGGAGGCGCGTAGGGAGAGCAGCCTCCGCCCGCTGTAGCAAATCGCAGGCATCGGACGAGCCGGAGCGGCTGAGGCTGGTCGCCGAAGGCGACCACCAAGCCGAAGCTGCGGAGGCGAGGACGAGAAAATTATTTAAATGAGTACAAAATATAATTATTTACCTAAATTAATGTAAAATAAAATGTTACGGAACGTATGACAACTTAACCATAGATGAAACGAAACGTTTCGTTATGAGAATTTTATATAATCTTTGGTAAAGCTTGTCATTAATAGTGTAATATTGACAGAAGAATTGCAAAAATAATTGATTTTCAATATTTTTTTGTACAAAAATTACGCGTCTCCGCGTGTTGAAACTTTTACGTGTGTGCTTATAATAGTCTAACATATCCGGAAAAAAAAATTCAACCCAAAAATCGATGTACGGAAAAGGAAAGTTTAGCCTACATTTCATATATAAAAGATCCCTATGCCCTTTTTCAAAAGTTTACAAAGTTTAATGGTGATTGGTTTAGTAGTTAAGCTGGAAAAGTTAACAGACATATAAGTAAATGTTAATTTTGCGTTTGTGCTATTAGTTTAAGATATTAATCAAAGCCACAAGAAGTGAATTAATACTGGCTTTAATGTAGACGGTATACTTAGCAGTAAGATGTAAACAGAGTTGAAATTCTATTGCCTAATTTAATATTTAATAAAGAACAAAAGCTAATAAAGAATGTAAGATCTGTTTGTATATAATTATTTGTAAATTCAACTACAACAAGACCCCTTCCAAAAGGTCCTTCTTTTCACTTCTTTAATGTTTTAAAATTGCAGATTATGCCCTCTGTTTAAGCCATATTTAGAAGCAATACAGAAGGATGCAGAAGAAAAAAAGCAACAAGAGTAAGTTTTTCATATGAAATAGTAGTAAATATCCCTCCCATAGCTGTTGTATTTAGTAGTAGTAGTAAGTATATTGTTGTTCTGCATCACCAAACAGGTTGAAGAAAAAAGAAGAGGAACAGGCACAATTAGAGCTTCAGAATAGAATTGCACTAGAAAAACAAAAACAACAGACTAAAAAGCTGACACAGGAACAGCAAGTGTAAGTAAATAAGCTCAATAACATTTTGCATGTTCTAGACTGATAGGATTGATATTATTAAACTAAAGAAATGTTTTTCATAACTTTAACTTCAAAAAAGGAAAAGGTTTTAGATTTGTTTGTATACTTTTATTTTTAATCGCAGTACTACGTCTGCAACGAACCAATTTGGAAAATTCTTTTTTATTTTGGAGGGCTTACTTCTTATTTAGTCCCATTCAATTCGAATTTCGAATTTATTCCTTTAGGGTGGAAAATTAAGGAATGTAGAATACAGTTTATTACAATTCCTTGACATGGCACATTGAAAACAGTTTTTAAAAAAAGTAAAAATATTCATCAGAATTAATGATCTTCAACTTACTGCTATAGTAACAATACTTTTCAATAAGATCTTGTTTGATAACAAGTACAACACAACACAGACTTATTTTATTTTAATCATCATCATCTTCAACAGCCTTTAAAGGACATAGCTGGACATAGACCTCTCTCTCTACTCTGCCACGCTACCTTTTAATAATTATAATTTAATATTTACTTCATGATAATATTAATAGCAAAGTGCCGTTTTCCTTCAGACTGAGAGTAGGGTAAATTATCAATTTAATGTTTTTATTACTTTGATATCTGATAATAGCTGACTATGACGTCACATCATAGTATTTCGTATGAAAATGTACTCCTCTATCACTTGGTTTAATAAAAAGATGACTTGAGAGTCATCTACCCCATTGTTGAGAAATTCAGTTTATAGTGCTGTGACTGATTGATTTCTCATGCTGAAGTGGATTTGAAGTCAGTTTTTAGTTGCAACAGCAGTGAATGTAAATTTTGGTAATAACTCCCAACTAAACTAACATATCATTTTCATCATGAAGTTATTACTTCACTGTTATATACATCAAAATATTTAACACATTTTTATGTTATTGTGAATTATAAAAAACAAATATATTAAAGCACTTCTTTTCTAGTAGTAATTTTTTTTTTTCATTGATTGATTTCATCAGCTATTAACTATTGTCATGATCGCCATGGCCCATTGCCATTAGTATGTATACATATTATTTGGTTCTAACAACAATAATAATGACAACAACAAATCTCACACACAGCCATCTGATCTACAAACATACTTATGTATTCACATCTTCTGCGAAGACGTCATTTCGCAGAAGGAGGCGGCGAGGAGGGTCCGGGAGGATGAGCTCCACTCCTACCTAATTTGCCACCGGGCGGCTTAGGCGCGCTTACCAACGCCTCTCGGGTAGACGGGACGGGTTTCCCCCCCATCCGCTATAGTGGCCAGCCGCGAGATGGCGACGTCCGCGTGTGCCGGACGTCGCCTTCTCGGGCTTGTGGGGCTTGTGGGCTCTTATGTCACGCGTGGAACGGATAGTGATGGCATATTCTTAATCCATCACCACACAGATAAATCATACATTTTATACATAAATGACACCCAGACATAGAACCATGTTCATCACACTTTATTTGTCTTGGGTGGAAGTCTAACCCACAACCTTTGGCTTAACAGTCGGGATCACTAGTGACTAGACCTACAGGCCAGGACAACATGCCTGTTTACAACAATGTATTTATTTTTTTAACCATTCTTTTTAATATTTGTAAATTAACATAACTTTGTTAGGTATTTCAGTAATTGCTTTATATTTTGTTTTATAATGCTAAGATGCAATGTGTAAGAACTATTGTGTTAATTCAAGACAACTCTTAAATGAAGCTTAAATTGAACATAACTACTTTTAGATTACTAATTTGTTATGGTATTTTGAAATAAATCAAGGGGAAATACTGTAGGATTATCAAATCTGATAAAGTCAAACATACTAGCTAAATAGATTGTGAATGTATAACATAGTTTTTAGTTATCAGAAACATGTAATCACAATTTTATATTTATCAAAATTAGGTGTAATATTTTCACAAGTAGGTATATATTTCTACTCCATAAACAACTTTATGTAAACACAAGTAAATGCAAGCTTGAAATCAGTCTATTTATGTCATAGAAACCATTCAACCATTTCAGCCAGTATCAATACAATTGATGGTTTGCCAAAAGGATGAGTATACTTTAAGTATCTATTCATAAGATTTCGTAACTTTTTATGACTTGTCTTAATGTATATAGGAATTAGCTTATGAAGTCGCTGTATAAATATTGTAACGATGTCTGAAAGTATTTGAACAAATATCAATAATATATAAGTAAGTGAACATTAGCATTATCAATATTATAAAAAATAAATAGCTGTTCCTTCTCAAGCGAAACACTGGCAAAGAAATAAGACTTTTAAGGAAAGAACAAATCGAAATAGTTTTTTTTATACAGGACAACGTCGTGGTATAGAAATCCTAGATTATATTAATTTATTTGTTTATATATTTATTTATTTATTTATTTATTGCTTACTATTGGCAAGTAAAGGTGTTAGGTACATTAAGTATTCTAGTACTGTTAAGGTCAGGGATTCCCAAAGTTGTCGATATCCACCCCTTGGGGGCGAAATCGGTTTCCCAGGGGTCGGCATAAACGAAAACTGATTTTAGAGGTCGAAGAGGTCTAAAAATCGACCCCTATTAATTAACACAAGTTCCCATTTGAAACTTTCAAGATTCTGTATTACTTTTGTTACGTGTACCAACTTGTTATAAGAATGACTGATATTTTAGTAGGAAGTAAGTATCATTGTTGTACTTTAAAAAAAAACTCAATTCGATAAGCGTGCAGTAATATGGCTATGGGGGTCCGAAGTATCAGTTCATTTTAGAAAAGGAGTCTCTTGCTCAAAATAGTTTGGGAATCCCTGGTTTAGGTTTTTATAATGTGAGCTCATTGTTCTCAGTGTTCCTATTTAGAAGTTAGTATCAATGATGCAATCTTCAAAATGAATTAATAGCTTTTGTAATAATCTATTTTTTGTTCTCTTTCCTTTGTTTTGTTTTAATATCTTCTTTTTTCATCTTTTTAAAAGACAACTCCCGCACTATTAAAATATTCTGTGTCGCGGGGGTCTTTACAAATATACATGACACAAAGAACACCCAGACTCAAAACAACAATTTGTGGATCATACAAAGTGTTGTCCCATGTGGGAATTGAACCTGCAACACTCAGCGCAGTAGAAAGCGGCGAGGTGACCGCTTAAACTACTAGGCCATCCATGCAGTATATATTTCTATTCATGTTTAAAAACTAATAAGACCTTTTGAAATTTCAGGCAAAGAATCAAAGATGCTCTCAATGCCCAAACGTATGAGCAATTCCTGCAGTATGCGCAACAACAATATCCTGGGAATTTTGATCAGCAGGCAGTTCTCATTCGCCAACTGCAAGACAAGCACTACCAACAATACATTCAGCAGCTTGCAGTTGACCAACGCCTCGCTAACTCCAACATAAAGGACACCATAGAGGATAAGGCAAATGAGAATAATACTAATAGTGATATTGTTAAGGAAGAGACGGCCCCTGTCTCAGATTATAATTTGAATAAAACTGAAATTACTATTGTTGATAAAAAGTGAGTATTTAAAATATTACCCTTCGGATATTTACTTTTATTTTTAGTGTTTGCACCCTACAGATTAAATATTAGGTCCTTACATATGAAATTGGCATTTTGTACGGATGGAATATATAGTCAATTTTTTTTTGTAAAATATATTTAATTAATCAAAGTATGCACCATTGTTATCTATGCACTTTTGCCATCTCAAAGGTAGTTCATTGATCCCTTTACTAAAAAAACCAAGGGGGCGAGAATCAATAAACTCTTTGAAGGCAGTTTGGACTGCCGCATCGGAGTTGAATTTTTTGCCTTGTAAGAAGTTGTCCAAATGCCGGAAAAAATGGTAATCTGTTGGAGCAAGGTCCGGGGAGTAGGGTGGATCGTGGGTGGTCGCAGACATTCCAATTGTAGCTCATTTAACTTAGTAGTTGTTTGTTGGGCAGTGTGTGGTCTTGCGTTGTCGTGAAGCAGCAGTGGCCTAGAGCGATTGACCAAACTCGGTTTTTTAGCAGCTAGTTCTTCCTTCATGGTTTGCAGTTGCTGACAATGGGTAGATACCTGCCGTAATCGTTTGGCCAGATTTTAGGAAGCTGTACTGAACGACACCGGCGCTAGTCCACCAAACACTCTCAAGTAAATTTTTCTGAGTCAATTTTCGTTTAGGGCAGGATTTGGGTGGATCTCCAGGGTTCAGCCATTGCGACGAGCGCTTCCGATTATCGTACAGTATCCACTTTTTATCACAAGTAATGATTCGATTTAAAAGCCCTTCATTATTGTGTCGGTTGAGCAAAGTAACACAGCAGTCGACGCGTGTTTGCAAGTTCGATTCACTCAATTCATGAGGTACCCATCGTTCAAGTTTTTTTACTTTCCCGATGTGCTTCAAGTGGATCAATACATTTTTATCACTTACCCCGAAGCCTGCAGCTATCTCTGAAGTGCTTTGTGATAGATCCGCTTCCACAATAGCCTTTAATTCTTCATTTTCCACTTAGGTCTCCGGCCGTCCACGGGGTTGGTTCTGAAGGTCGAAATTTCCAGAACGAAAACGTTGAAACCAAAAACGTACCGTGCTTTCTTTAGCGACACCAGCGCCGTACACATCATTAATCCTTCGAGCTGTTTCTGCAGCACTGGTAGAACTCGTACTCGTAAATATACCGATATTTTACGTTTTCCATTGTACGGTAATAAGCGACGCCAAAGAAAAAAATAATGAGGAAAAACAAATGAATGACTGTTTTCAAAACTCAAACGTACCAGCTAAATGAATTTATAAATTTGAATTTGGAATTCTTAACCAAAGAGGAGGTATTTCATATGTAAGGACCTAATATAATAACTATGATAGTTGCTAATGCTTAAAAACAAAACTAACTAACTAACTTAAAAACAAAAGATTATCTTAATGTGTAATTATTTCATTAATTTTTACGTAACTAATACTACCATTAACTTCCAACAAACAAACTATGATCGAAATAAAACTCAAGTCCCTCTAAGAAATAGTAAAACTGATGTTATCCTAAATGTGCTAAAAATAGTCAGTATATTTCATTATGTCATTTTATATTATAAACATTAAAACTTATAGCAACTTGCAAAGAAAATAAAATTAATTGATTTTCAAGGTAGGCCTAGAACATCTTCCCTTAAGTAATTTATTAGTATAATCATTTTATATAAAGTTAATTTAGCATTGTTATATACTTAGCTTACATTTACTATTCTGCCTGCAGGAAGTGGTCTACTTCCTTACTTCACTTCTTTAACAAGCCACAGAAGATATTGGCCACATACTCTAATAAGCGCTACAACTCTTTATTTAATGAACCCGTGGATATTGATAACCTGTTAGTTTCCTTGTGCTTTATGAATATATGAAACAATAAGACTTGCATGAAATTTTGTTATTTCCTTTATCAACATGCTGATGTGTCCGATCATGACAATAGTTAATGTTAAAATAAGGATCATGACATCTGCGTGTCAATAATAACCACTTCATCCTTTTGAACATTATTTCTCGTTTCTGACATTGTAGGTATATGATCTTTATGTTAGTGGTTTAATAAAAAATTGAGTTTTTTTGTTGCAGAGAGTCTTCAGAGAAGGCAGAAATAAAAGAGTATCTTGATGAATCCAGGGAAGAACAGAATTCAGATGATGATGGTAAATTGATCTACATTTCTCTTTAGTAAAAGTCTCCTTTTCATTCCATTATAATTATCATCCGTCCATAAACAATCAAAATACATGAGATATTATTGACTTTTTGTGGTCTGATATTATTGTTTTTTTTTTTATTTCTAAGGGCTTGATGATGATTAGTGACAATTATTTTTACTGTTCTAACTAGAGTTATGTGCAGTATTAGTATATTAATAAGTGTGTATTCTGTTAGATGGATTCCCGGGTATTGAAGAAGCTCGTATGTGGACCCGGGCCGACATTGCACAGTTCAAAGAGTCGGCGCGTGCGGGCGGTGGGCGCCTGACTGTCGGCCACGGTGAGACTGTGACCGTGCGGGTGCCCACCCATCCACGTGCTAGGTGCATCTGTTGGGAGTTTGCTACTGATAACTACGATATAGGTATTTCTCCTGTTTTATAACTATATAAAGGATTTTTATAAACTGTTCAAAATGTTACTTACCAAACATGGCTATGTGGCATACGACAACGACTATCTTTACAAGCAACTGGAATTATTTTCTTGTAGTTGGGTTTATTTTAGTTTTCGAGGCAGTTTTTCGGTTTTATACGTTTCTACCAAAATTTTATGCTCTCACTGTAAATTGATGTTTACGATAAAGTAGTTCTCATACTATAATTAGACTTACTATACTTAGTATAGTAAGTTGATAGTAAATAGTATAACAAATATAATATATAACATTATAGTTAAACCGCCGTAAGCTTGGCCCACCTGATGGTCACGATGGACACGATGTACTAACTTCAGATATAGAGAACGATGTCTTCAGATTTATTTGTTTGAGATTTAATCTACACACGATGTAATAAAAATCGAATTTATTTCCATGTATTATAATGTCAGTGTATTGTCAGTTTTTATGATTAATTGTAAAATTTAATAGGTGTAAAATAATTTTAATAAAATCACCTTATCTTCATCATGTAAATTATATTCAGATACAATTTAAAAATTAAGTAAAATAATAAATAATCTTTATTAGAACTTTAACAGTAGAACCTCTGTAAGCCGAACTTCAAGTTTTTAAATATTTTTGTGACGCAGAGTCGGTAGATTATTCATGTTGCACAATAATGCCGTGTGTAGCAGTCTTAAGAAAAATAACACGTACGGCCATGCTTTCACGTCAGTCACTGCCGGCGGACAGCGACGCACTAGCTAATTGGTTGAATGCACCCCCGCCCCGCGTCCCCCAAACCATCAGGAGGGCTAAGCTTACGGCGGTTTAACTATAGGTTGTGATACTAAATATTATACTATTAATATTTCTATTCAGGTTTTGGATTACACTTCGAATGGAGCAAATCACTAACAACTGAAGTTACCGTACATGTCTCAGAAAGTGATGATGATGAAATCGATGATCCCGATGCTCCAGACTATACCGATGATGGTGAATATTCTATTAAATTAAATAATAAAACGTTACTGCTAATCATGATGATGCTGTTCTTAAACACAGGGTTAGGCGTAAATAATGGATAACCCTGCACCTGCCGATGAACCTGCTAGTGGGCCATTAGAATGTATTAGGTTTAGTTTATTTAGTTGTTAGTCAAACTTTATGAGTTATTACTAGCACTGTAAGAATCGTTTGAATTACAGTTACTATAATTTGCAAATAGATAACAAAATATACTACAGAATAAGATTTAAAAATAAATAACATTTTTGTTATGAAAACATTTTCGTCTTACTCCCTTATTACTTACTGCTCGTTACACGAGGCTCTCGCCTTCGTAGATCGATAATGAGAGGAAGGATTGTTATTTAGGTGACACGATCCACGAGTACACGGTCCACGGCACGCGCACGGACCTGGAGCTGGGCGGCGAGCGGCGCGCGCTGACGCTGGGCGACGCGCCGCCCGCTCCCCCCGCCCCCGCCCCCGCGCCCGCGCCCCGCCCGCCCGTCAGCCTCGTCGTGCCCGTCTACCGCCGCGACTGCCACACCGAGGTACGTCCACTTACGTACACTTATGACTGTTCGACCGTGTACGATCACTTTATCGTATTGCATCCCTTTACTTTTATATTGTTTTGCAGGTATATGCTGGATCACACACGTATCCGGGTGAAGGAGTTTACCTACTCAAATTCGACAACACCTACAGTCTATGGCGATCCAAAACTCTATATTACAAAGTATACTATACGCAGTAAAATTATATTTTCAAGTTATAGTAGACTCATGACAAAAAATTATATAAAGAATATATAATAAATTATTAATTTGATACTGTAATATAAATTAATTTAAAGTTATCGGAAATATTCTTAAATCTAGATATGAAGATGACACCACTATGACAGAGGGACGAGGCTCATATTTAAGTACTTCTGTATAGTATTAGCATAAAACGGCACGATTTAGCCTTCCCTACAATAGTTTCTATTACAAATCAGTAAATGTACCACCATTAGCTAGTATGGTTACACTTACATCTTAAATGTGTTATCAAAAAGTTTACGCGTTATGCATACAAATATACTCTTGCACTTTCATCCACGAAAACATTATAAACTCACATTTTACTAACTATGATTTTACTGATATGTATTAATAATAACCCAAAAATACAACTTTAAAATACATACCTACACCAAATTAAATGTTTTAAGCATCTACTTAAAATTCTATTATTAACATAACTTACTAAGTGTATCTATACTAATATTATATTGAGGTACAGTTTGTGAGTTTGTATTTTTCTGGTAATCTCAAGAGCTACCAGTTCGAATTGAAAAATTCTTTTAGTATTGGATAGCCCTTTTAACAAGAAAGGATATAGGCCATATAACATCATGCTGATCATGTATTCCTTTTGAGACAAGCAGACGAAGTTGCGCGGCTCTGCTAGTAGTATATAAACTATAACACATAATAACATGGAAACAGACTGGACGAAACGAAAATAAATTTAAACATATTGGGCTGGAATGGAATTGCTTCTTATAAAGCATCGTGCGTGTTCATCTAAAAAACTACAAGCCTCTTTGTTCTGTCACTGAACGCATTAAAGAGATTTCCGATGACTTACAAATATTGTACTGCCAGTATACATGTAATTTTGTCTGCTATTGTTCTCGACGCCGAGTTTGTTTCAGTGCAATAGATGCTTTCCTAGATTCTTTAAGGCAATTTATTATACTATTAAGCACTGATGATCGAGAATGGAAGCTGTTTTAGTTTTTAGGTGCAATTAGAAAATAAAGATTTTACGTTATATTGAAACGATGTTTATGAAATGTCTTATCATATTTTATAAATAAGAAGCGACGCCTCCTATTATGTTTGCACAATGCAAGATTATGTTCGTATTTTTCACATAAATATTATTTCACTGGTCATTTAATTATTGTCTATTTAGGTACTTATTACTAATACTGCATCAACGTAGATTTCTAATGGCCATTAAAAATAAAAAATATTATTGTGAATGGTCACAATAATATACTTACCTCTTAAAAAAAAAAAGTTGACCAGAAAATCTGTGTTGATTGAAACTTTGTGCCATTAGAATGTTTAAGTATGGATGGTTTAAGAGGTACTTAAACCGATAAGTATGTGTTAATTTTATTTATTATTCGTGATATGAGTTCCTTTTTATTATTGTAGGAAGCCCAATTTTGTTTATTGTAAAGAGTTGAGAATAAATTATTAGGTTGCTGGCTGCTACCTTATATATTCTTCTATGTACACTGTTATGTATGTAAGTGTATATTAAGTACTTTGTTATTCTAGATTGAATTATTTTGTGTTGCAGATTATTTATTTATTATGTAGCCTTCTGCTACTCAGCCAAATGGTTGCTTTTATACTTTCATGTCAATTTATGTTTAACTGTCGTGATTTTACAGGGTAGGATTTTATATATTCGTAAAGAGTCCTATGCAGTTCGCATAATATTCAGAAAGTTACAACGCAGAGCAGTCCAAGGGCTATTACTGTGCCGTATTGTGACAAGAGAGGCCTAAGTCCAGCAGTGGACTATTAAAGGCTGTTGATGTGATGATGATCTAACAGAGAAGGGAGAGAACTTGATTGCTAAAAATCCATTTAAACCATGGTTTCTATATTGAATTATTTATATTCAAAGAATTGAAAAAAGTAACGTTCAGAAAGTCATCTTGTGATAAAATATTTTTATGACAAAAATCCCGGTAGGAAAAACTATACCCATCGCAATAGAAATATTCTGTTTTTTTTTAAATTGATTTTATCCCATTGATTTGGTTTTGATATTATTAAAATCGATCTAGTATTATTATTCTAATAGATTAAAAACAATGATTTATAGATGTACATGTGCGTTATCCCAATACCAAATGTAGAATTGCTTTGATTAATTTCAATAGATTTCAGAATCTTTTAAACCTTATATTTATTCTATTAATAAATAATAGAATAAAAAAATAAAGAAATTAGACATTTTGCCGTTGGGACAACGTCCAATGTTGTATCACTTAAAATTAGAACTATTCAAACTGCCTTAGGGTCAATTCGCACCGAAGTTGGCGACGCAGCGATCAGCAGTTTCACTGTCATACAATTTTAAGCTTTATTTCAATGAGACAAAACATATTGGTCTGTAACTCAGTCTGGGTCCGGTCAGTTTACTATCTGTGATGATAAAACAAAATGAAAATAAATTTTATGTATTTAATGAAATCTGATTAGGTACAACTAATACCTTTCCCTTTGGATCTGTTTTCGAAAAACTTTTCCGTCTCGATGTGGACTTAATTTTGATATTAACCACTTGTACCAGAAAACCGGCGATTTGCCACGTATTTTCCTGTAAAATACTTACTCCTATCAATAAAAATGTTAATATTGCATTATATATAGGTATTTACATCTAATAAATTAGCAACACTCATGTAAACCACATAACGGCAATTAAAAACTAATTGATGAAATGTTTCAATGGCTTATTTTGCTGGAATTGTTACAAAATACTGAAAACTGAATAATGGCTGTGTTCGCTGTTTTAGTTTGACCTTTCGCAATTTCTGAACACTCATTACACAATTGGCGACTGTAAACAATACAATTTTGCTATGGAAATCGAACGTGTTTAGTAACAGCGACAACACAGTTAACACGCAGATACCGCGGAAAGGAACTTAGTGGCCAACACTGACACTATTTTTTGCGACCCTACACATCTTTGAATGTCGATCTAGACATTAATGACAATGAAATTGCCTGCGGCTGCGCTGACCGCTCTCACATCGACAGGAGTTTTAACTGGAATGATTTTTAGGCGATAAGTACATATTCTCATTACCAGCTGATGCCCGCGACTTCGTCCGCGTGGAATTTGAAAATATTTTTTTTTATAGGATTTTCTGAGAAAACCGCCTTAGTTACTCCTTATATAGATAGCTACCTGGTAGTAAAATTTTATCAAAATCGCTCAAGCCGTTTTGAAGATTACAGATCAAAAAAACAGACAGACAGCCAAAAAATGTGTAAACTGTTTTTTAGGCATACGTATCGTGTAAATAACCGTGTGAGCATAAAAAAAAACCTATTATTTTGACATTACAAAGAGACTACTTTATTTATTTGTATAGATGTTTGATTGAAAGTAAATTTATGACAGGCTCACAGGCCCGTTAATAAAAGAAACCATTGATTATTGCAAGATTAGTATTATACAGCATTTAAAATGTCTATTAATATTAGTTTGTAAACTGAATTGTTATTAATGTTATATTATTATGTCGATATCGAAAAGAATGTCTAGTAATTCTGTTTTTATTTAAGTAAGTAAAATGAAGTATAGTTTCAAAGCATATGTTGGTTATATAAATTTAGAATAAATATTTTATTGCCGAAATAATGTCAAATATGGAATAAAATTTAATATATTTTCTTGTGTTTATCAATCAGATTGACTGTTTTGTTTTTATAGAACTTTGTGTAATTATTTTTCAATAATGTGCTATCTCACATATTGGGTAATTTAACATAAATATTAATAATTTATGTTCTTTCAGACTTATATTAGAGCTTAGCATACGGGTAAGCAAGCGGGTTATGCGCACTTCGTCCCATTCGCAGTTAGTCTCATTCGCAGTTGGTTGCGTTAGCGTTTTGTCCCATGCAAGTATTTTTTTAGGGAAGAGGTAGGTATACGGACCTAACTCCAGTCTAAGGGTTGGGTTTATAAAAAAATCAACAAATATACTATAAAACATCCAAATTCGATATGTTTGCAATGTAATGTGTTAAAGAACCCCGCTGTAGTTTCTGTGTAGTTTATTATATTTTCGATCAAAATTAATATATACAGCCTTTGTTTTTCCTTTTTTTTCGTTATAAAAGGATGTTTTTTTTTTAATAATCCTGTCCTAGTATTTCCCTTCTTGGCGTAATTTCTACAGGAACAAAAAAAACTTAGGATTTTTAGGTATCCGACTATTCATGCGACGGTGCCAACCTTCGAGCGCATTTACTATATGTACTTATATGTTTCTGACCCGCACAACGAAGTACTGACGGAGATATTGTCGGATACCATTGTTTTTGTTAATACTGTATATAACGTTGCATTTCAGGTGTAACTGATGTATTGTTAAGGATAAGACACCATGCTCCAGGAATGAAATGAGCTGGTATCCATGTTTGATTGACAATATTCGCTGATTGTATACTTACTGTTATTAGCTGATTGAGGTGTGCTTATTATTTTACTCATTACATTGCTAACTTATCGAATTTGGATGTTTTATTACTACATTTGTTGATTTTTTAAAACCCAACACACTTTGGTCCGTAAACCTTCCTCTTCCCTAACAAACTACTTGTATGGGACGAACTGCGAACGGGACCAACAGCGAATGGGACCAAATGCGAATGGGACGAAGTGCTAATGTATCCAACTACGAAGGCGGGACGAAGTGCCTATTAAACCGGGTAAACTGTGACAATTGCAAGATAGCATAAAAACGAATGTTGAAAATTGGCGCACTCTTAAATGAGTTAGAACTGCCGGTGATTCCCTCACCTCACTAATCGTATCGTCAAATATAATAAACACAAGTTACCTGCTTGCTGCAACAAAAAAACTAACCTTTCTGTTACAATGTCTTGGATTCATTAATTTGTATTCATAATATTTCATGTACCTGAGTAAAAGATAATAGATAATATTGATTGTTATTGTCTGCTTTATGAGTTGGTTTTATAAATTGAACATAGTACCTACCTATTATTGTGGTGATTACTACTATTTAAATCATATTTCCAGATGCTACCCAGTAAAGTCATATAAACTTCAGTTTCACAAATGTATGTACAATACTGGAAATAATAAAAATATACAAAAACTTGAGATTCTATTTTATTATGATCAATATCAGCGTCTCGTTGCGTAGTCCTTCAAGGAGATTGTACTTATTAATAACTAGCTGACCCGCGCAACTTCGTCTGCGTCTCTCAATAGTAATAAATTTTCTCCGTTTTTGAAACATTCTTCATTGGTGCTCCGCTCCTATTGGTCTTAGCGTGATGATATATAGCCTATAGCTCCGCTCCTATTGGTCTTAGCGTGATGATATATAGCCTATAGCCTTCCTCGATAAATGGGCTATCTAACACTGAAAGAAGTTTTCAAATCGGACCAGTAGTTCCTGAGATTAGCGCGTTCAAACAAACAAACAAAATCTTCAGCTTTATAATATTAGTATAGATAATAACCTCACTCAGCACAGAGGCGGTTTACGCATCAAGAGCGCCCTAGGCAAGCATCTCATTGTGAGTGTGTGTGTGTGTGTAATTAAACGACAGATCATTTTAGACGACCAGGCCATCTTAGGTACGTACCGGGGCCCCCGGGCTCACAAGAGTTTTGGGCCCTGTTGGACAGTAAAACGAAATAAATAGGTACATATAGAAACATAAAAATAGAACAGATATAAATACAGGTATCAATTAGATAAGCAGGTTTGAATGGATGGTTTTAAGCGGTTACGAAAACTGAACTTGAAATCAGGTTTGGGTGGAACATTAACACTCTGTCCAAATTCGCACCGTGACTGCAGCATAAGGGTACACAATGGTAAGCGATTGATTCTCTCACATTCGGGCAGAAAATAGATTTCTAAGGTGCGGCAGTCACGGTTTAAAGCAAACGGAAGGACTAAAAGAAATTAAAAATAAGAAAAAAAAAACATAATAAGAACAAATAAAAATAAAAGAACAAATAAAAGGCAAAAACACATTACTAAGTTATTAAGCATGTATGTAGGTAGGCACAGCAACATAATGCAGGTGATGGTGCGCTTTTATTCATGTGTAGAAACAATAACCAAGCACTAATAATACATAGGTTTTAGATGGTAACTACCTACGGCTAATTACATTTTGAATGATAGCGGTAACTATTACATATATAAAGGTAATAAAAGCACAACTTACCCAGACACGGGGTTTATAATATTCACTAGTGTTTTAGTTTTATATTTTCAATTTTTTTACGACTGATTTCTTTCGAGATATCTGTTGTGCAAATTCTTCTGTTATATCTTAGTCTATCAAAGTCTATAACTTTCACTTTTTACTTAAGGATATCAAAATTGATAACTGATGGTTACGAATTATTGTAGAGGAAAGCGTAGCACGCGTAGAATCAATTGTAGTTATAAGTGGTGGTTTTGGAGAGGATGAACTTAAAACACATTTTAAAAAGGCTTTTCTAAATTATTATGTTTTATAAACTCCTTGTAAACTAGGCCAATTTCAGCATTATCATTAAAAATTAGAACAACGAATTATTTTATTACACGTTATATATCAAGTAGTCGGCAGAAGAACCTAGAACGGAACCTACATGCACCAACTTAAAAAAAGTAAAAAATATTTGAAGATCTAATTATATAAACACATAAAATTACCGAAAAAAAACGACGGGTTGCACTCCGGGAGTGCCGGCAGAAGTGAAAACTTGAATAGGTTAGGGAATAATTTTGCACGAATTGCTTTAATTATCAGTATAAAAGTACTATCATTTATGTGGTAGAATACAATATTTATTTATTGCGCTATCGTACACAAACATGACAATTTTTCGAGACGCTGTCACCATCTATGGATGCGCGTGGCACGATGTAACATAAACACACACGAACATTCGCGCAAGCACCCTGCGCCGCCTAAACGAAACAGCAGGCGCAGGCATACATTTTCGCCGGGCCGTAGAAAGAGAGGAGGATACTTCCTCTCCTACGCCGCGCCGCCTGTCTACTCTCCACCGTCTTACGAATTTTCGATCAGGTCACGTGTCCTGACGCGAGTTTAACATTTTTTACCCATTACAAAAAAGTGTACAACGCCGCTCAAGAAGTTTTCACTTCAACATACAATTGGTAAGGCGATTTTACAATCCAAAAAAAAGTTTAGTCACAGATACTGTGTCATAAACATTAGTCGTAAACACAGATTCAAAGCAAAACTCATAAGAAAGAGAATGAGCTTAAATACAACATCGTATTGTTGATGTACTGAGGAGCTAAAATAAAATGTTCAGTATACCTAACAATAGAAACGAGAAATAAACTGAAAAGTGCTTTATGGCAACTCTCTCAAGTCGGATTTTGACAGCTTTTGTCAGCAGGTTTTGACAGTTGACAGTTTAAAATGTTTACGAAGGGATTTGTTTTTTCAGCTTCAGAAAAAAGCTAAAATAAATTTAAAATGTTGCAGCGTCTAATAATTAGCAAATTTCAAATTAAAGTATCAAATACACATACAAATTTATTGTTTAGTTATCCAATCAAAAACAACTTGTGTCATCAGTGTAGTGTCAGGTTATACTCTCGTCGTAAGGTGCCAGTCTTACAGAACTATTACGAAAGGAACTTTGGTTACAGAAATGGTTTATTTAGTTATAAACTGCGATGCTATACTAGCCAAGTCGATGCTCAGAAAAAAAATGACCAGCTCCAAAATGTAAAAGATAAGTCTCATTTAGAACAAGCGAATAAAATAAATGTCAAATTAAAGACATCAGAATTAAAAAGACTATTTGGTTTGGCGGAACCAGAAAAATGGACTCTGGCTGGTAAGTTAACTACTCTCCATTTGTTTCTAAAGACAAAGTACCAACTATAAAAATAATATTTTTATTTTAGGTGCTATTGGTTTCCTGATAATATCCTCAAGTGTTACTATGGCCATACCATTTTCTCTGGGGAAGGTACTAGATATTATATACAGCAGCACAAGTGACTTGGCTGGTGCTAGAGAAAAACTGGATACTCTTTGCCTTATGTTGTGTGGAGTATTTCTTGTAGGAGGCCTTTGTAACTTTGGCAGGGTATATCTGATGTCAATTTCTGGTAAATATAATTAAATACATTTGATCAGTATGAACTTAGTAACTTGTTAAATAATTATTAAATAATGTACAAAAATGTATTTATGTGAGTAGAATGTATTTTATATTAAGAAATTCCATTAAAAAGTTGACTTTTTCTAGTTTCATCTGGCTTAAAGATGGGATGTTAATATTAGTTTTTAAGAGGGTATCTAAGTAGGAGGCTTTACACTTAGGAGCCAATATAAATATATAAATATGTGGCTTCTGTGGCAGTCATCATCATTTAATAATATATAAGGAAATCATAGCAGTACCAGGTTCACATAAGAATGTAAAGGATTTTTTTAAGAGGGCCTGAAATATAATTTATGGTTAGGCATTAATACCTAACTAAGACCGTGTGGTAACGGATTAAGAATATGTAGAGTCACCACCCCTATTCATCGCTTGGGTGTCGTAAGAGCCAACTAAAGGAGTAAACTATGCAGGATAACAGCACTACAAAGAGAAGGAAAACTTGACACAAACCCTTTAGCAAAACGTCTGGCCGGAATGGTAAAGTAGGAACCCTCCCTTCTAAGAGAGGCCTATGTCCAGCAGTGGGCTAGTAAAGTCTGTTGATGTTAATACCTAACAGTAGAAAATACTTGGAATTATTATAACACAATACATGACAAACAACAATGATTTAGAATTTTTTTGCATATATAATGTATCTATTGTATCATGAAATTTTTGTAAAATAATGTTATAGACGTATGTGAGTGACTGAATCTTAAGTTATTGTAGTTTCGTATAAAACAGAAACGAGTTACCTATATGAATTGCTTTAGGTCAGAGAATGACTCAATCTCTCCGAAAAAAAGTATATAATGCCATATTAAGCCAAGAGGCTGCTTGGTTTGGCAAAACATCAACTGGAGAATTAGTTAACAGGCTTTCTGCTGATACACAACTTGTTGGCCGAAACCTTAGCCAAAATGTAAGTGATGGCCTACGGTCCCTGTTCATGGTGGGAGCTGGAACTGGAATGATGGTAAGGCATAATTTAAATTTTATTACTTCTATTTTATTAATAATAATAACAATAATATTAGAAAAGAAATAGTTACAAAAAAATCCCCAAAGAAGCTACTAACTTCAAAAAATTAAAGGATTATTTTTCATTTGTATCTGTCTCTTAAAACATAAATTTTTACTACTTTTCTGCCGTGTAATTTAGAAATTAAGAGAAAAATATAAACAAAAAGGTGAAAGTTTATACTTCATAATTTTAAAAAATGTATCTAAGAAGTGCCTTTTTTAATGTATTTGAAATCTCAAATAAACAATGTGATTGTTAGCTGATTCACAGAGAATGAACACAGGGTAAAAATATTTTCATGAGGATTATAACATATAATCTTAATAAATAATACAAAAACAGGCTAGTTATACCATTTCTAACTGCTGGACCAATTATTTATGATGTTTTGATTTTTTGGATCTGTCTCTGCCCTGAATAGCAGAATAAGATAAGTTGTAAAATATTTAAAAATTTCACAAAAAAAAAAGAATATTTTATTTTTCATTCATTGTATATGAAACCTAAAACAGATGAAGTGAAAGTGCAAGGACCTGATTGTAGACCTATATGACTTAAAATATATTTATTTGTTATAGTTCTATATGTCTCCATCTTTGGCGCTGATCGGTCTGTGCGTAGTACCACCTGTTTCTGTGTTGGCAGTAATATACGGACGATTTGTACGAGCTATAACTAGACAATTGCAAGATTCACTTGCTGAAACTACAGAAGTATGCAATTTTACCTTTGTAACATATTATACATGTTAAACAGCATATACATTTTTCCTTGGCAGAGCCATGCTTCGGCACAAATGGGCAGGCTCTACCGGAGTGATATCACTTCAATCCCCTCACGGCACGACACTTTGTGGTACCCACAAATTGTTGTTCTGAGTCTGTGTGTCCGTTTCATGTATGTTTGTAAAGTCCCCCGCGACACAGGATATATTCCTAATAATCCTAATGGGAGTTGTCTTTTTTTTTTAAAGAAAAGAATTATTTCGTTGCTTGTCACCGAGTGAGTGAGGTTACCAGAGCTCGATCTCCGGTATTAGCTTGAGGCATTCAAAAAGCGGCAACGCAGGTGTACATGGGCGGCTGTAGTACACTGTACGGATGGCGTGGTTTAAGCGGTCACCTCGGCCGCTTTCCACTGTGCTGAGTGTTGTGGGTTCGATCCCCACATGGGACGACACTTTGTGTGATCCACAAATTATTGTTCTGAGTCTGGATGTTCTTTGTGTTCGTTTCATGTATGTTTGTAGAGTCCCCCGGTTACTTAAAAAAATAATTACAATCAGGTGTCCCGCATTTTGTCCCCTTAAACTAAAAATAGAGGTCCTTATCAAATTACTCTTTTTTTCTCGTATCATTCATCATTTCAGTTCAATTTTGATCAACTTTCATAAAAGACTAGATAATAAGTAATATATTTTTACACATTTTTGTATTTGTGACCTGAAGGTTGTGTAAAAAAAATCTATCAATTGTAGCAGCATTGATGTGTGAAGTCGCACATGATTGGTTGCAATTGCAGAAATTTTTAACTACAAAGTTACGAGTATTACTGCTGGTGTAGCAATCCTCTAATGCTAAAGTGAGTTTGTTAATTGAACCAACTATCATAAAATATTGCAACACGTTGCCAGGAGTACAGAAAAGATCATACGGCATTAAGGACTCAGGGTATACAAAATATATGTAGCAGGTTCACGAGTGGAGCCACGGGCGAAACCCAGTAACTTTTTTTTCTGACGCTATATACTTTGCAACTAATGATAATTTTTTGTATTTACAGTTAGCTGAAGAGAAAATTTCCAACATCAAGACTGTCAAAGCATTTAGTAAGGAAAGTGCAGAATGTCAACAATATAGTCAAAAGATAGAAAATCTGTTGAAACTAGCGTACAAAGAATCTTTAGCTGTAGGAAGTTTCTATGGAATGGTAAGTATTATAATTGTAGCCTTCCACAACCAATTTATTTATAGATTTTTGCAACGGTTGATTTCATAACAATATTACAATACATTGCTTTTCTTCTCTCAATACTGCAAATATTGTTAGCAATGAAAATATTGTTATCGTAAATGAGTTTTACTCACTTCTGAATTGTTTTAATACCGAATAAGATCACATTTTTTCACACCTTTTTCTCCGAGCCGTTTTCCCAAACTAGGATGGGGTCGGCTTTATGTCTACACCAATACGTCTGAACTCTTTTTACGCGGAACGACTATCATCAAATCTTTACAACCCGAGTACTACGCGACATCTAAGTTCTGTAGAAAGACTGTTGTTGGACTTTTTAGAGCTCCCACTACCCGTAACGATTGGTACAGATGTTTGTAAGGCAACCGAGATCGACGGCTTAACGTGCTCTCCGAGACACGGAGGGGTCTCAATATGTTAAAAATGGTCACCCATCCATAGATTAACCTGGCTATGATTGCTTCACTTTGCAATCTGGTAACCTACTCGGAGGAGGAGTACTGTTTCTATTTTTGTCACGAACCCTATTTTTCATACTCACATTTTCAAATTATTTAAAGAACTGTTCTAAAATCATTTTTACCAGGAAAATAAGACTATTTTGTTTATGTCTGAGCCCTAGTACTGTCTCACTCATCGACTCATTGGATAAAACGATTGAAGATTGTGTTAATATAATTCAACTTTTAAATCTAGACTGGACTAGCAGGGAACACCATAATAATACTCGTCCTATATTATGGCGGCGGCATGGTTGCTACAGAACAACTATCAGTTGGCAATCTTACCTCTTTCTTACTCTATGCCGCATATGTGGGCATCAGTATAGGAGGTATGAGTAGCTTCTACACGGAGCTAAATAAAGGAGTCGGTGCCGCTACGAGGCTTTGGGAGATCATTGATAGGGAACCCGCTATCAAAGTTTCAGGTTAGTACAAGTATATCTATATCTCATAGTGTTGTTACGATAGCGACAGATAGTGTCTTCGTACTATCGAAATCTTATCAGTCGTGCTATCAGTAGTCGTTTCGAAACTATCGATTTTAATAATAGTGTTGATAGAATCATTAGTTCGATACCAGATATAATATACTTAATATACATTCAAAATAATGAGAACTTTTACTTTTCAATATTTTGTGATCTTTTACCTCATCCCAATCCAAACCGATGGTACCGACACTATTTTAAGACGTATACCACATTTATTTAAACTTACAGATTACTACTAATACCGCAGATACTTATCAATACAAGAGGCAGTCTTATCTAGTGTTGATTACATCGATAGTGTTGATTGTATAGTATTGTTAAAACTTTGTCATTCTAGTACCGATTTCATTGAAAATGTCGATATTTCTGAAAACAGTATTGATACTTAGTGGTATTAGTTTTCAGTGTCAACTATCGATAGGGCCGTCAATAATTAATGAGGGAATCTTCCCAGTGTACCCGGTGGCACTTAGGTGTACTAAAACCAGCTGTGGGTATTATTTATGGTTGAGGTGGTAAAAGGAAACTACTGCCATTTATTTACTTATAATTAAAAAATATATTTTATGGTAATAAAATAAGTCTATTCCTTTTCTACTAAACTGATAACTTTTCAGGAGGCCTACGGCCAGTCACAAGACCGAAAGGCGAAATAGTCCTTGAGAACATTCATTACACTTACGCAAAATCACCATTAATAAAGGGTTTGAGCCTGCGACTATTACCGGGGAAGTCTATTGCTCTAGTCGGACGTTCAGGCTGTGGCAAGAGTACTGTCGCCGCATTGATCATGAGGTTATATGAACCAACTAAGGGCAAGGTACTGTTAGACGGAGTTGACATACGGGAGTTGGATCCTGTATGGTTGAGAAGCCATATAGGTTATGTTAGTCAGGTGTGTTATCATTTTTTTTTGTTTATTTAATTTCCTAGCTTTTTAATTTAATATTAGTTTCCAATTCACCGAGTGTGTGTGGTTACAGCAGGCACAACCTCGTCCCACCACACTGTGAAGGTGCACGTAAAGGCTGGTGTTGTCTAATTCTATTGATACGATATCGATAGTATCGATCAATTGGTAGTACTGTTGCTCGCGAAGGATAAACCATCGATAACATCGATACTATTGATAGTGTTGTTGAATTAAATGAAAAAATATCGACACGAATTTATTATCAATTGACAGTTGGCAATTTATCAAAAATATGTTTATCGTGCTATTTAGGCCGGAATTTCAAGTAATCTGCCAACAGTTTGCAATATACTTGTTTTTATAATATTGCTGTGAATATTTATGTTCAAAATCAAATGCAATTCATTTGTCTTGGGTGTCCCATTGGAAAATTATTTTTTAAGTACTTAAAAATAAAAACAGATGAAATTTAACACAATTTAAAATTTAATTGCCGAATAAAAACACGAACTATTGAATTATAATTTTGTTTAGCCAAGATTAATTATTTAATTTACGTAACACAAAAATTAATTGCTCCTACTAGATAAGATAAACATATTTATAGTCATAATTTATTTATTATGTAGTCACTTCGCATACATTGTACATATTGTACTAATAAACTCCTATTATTTACTCATAAACTAATTGTATAAATGGGTCGGCTCAACCAGACTGATACCAAGGCCTTACAGAAAACCAATTAAGCAAGTCTCAAACCCCCTCTTCAAATCTGGGGGTATTAAAGGGCCACACGCACTTGAGGTCAAAAGTAATAAGTCGGTAGTCACTTATCATGAGGCGACCCATCTGCTGGTTTCTAAAAAGCTTCTAATTTAAATAGTTTGTAGAATAATTTGTACTATTTTTACTCCAGGAACCTGTGCTATTTAGTGGGTCCATAAAAGAAAATATACTTTACGGTGCCGTTAATAACTTTGAAGACGATTTATGCATCGACGATGGAAAAGTAAGATATAGTTAGCTTTTTAATAATTTACAATGTCATGTAAGAGCGAGTTTTTTACTTTAATTCACGTGAAAAAACTCTTCCCCATTTATTGTATTGTTAATAACCCCAAATTATGTCATTCGTATTAAAAAAATATTCTCTTAAAAGTACGATTAGAACTTAATGTTTTTACAAAGATAATTAATTATAATAATATTATTAAAATATAAAATTGAATGTTTCTAAATATATCTATCTTGTAGGATGCGGGAGCGGAACCATTTGCGGGAAGCTAGTAACACACAAAATTGAACCTTATGTACACATATTGTGTATTGTTTAGGCGATAGGGTCATAATGATAACGATATCTGTAGCTATGTTTGTTAAAAACGTTCCCAATATCGTTCTAATTACCTACGTTTAAACAAGTATTTATTAAGTACACATGGCTATGTAAATACTTGGCAGGCACGGCAATGGCGAGTCAGGTAATGGGTCGTTCATAACATATCTACTGTTTAAAAGTTCAGAATCAGTCACAGTGAAAATAATATTAATATTACTTCTACTGCAGTTTAAATCTATCATCGTTTTAACACACACATTGTTGACTTTGTAGTAGTTATCTAAAATCTAAAATTGCACCAGTATTGTTATTTTCATGTTGATAGCCATATGTCTAATTCCATTCGTCACCGTGGTACTTTCGTGACTCTATATGACACCCGAAAGATAATACACACAATAATAATCGTGTTGATAAATGCGGTTTTCTATAGGGGACTGTACTTCAACAGTTATTCAGTTTCAATCATTTATTTGAATCAAACAGAAATCTGCTGTCTGGCTTTGTAAATGTTCTGATCTAGATATTAGAGATGCCGAGTTTTCTTGTCATTTCCTTCAGTCATCGTGGGATTCGTACTTAATTTTGCACCCTATGTTTTACTGGATATGGAATCACGAGAATAGCCAGACTTTAGCTTAATTAAACAACACTATTAGCACAGTGTTGTATATTTGACTGTTTATTGGTAGTTTTTAGGTATCGTAGCAACTGTTTTACATGTTAAAAATACATAGCCGTAACTTCGCCACCGATCCATGTGAATTTGAAAAACCTATACTTGGCATGAATATGAAAAAAGAATTTAAAAAAATTAGAAAAATACTATTCTCTAATAAATTAATAAAAATAAATTTGCACAAGCGAAACCGATGTCTAAATCTAGTTACGTTTATGTAAACTCGCATATGTATCCTCGAGAGAGAGTAAATGAGAATCAAAGATGGCAAAATTAGCAGTACATTGAAAACTAGTTGCAGTTCAAATGTTCAGCTTTATCGAAAATAGGACACTTTAAACTAATTATATCAATATTGTGTATTAGAACAAAGAACCAGCATGGATGAAAGCGGCGCGGACAGCGCAGTTAACGGAGTTAGTGGCGACTAGTAGCCTTGGCTGGGACAGACAAGTAGGAGCCAGGGGCGGACAGCTTAGTGGCGGACAGAAACAGCGAGTTGCAATAGCCAGGGCAATCGTTAAGGTAAGACAACACAAGAATGTCTGATAAGAAAGTCATTAGTCTAGTCACGAGTACATTTTTTATGTTACGTTGTCTGACAGTTCTGAGTTTATCATTCTCGCCAAGAAGTTACCATACTTCTGAATAAGTGGAATTGATCTTGATTGCTGTTACTTAAATACATATACTTGGAGCTACTTGTCTCCTAATCATGGGAATTTAAAAATGATTGGTTTGAATGTATGAAATTAGTTTGAATTTAAGAAAAACATTAGTACAAGCATATCTGTAAATCATCAAGAAATGACGTAGTTCTCTGGGGCTGCCAAGTGGGAGAAAATTTAATAAAATATGATTAAATATTATTTTTGTTTCAGAACCCGAGAATTCTTATACTAGACGAAGCTACCTCAGCATTAGACACGTATTCTGAATATTTAGTGGATAAAGCTTTAAAAGAAATAAGTAAAGACCGGACGGTTCTTACCATAGCTCATCGACTAAGCACCATACAATCAGCTGACGAGGTCGCAGTCATGGAAAATGGCATTATAATTGAAAAGGGTCCTTACACAGATCTCATGGCAAAGCAGGACGGCTTCTTCCGTGAACTTATTACACACCAAACTTTTACAAAGAAAACAATTAAAAAAGACGTACATAAAACTTGAGACATTCATGCTTTAGCTAAATTAATATGTATGAAGATAGTTAAATTTAGTAGGAGTTGTTTGTTTTAAATTTTTAGTCTTTTTTACCAATTGGTTGATAGGATCCCTTTTTCAGATAAATATTTATGATAAAATGGTTGTGGGCTGTCAAGTCAAATCACTTTTTTAAACACACAATAACATGTATTAAATAACAATTATCTACTTTCAGTTTGATAAGATGACCAAGGAAAAAGAAAAAAAAGTGAAAAATATAATAAACACAACCGTTCATTATAAACATCTTTAAAACAATTTTCATTGTTTTGTTAAATAATTTATTACCTAAACCTATTGTGTATATTTTAGCAATATTTAATAGCATACGGGCTTTTTGTTAGGCAGTACGTATATTTATTCTTGTTAGGTAATACATAGCTTTATATCATTTTTAAAATAATGTCCATTGATTCCAATATTGTTTCCTGTCCTATTAATAGTGCACAGATATTAGAATATATTTTGTAAATAAATGTACCTATATATAAATTTTCCCCTATATTTTGTGATAAAAATAGGTGATAGTTAACATATTGAATTCATGATAGTTTTGAACAAAATATATGATAGTTACGGACTTAATAAGTATGTGTTCAAAATGTTAAAATACATGATTTGTTACATAATTTATTATATTATAACTGTAAGATTTAAATCATCAAGTGACTAACGGGTAAAGGAATATTTTTGTCCGACACAAATAAAATGGTTGTTGTTATTTTAAAACTGTATTTTATTCACTGCATCGACTCCATCGATTTTATACACTGCATGTATCGACTGCACGGATGGTGTAGTGGTTTAAGCGGTCGCCACGCCGCTTCCTACTGCGCCGAGTGTTGTGGGTTCAAACCCCACATGGAACGACACTTTGTGTGATCCACAAATTGTTGTTCTGAGTCTGGGTGTTCTTTGTGTCCGTTTCATATATGTTTGTAAAGTCCCCCGCGACACAGGAATGTATTCCTACTGCGGGAGTTGTCTTTTAAAAAAAGAAAAAAAAACCCTGGACAGAAAAAGTCACAGAAATCAAATAGCAACTAAAAGATCGGGCGCAGCTTCTCGAGTCGAATCGGGGTGTTAGTCCAGTGTTATAAAGCAAAATCTAATCAATCCATTTAGATCTAAGAAAGTTTTTCTTTATCTAAGGAGTAAATAAACTGGGATCTTTGTAAGTGTAAACAACCTGGCACCCGACAATCACCGCCTCAGCTGTCCTTTTACCCTTTTTTTCTGTGCAGAACTCCCTTCGGATACCACCCACTAGTGAGCTCTACTTGACTCGAACCGACCAAAAACCGCACGCTGTCTCCAGGTACCAGTAGCCGGGGAACCAGGTATACCCTAGAAAGGAAAGCCCTGGTACCCCGACGTACCTCGGGCCATCTACGGCTTATAGATGACCCCCCTGTCTAGGAACCCGGATGTTCCCATCCTGCCCCCGAAGTGCGTGCGCGCTCCGTAGCGGGTCGCGCCACCACGCACCCCGGCCTGCTTCTGCTAGAGTGACAGATGATCTCACCCGTCACCCTCAGGCCTGCGCTTATAAAGGTCCACGGCGTGCCCGAGCTGTCCTTTTACCCTGCATGCAAGCATTCCATACGCAATGGCGAATGGACTACTCAGTGACCACCTGCTTACCACCTATGGACCGCAAGTTTCCAACGCGTTTGTCTCGACAGTACCGTCGTGTTGCATATTTTATGCACCCAAAAAGCTCTCCTCTTTAGTCTCTCCTCAGTAGAACTGATAAAGATAATTAACCTATTCATATTCCATTCCATTATTTAACCATACGTAATTCGCCTGTTACCTACTTCTTCACGGCTTCAACTCGCTGCTCGCGCGTCCTAATTCCTGACCACAGTTTAACGAGTAGACACCGAACGACAAGGCAATGTTGGTCTGGTGACGGGTTGTTAAGTGAGTTTTTCAACTAACTAACAAATAACTTAGACATAGGTATTAAAGAATATTGTGCTCCTTTCTCAGAAAACCATAAGATTTTTTTTCTTAAAATCGTGGAATGATTCGAGGGAAAATCCTTGTCCTATTTCCCAAATTATAAGAATATTTCCTTTTACGAAGAAAAGCAGACTAAGACACCATCTGTGAAACTTTTAAATTACCTCGAGACCGTCTGTACTATATACCCAATGATATTTTATACGAACAAGAGGTAAATCGCGTTTTGTGCATTGGTGGCGTACCAATGCACAAAACGCGAGGGTCCTAATGAGGACCACTGCGAGCGAGCGCACGAACTAATAAATTCGAGAAAATTCACAAAATACCTTTCATGTATATTCTGAAAGTGCACAAATTATGACAAAAAGGTAAACAAAGATAAAGAAACATCACACCGCAGGTAAGTGTACCTACCTAATTACCTATGTCTTGTTCTAAATATTTTGTGCGTGCATTATGAATATAACGTATCTTCCTTAAAATATCATTGTATTTGTACCTAATTACAAAAATATACAGATATTTCATGTATTAGTTATTATCGTGTCTCATTCATTACTACAATGATAACAAGACCACTTTCGTCACACGTAACTCACTGTTTATTATGAGATTTTCACTACAGCCACAACAAACGGGTTAAATAAAGTAAATGGACCTTGCCCTCAGCGGGTACGGAGATCGCGCCAAAACGCTGCAAGTGAAGCAGCGAGTAACATTTACACGCCAACGCTGCGCGGGAAAACATTGTCAGAGAAAACATGTCTAATTTGAAAGTTTTGCGCGGGAATATTTCGCGGCAAATATTAAATTCGTTATCAGGTGTTAAAGAATGCAAGAAGTCTAAAATAAATAGTGTTTCATACAGTTGTATATCGAGTAGAAATTTAGCTACTCGAACAGCAACAGCTGTAGATTATAAACATTTAAATTCTCCATTGGGTGAGATACAGGTTGGGAATGAAAATTTAACTGAATTTGTGTTTTCGGACGTCGAATCATGGTTAGATGCCCCCTCAGTGGTGAGTATATCCTTATCACATATTACACGTGAGTGAGTGATTTAAAGTAAGTAGGTACAGAAATTATTGTTAAATTGGTTCACCCTATTTAAAAACGTTTTGCAAATAAAACTGTTTCCTGTTAACGGAAAAGTGTACTAAAAAGTAAAGTATAATAAAAAACATAGTTACCTTGTTATTTTTATATTCCCTACATACGAAGAACGAGTCTAAAGCAGTAGTAATTATGTCCAATTATATTGCAACGTATCAAATATGTGTGTAATGCATCGCCGTATTATTTCTAGTACAAAGTTCGTTATTCTATACGGATGTCATAGGAGTGATAGGGACTTATAAATAGTTCGGTCTCTATTTGAAGGTTAGGGCTAAATGTCTGCAGTGTGCCAAACATGCATCACAACAAATTTGGAAAACAAATATTGATAGGTTGATAATTACGCACCAACATAGCTCAGGTTTTTTGGCGATATGATATATCTTTTTAACCGACTTAAAAAAGGAGGAGGATCTCAATTCGTCGAAATCTTTGTTTTGATTGGATATTGTTACGTCACCTGTCAAATTAATTATTTAAATCAATTTTTCTAGTCAAAACATTGATATACGATTTACAAATGATTAACAGAGCATGAAGGCCGACGATAACTGACTAATAATTATGGATATTTTCATGATATGATACATGCACCTTAAATAATTTGTATCTGTATGTAATGTTTGTATTAGATACAGGTTTTTATCGACAATTAGTGTCTATCTTAATTCGTTTTTTTATTTGAGAAAAATGACTGTTCTTTAAACTAAACATAAGTTGATGTAAAACTAATTAAGTCAACAATACCTTCCCAAGTCCCTTGCAATAGACTTATATTTAATGGAACATCGTGTGGTATTAGTCGGTTCGATTCCGACGTACCACTTCATCGCAGTGGTTTAAACACCATAGAAAAAATAAACACTAATTGAGCTATGTTTTAAATGACCTTCAAAAAGTGCACCGATAACGCCCAAGATTTCATGTGGGGTTCCTTATGATTATTAATAGCAATGCTCATTAACGTATGGGAGTTAACAATCTATATTTGAGGATACCGGCTCCAAGTCGTAGTTACCACATCAGTAAAATAAATGGAAGAACCATATCATGGCTTGATATCACGTTTAGAAATGAACAATGTAACTCCTTCTAATATATAAACAAATAGGTGTGCATTTGTTATATTGATTACAGCATATGCACTTTACAAAGTAACTTCACTATCGACCTGTACATACTGTGATGTCTGTGATCATTCGTATATTATGATGAATAATATTTTGTTGTTTTAAGTAAGTGTTTTGTTTGCTTACATATCTATGTTTTTTAAAACCCGAGTGTAGAGTCAAGTGTCAAGTCAAATGACGAGGCCTGTCTTAGAATTTTTTATTTATTTAATCATATTGATTTACATATACGCGACCCTGCTCGCATTTTAAAGACGTGTATGGGCATTATGTTGTTTTTAATAAACTAGGCAGGTACATACATGCACGCAAGAGACAAAAAAAAAAGATTCCAATATCCTTTTTTTCCGAATTTTGATTTCAATTACCTAAAAAAGTAATTTAATATTGGCCAATAAATTGGTTTGATGATTATATGATTTTTTTTATGGTTGAGTTTTACATGTAAAAAAAGTATCGCAGTTATTGCGAACTGTGATAATACACTGTGACTAGTCAGTCAATCAATAAATAGATTTCTTCCATTCGATGAATGAAATTCAATTCCATTGGATTATAAAATAATGTAACATTTAATATTAGGGAATTTAAGGCATGTGCTAAAGCACTAAAATCGTGTATCGGCGGTTTGGGGGCTGTAATTTTTAAGCTATACCTACATGATTTACTGCCGGTCATCGATGATATCTCACAACAGTGTCGTAGGCTGGTAAAACAAAAACATTTTGATATTCAAAGTTTCGGCCGTGTTTTTCACTTGGGGAAACAAAATATAATAAGCTTCCACTGATATATGTATGCGTGCCAAATATTCAGTCTCGGGTGTTTATATTTCAATAACAAATGCTGGACTTTGAGCAGTTTTCTTTAATAAATGTTACATAACACGCGTATCTATAAATACAATGTAAAGTCCATTGACCTAAATTACTTAAATATTAGACGTGCGCCCTGAACTAGGTAGGTATGTTTTTACGTATTAATTTCTTTAGATATATGGTTGATAACCAAAACCAAATATCGCGTAATGTCATAGTAGGTACTTATCAGTTAAATCGACTTACCTTATGCTAGTAAGAACTAGTATGGGAGAACACACAGAGCTCGAAATTCGACTGTTATTTATCAAATCACTTTCAACATTTAGATTTCGTCAAAAGTAGAAGAAAAACATGTTTCAAATATTTTAATTTTTGAATTTGTTTCATATTGAGGTGAATCACTTCTTCACGTTATGGTGTAGCTAAATGAAACACTTAAAGTTCTAAGATGCCGAAGAAATAAACTTTTCAGCTATTAGTTACAATAATCCATATTTATTATAACTTTTTCATATATGTACAGCGCCGCTAAATACTAAGACCACTTTTCGGCCCTAAGAATTTGTGTGTTGATGTCATTGTGCGATTCAAAGTACTTATTATAAAATTTGAGTATTGAGATAGGTACTCGTCCACACGTAATACCTATGGCTTAAACTTTATTATTATTGAGAATTTTGGGGGGGGGGAGGGGAGGGCGGAGAGCTTCCAGTTATAACTCTTATAGCTTTGCGATGGTCTGTCGTGCAGTGTGAGCTCGGGCGTTGTTGTGGAGAAGCAATGGGGAAGAGCGATTTACCAGTCCTAGTTGTTGAATTGCGAGCTTAACCCTAATTGTTTATAATTCTTGGCAATAGAGATTTGCTGTTTGTCACTGCCATTCGGTATTCAGTTCAAAACTGAATCCTGTACTGTGTAAAATTCGATTCAGAATACCCTCGTTTCTATGAAGTAGTGCTATATTATTATATGCAAGCTTCAACGCGTAAGCCTCGCTGATGTTCGCTTAGTTCGTGTGGCGTGTAGCCACTTATCTAGCTTTTTTATTTTTCCGACTTGACGCAAGTGCTTGAATGTTGTTTTGACACTAACTCCAAGCCCCGCAGAGAGCTCAGCCGTATATTAAGTAGGATCTGCTTCCACTATCGCCTTCAATTCGTCGTTGTCGACTGCGATAGGCTGATGATGATAGTTTATTTGACCTACACAGCAAATAACGTACGTGCATAATTTCACGTTATTCTATCTTCGGTGTTAGTAGAGAGAGATGAAGTAATGAATTGGGAAGGTAAATTTTATTTAGCTCAAGGTAGCTCAACACAGTTTAAAATCTAGTTGACAACAAAAATATTTAATCAATATTAATAATATCACAATTAAGTAGCTCTTTTTTCATCATCATAATTTCAGACATATTACGTCCTCTTATATGTTACCAGGAGATTGGTCTGATAGGCCTTCATTCAACGTCTCTCTGCGATCTCAAGAAGGTCGTCTATCTGCTTCGTTGAGAGACTCGGCTAAGCTTCCCTGTCTGTAATCTCCTTGCGCGCCCGGGTCATATGCTTTGCTCTGTCGAAGCTCTGTTAAAATAAATAAAATAAACATACCTTACACATCTCACAAACTAGCAGAACCTGTGCATAGTAACCAGACTGCAGACAAACATACTTATAAATTTTTAAATACATGCATAATATAGATAAATTACACCCAGATACAGAACAAATGACCGTGCTCATCACACAATATTTGTCCTGGGTGGGACTCGAACCCAAGACTTACGGCTTAGCAGTCAGGGTCACTAACCACTGGACCAACAGGCCCGTCAAATAGCCTTTATTCTACTACCAATAATCGATAAATACACAAATTATTTTTATTATCCTATGAATAATATCTACAATCAATTTACTATAATTATTATTCTATTAACATTTCTATAAATTATCAATAAGAAACTTTAATTACATATTTAATTAATTACAATATTTAATACGTTTTAAGAATTTGAATTTCATATTCTGTCATTTCATTATAATTTAATATTTTTTACTTAACATTTCTATTTATTTTATCTTAGATAATAAAAAGATTATTATAGTGTTAAAAAACTATTAAGTTCATATATTTCCTAGGTAATAGTCGCCTCTTTATCGTAGGCCTCCCCTCTACACTGCTTTCTGTCCTTAGCTGTTCTCATCCAATCTGCTCCAACTCTTTATGTAAAGAACCAAGTGTTACTCAATGTACAAATTTTGTTATTCAGACGTGCGGTGCTTCCGGTCGTGGATACGACTTTGCTATGATGCACATGATGATCGGAAGATGCGCTGCTGCCTTGGCTGGGCACTTACGGTTAGCTCCTGGGGAGAGATTGGGCCTCATCCTGCCTAATATTCCCGAGTTTGTGGTTCTCATACATGGAGCTATGAAGGCTGGTCTTGTTGTGACTTTTGCCAATCCTTTGTATACGGCAGGTAAGGATTAGCAAATATTTAAAAAAAGGCTTGTATAAATGCATGTGTAGATATTAGATGAAGAATTTACTTGGTTAGTTATGTACAGCGATTTAAATGTACTACGAATTTTGTGTTTTGTTTAATTATATTAGTCAAAACGGGATCCCTACTTTGTATCTTTACTGAGCTTATGGTAATGGTGGCCTGGTGAAGCTTTCATCGAGAATAATATCAAAGGCAAAGGATAATGCGTGTTCTAGCGTAGTTCTTGACTAAGGTGTGCGGACGGCAGAACGATCTTCGTCCTCTATGAGTACTGGCTTGGTGCTAACGGTAAGGTTGCCCGTGACTCCAGCAGGAGCAGACCTGAGACGGTGACGCGACGAAAAAAAGGGTGTGGGGACAGGTTGTGAAAAAAGAATACCCTGTTATTTAACAACGTATAACGAACTTGCCGTTATGAGGACTCAGAATTGGTTCCGGACAACGCCTCTGTGCTTCATTCCTCTTATCTCGATTGGTGAAGGTCGTATACTTTGCTCACAACTAACGGTCTGCTTATCGTGCTGTTTTGGAGCTGTGTAACAAAGGCACATTCGTTGGGATCGAACTGAAGAGGGCATGGTCTCAAGTTTTATCTGATTGGGAATATGTACTTTTGTTAGCTCTTTTTGCTGTCCAGGTTTGCAAATTCAGCATCACATTGTTTTTTTTTGTGATGTAGGGGCAAATGAGTCACCTGATCGATACTACCGCCCAGGAATGCTTGCAACTCAGGAAACACACGCGCGTTGCCATTCTTTGAGGTGGTAGTATGCTCTTTTCTTGAAAGCTTGGAGGTCGTATCGGTCCGGAAATGAAACAGGCGACAAATTGTTCCGCATATTGGTTGTGCTAGCCAAGAAGTTTCTTGTAAGCGGCACAGTAGTGGCGTGCCAATTTTCCAAGTGAAGGATGTTTTGCCACGTGGAACATTAGGAATGCGTCGACCTTCTTTCTATTCACACCGCTGATCATCCATACAAAGAAATTGTGAATACCAGTCGTATTTTAGTAGTTTTGGAGACGTTTCGATTGAACTTTGGTCATTTAAATCCATCATCGGATATCCCTTTCGCATCCTCTGAGTTCTAATCATCGTACCCAAGTAGAACATGTATATGATGAACTTTAGGTCTGACAGAAGTCCATTATGCGAGACCTGGCAGCTGACCCTAATGACAATGGTCATTGTTTTGTACATTGAAGAACTAACATACTCGTTTTCATTCTCCACTATCTTTAACACTTCCATCTCTGATCCCGCAAAATAGCACGCGTCAAAGATCGAGCCAATAAAGGGGCGGGACCTCGACGTCTGCCCCAACCGTAACCATAAAGAACACACATTTTGTTCAAGCAGTAAACTTAACGCGCGTTTATATCCGACGCATGATTGACGCGGCGCGAACATCTACTACGTTGACGCGTTTTGATATGTTTTTTTTAAATATTATTTATACATTTTAAATAAAAGTCCTTATGGCATTTTTTACAATTCATTTCATATGATTCACGCAGTATTTATATATAAGTAAAATTACAATAAATTAACTGGATTTTACAGAGGAATAAAATACGATTTTCTGTTTTAACGAATGTCTGTCTTCGTAAATGAATTCGTTACCGGAAAATGGCTTGCCTTAGACATCATAATATTGAACTATCATTATATTTACTTACACTCTCCAAGTGTCAGATAATAATTATGAGATGACAATATAGTAAAAGTTGTTTATAAGAATTGTCAAAAACAAATTAGCTCCATAATTATAAAGCTACTTACTGCTATACCTATGTTTAATATATTTGCTAGGGCTTAGAATGAGATTTGATAATAAACATAAATAATATCCATTAATCGTTCAGTTTTACTCGATACATTGTGCAGTGAGGAATAGAAAATGAATGCAATAGATGCGCTGACTTGCGCTCTACTAACCAATTAACGATAGTTAATGGTTACTCAACACAACACAACATGATAAGGTCGAAGAAATCAGACAGATACCTAAACGTGCAACGTGCTTCATCATATCACATTTATTGCAATAGTTGCATAATTATAAGCAGTCTAAAGACCAGTATTATTCACTATGACGAACAAGACAACCAGCCCATTATTAGCTACAATACATTATTGGCACTTAGTTCATATCGGAACTATCGCTTGCCATATCTATTGTAAAACAACATTGTCAATTACTTCAGCGTCTCGAGATTTTTCGCTTTTTTTTTGTTTTACACAAACAAGTCTACCTTTCGCTTGAAACTTTCTCGGTTCCATTTTTTTAAAGGAAGGCGTGTATTTGTGCTAGTTGTATGTCCGTGGTCTTTCGTTGTTTATTAACTGTCATAAAAATTATTTGTAACCTTTTTTGAAATAATATTTGCCTTACCTTACCTTGTTCATTGATTTTATTTTATCAGCAACCTTTTGAACCTGAAGGTTATTTTATGACTTTTGACAGTGGTTTTATAGTTTGTTTATCTTTGTGAAGGTTGATCTATCTATCAAAGGTTTAATTAAGGCTTATTAACTTTTACATTTGTTAAAAATTATAAATATTAATCACCAAAAATAATACTGAGAAAATATCACATCATTACATCAACAGCCTTTAATAGTCCACTACTGGACATAAGCCTCTCCTTAGAAAGGAGGTTTTGGCCTATCATACCACGCAATAAACAACAAAACATAAACAACGAAAGACCACTTAGATAATCTTTCAGAAACATCGAAATTTTTACAAATACAGCTGTACTTCATAAATTCCAGATTTTTGATAAAATTCTTTTATGTATTAATTCTAATGTTTTAAAAAATAACTGGTCAGGTACCAGTTGAACTCGTGCGCCGAGGGTTCCGTACCTACCCAGATTTTACGTAGATTTTCGCGAAAATTTGTAAGTACCAAAATTTATCTTAATTTTCAACTTTTTTATGTTTTGCAAGTATTCCGTTATTTGTGCTGTAAGACGTTTGTTTTTGCCAAATTTCGTGATTCTGTGTCAACGGGAACTACTATATAGGTTTTCGACCCAAAATCTAGGGTACTTCCGGTTGACCTAAAATTGTCAATTTTGGTTAAAAGCTAGGTCTTACAGCACAGTAAAGAGAAAATTCTGAAAAATAAAAAAGTTAAAAAATTAAGGTAAATTTTGGTACTTGCAAGTTTTTGCGAAAATCTAAATTTGCCCATATCTTTTTATCGCGTTGACTCAGGACCTTGTGTGTCACCACCGATTTTCTCAGGAATGGGTAGACCTAGCAAGTTGAAATTTATACCAGATACTGAGGTCTATGGTCTCTATTAGGTGTATAAAAATCAAGGTCCTGAGTCAACACGATAAAAACATATGGGCAAATTTCAATTTTCGTGAAAACACAAGTACCAAAATTTACCTTAATTTTCAACACAAATAAAGGAAAATTTCCAAAAAATAAAAAAAAGTTTAAAATTAAGATAAATTTTGGTACTTACAAATTTTCGCGAAAATCTACGTAAAATCTGGGTAGGTACGGAACCCTCGGCGCACGAGTTCGCCTGGTACCTGACCGGTTTTTTTTTAACTTTTGGGGTACGGAACCCTCAAAATAATAATCATATTTAATTAAAAAAAAGTGAAATATATAATAAATTTTGCAGGGTATTTTAAATCTTGTGATTGTAGTACACATGTTGCTAGCTATATATTTTGTCCTTCATGATAACAGATCAGGGGCCTATTATTTAGCCTCAGTACCGGGTTCGAGACCCGATTCTAAAATTATAAGCTCAAAGTCGCTATGGTTTATATTTTAGACGAATTTTGTTATTTATTGGCTTGCGCCTTTTTTTATGTCTGATATTATTTGTTATTTGCAGAGGAAGTCAAACGTCAGTTTGCGGATTGCAATGTGAAGGCGATCGCTACGATCGAGCTGTTCATGCCTATCGCTCAGGAAGTTTGCAAGGCGCTTAAGGACTACAAAGGAACTATTTGGGTTGGCGGAGAAGATGACAAAGCTAATGGTAATTCATCTATTTATACATATTTGAAATAGAAAAAGATACTCAAATACTATGTTGATTAGGTATCAGATCTAAAATACCCGACAGTCAGTATTCGGGCCACTAAATCATTGTGAAATGTTTATAATTCTAGGTAATTCATACTAACCACTTACAATGTATGTAAACTGGTTTTATATCTTGTACGTTTGTGTGTGAAACTGCTAGTCTAGACATGGATAAAAGGTCAATATTCTCTATGTTTTAGATATAAGTAAATTGTGTGTATCAATTTATAGTTTGATACAGCAGTGAATACCTAGTCTACATTTCAGCCACTTGCAAAAACTCAATATGATAATACTACAGGATTAACTTACTTGGCGTTTCTGGTATACCTACTGTTATTTTATAAAACAAAATTAAATAACTTCTTTTCACCGAAGTTTTAAAATTCTTACGTTTTAAGAGGTTACTAATCTAATAACAATAAATTTATCAAACCCAGTTGTTGATAAAAAAGCTGCCATGCGTTGATTTCACGTGAGATTGCTTGAATTCTATTACAATACCTCGAGTTTTCGTGACTCGTCTCTCCTTAGAAAGGAGGTTTTGGCCTACTATACCACGCTGGCCAGACGTGTTGATATAGGGTTTGTTTCAAGTTTTCCTTCTCTTTGCAGTGCTGTTGTCCTGCGTAGTTTGCTCCCTTACTCGGCTCTTACAACACCCACTTGATGAATAGAGGTGGTGATATTCCGTATTCTTAATCCGTCACCACACAGATTAAGGTAAATACATATGTGGGTACAAATATTTAAAATTAGATGTGCGTCTAATCGTTTTTGTATTTTTTTTTGGTAATTATTACGCTACGAAATTTAAAAATATTATTACGACCCATATAATTTGCTAATAATTGGCTCATTGTTCCATTACTTGTGGAAGATTACGATAGTGAAATTAGATAGGTACTTATTTCAACATTATAATGTATCGTAAAATATATTAGAATAATGCTGATGTTCGTGTACTATACTGTAAATATTGTCCGGATGTGTGACAAGTTTAAATATATATACAATAGTTTTAGTTTCGTAAACGATGGCTCACCGTTGGACATTGTCTTTGAAGTTGACAATATCATGTTCACCTAACCGTAGCCTAGAATAGAAAATATACACACGATATTATTCCGAAATAGAAAGATTTTCCCGGATTGTCTAAATCGGTCCTGCCTTATCTTCGAGTAATCGGGTAATATTCATAAGAAAAAAGATTCCAAAGAACTTTTTTCTTCTTTGAAGTTGGGTAAGAATTGAATTGGGATTATGAAACAACCTCTATAATTAACTATAGTAACTCAACAAAGTTACTGCGTGAAAGTCTTGTAGTTTTTCAAAGAGTTGGAAAAACTGATTAGATTATTTTCTGTAGCTGTGCACTAGCAAGATTAAATAATGATACCCTCGGTAATAGCATAGCGCCTCCTTAAGGACTATTGAAGAACCTACGTCTTTCATATAATTTCGGTCCTGATTTTTTGTAAGATGACCTTAGACTGGAAGACCTTAAAAAACTACGATACCTATTTTCAGACGTATACGGACTACGGCCTTTGTTAATGGCTGATCACAAAGCAGATCTCCCAACAGTGAACGCTGACGAAGTTTGCCTAATTCCTTATTCCAGTGGCACTACAGGAATGCCTAAAGGTGTCATGTTGACCCATAAGAACTTGGTGTCTAATTTAAAACAGGTGTTGCACCCGAAGTTTATGAAATATGACGGAGAGAAAGGTAAATTGAAAATCTGATTTAAACATAATGATGTAAAATTTAGAGCATTTGGATTATTTCCTTTTAATATCATTTGTACACAACAACGGCTAAGATTGGCTTGATGTAACTCTTAAATGTACAAGGATTTCTTCATTTACCTATGTGAGCCATTTTGAATAAGTACTATTTTGGATCACTGATCATTTAATAGCTAACAGACTTGCCTTTGTATAAGTTTCTTATTTATGGGTAGATGTTATTTATATTCTGTGATATTATTAATTTACTATTTAAATTTGTGTAGTATTGAATTTATAATGTCTACAATAAACAGAATTTCCAGATCAACTAATTACGCAAGGGCGAACACGCATAGATAGGTGTCTCTTGAATTGCAAGTCTCAATTGGCAGCGGTTTTCACTTACCTTCAGGTCTGCTCGCTTGCCCCTTATAAATTTAATATTAATACATATATATGAACACTCTTCACCTTTGACATATTAATTGGATGTCTACCTACTACACAATAATGTATGAATCATGGCAGAAGTTGCGTTGGAATCCCATTATTATTCCACTCAGGCAAACAAATGAAATTATCATAATTTACTAATGATAGTAATTATTTTTTAGGTAAAGCTGAAGTCGTATTGACCGTGCCACCATTCTTCCACATCTACGGTTTCAATGCAATCCTCAATTACAATCTGACAATAGGCTCTCACTTAGTTACAATGCCAAGGTAATCACAATATAAATTATTTACGAAGCCAAAAATCGCTGACATGGCATAACGTGTCTATTTATGGTATCATTCGAAATAATAATTATTTTTGTGACAACATTAACAGTAGATATCTCATTTGATGCAACTCTGTATACATATAGTTGCATTCGTAGCTAACTAAACAAATAACTCAGTTAGTTATTTGTTAAACTAAACAAATAACTCAGTTAGTTATTTGTTAAACTAAACAAATAACTCAGTTAGTTATTTGTTAAGTCATTTAGCGCTAACTATGATGGACCAGCTTGTTGTCACTGCCTTATCAATTGCTCCATTAACGCAAAGGAGATCGTTTTACAGCTAAGGAGCTACGACTCAAAACTCTTCATAACACTATTGCTTGGCCCCTCGAGCCGTGAAATATCCATAAAATGCAATAAAATTTAAAAAGTGCTTCGATCCTGTAGTTAAAATAGTTGATCTTAATACAACATCACGATTTTACCTCACTCTGTCTCTCTCCTTTAGGTCCGGCGATGAAAGGCATAAAGTATAATGTTCTTTATTAGGACATTCCAATATTTTATAGACTTCAATAGTTTAGAAAGAAGATTAAGTCCCTTGTTGATAAAAACCTCACACATCTCATACACGGCAGTCTGATCCCAATCTAGGCAGAACCTGTGCTATGGTCGGACTCCTGATAAACTTGCTTCCTCATTTCTTAATACGAATTATAGATAAGTTACACTTAGACACAGAACAATCTGCACAATTATTTGTTCGCTCATCACACAATTATTTGTCTTGGGTGGGTATCAAACCCACGATCTGCGGCTTTGCAGTAAGGGTCACAAAGCAATAGACGAACAGGCAAAAATAATTAAGAGGATTTGCCCAACGTCATCGAAAATGATGCTTAGAATGAATACGTCCAAATTGCAGATTCACACCAGATGACTACATCAAATGCTTGGACGAGTACGAACCAACTACCTTATTCGTGGTGCCCTCTTTACTGGCATTCTTAGCGACGCATCCACATGTCAAGAAGGAACATTTGCAGTCCGTCGAGACTATCATGGTAGGAGCGGCCCCAACAACGGACAGTATGCTCGAGAAGTTCCTATTGAAGTGCGAGAAAACCAAGGATGAGATTAGACTGTTGCAAGGTTTGTTTTTTTTTTCATAAACTCTGAAGCCATCTTTTTTTTTAAACCGACTTCAAAAAAGAAGAGAAAGTTTTTAATTAAGCTGTTTGTTTATTTGTTTGTTATCTCAGAACTCCATCATTTATGAAAACCCGTTTTAATTCGAAAGGTTGTGCAGATTGGTCCCATTCAAATTTAAAGAAAAAGTCTATCTAATCTGTTAACGAATGAAGAATACAGTTTCTTACAAATCATCATGATGTAGAATAGGCGAATTACAGTCGCTGATACCTTTTAAAAATAATTATAGAAATTCTAAGATTAAATAAAAAAAATCTATGCTTATCCTTTCTGGACCATGGTAAATATACTTGCAATGGTACTAGAGTCATACATAAAAAGAAAAGCTTTGCATGTAGTCGCGGTTCTGAGATAGTGAATATGAATCTTTATAGAATGGTATACTAACAAGTTTAAAATTAGCTTAATTTAATAATCTACTTACTCCAAGTAAATGACTGCTCCGGTGAATTTCTTCACAATCAGTTGAGATTAGTTATTAGATGACGATTTATTATTTTGACCGTGACTACCATCTCTCTTCTGGCCCAAGCTTGTTTGTTATCGCATATTCTTGAATTCTGTTCAGTCAGTTAAGTTAAGTAAGTTAATAAATCATGCAAATTAAAAAGCACACATAAGACTTGAATTTAATTGACTCCTTTTTATGTTCTACCTAAAAAACATTGCTTGTGAAAAATAATAGTAATATTTGTTTTTGGGTGCCATGAGTCAGGAGTACGGATTCTAGGTCTACAAAATAAATATAATAATTAATACATACCTATACAGGAATTTTTATACCGGAAATTATTGAGATTATTTACATAATTTTATTTATCATAATTTTCAGGTTACGGTATGACCGAGAGCTCTCCTGTGACTCTGCTTACACCATACACTTACCCATACAGTAAAGTGGGCTCAGTAGGACAATTGGTACCCAGCACACAAGCAAAGATTGTATCTTTAACGACTGGTGAAATGTTGGGACCTCATAAATCTGGTGAGCTGTGGTTGAAAGGACCCCAAGTAAGTACCTATCAAAGATAACTAACTGATATCCTTCTAACATATTGAGCCTAGTGGTTCTAGTGGTTAGTGACCCTTACTGCTAAGTCGAAGGTCGTGGGTTCGATTTCCACCCAGGACTAGTAATTGTGTGTATATAATAAATGATAGTTCATTTGTTGTTTGGGTGTAATTCATCTATAATATGTATTTAGAAATATATATAGGTATGTTTATCAGCAGTCTGGTTACCATAACACAGGCACTTACTAGTTCGAGATCAGACGGCCACACGGCTGTGAGTTGTGTGAATCTATTATTATTATTATTATATTACACAACAATCCAAATATTCTATACTTATATTACCGTGGGAGAGCTGTACTTCAGCACATATAGCCGGGGCTCGACCGGAGTGAGTCCTCACAGAAAACCAGTTATATGCAGTTCTTTCGTTGTTTTTCAACGAGTGAGTGAGATTACCGGAGCCAACATCCGCCTTCCCCTGACTCTGAAGGAAGGGATTCAAAGAGCGGTAAGGCAACCTTGTGACTCTTGAGTTACAGGTGTTCGTGAGCGAAGGTAGTCACTTACCATTAGGTGACATTTGAAGATCTTTGACTGCCTCGGTGGCGAAGTGGTAGCGTATGCGACTGCTGTGCCGAGGTCTCGGGTTCAATTCCCGGGTAGGACCAAATGTTTGTAGGATCTGCAAATATCTGTTTCGGAGTTTGGGTGTTTCCTATGTATAATATGTATGTATTTACAAAAAAATATATATAAGTATTCTATCAGTCAATTTAGCTTTCATAGTACAAGCTCTGCTTAGTTTAAAACTAGATTGCGTTGTGTGTAAGATGTCCATAATATTATTATTTCACATCGATGCGCTCTCGACGGCGAGCGCGTTTAGCGTTGTGATTGGTGGAGATTTGAGTGCGGGCCAATCGTAGCGCCGAACGCTGTCACCGTGACGATCGAGTAGAAGTGAAGTAAAGTGGCACTTGGCCCTCAGGTGACTGGTGGAGATCTCATGAGCAAAAGTTTTGTTCTACATAGTAAAACAATGAAAATGAATACAGTGTTTTATAAATTAAAGTAATCTTTGCAAAATACTTGATTACTTACTAAGTATATAGAAACCCTATACCTGACTGTAGGTTTAATAATAATAATAATAATAATAATATATTTATTTCTTCTCTCACACAGAAAAATTATATTAATAAACTAGTAACAAAGTTATAGATTAATTTACATTACAAGAAGAATGCTAATCTGTGAGAGAGACTGGTATCCGTACTAGGTAAAACCTGTATTACAGATGACCAGCCTCTCCTGGCTCTAGACAAGTAGATGCAGCAAGTGAGATATTTTGTAAAGTGATTATACATGTGACATGAAATAAATGAATGAATGAATGTATATTCTCTAACCTGTAATATGACTAAAGATATCGGTTTATGGGTGTGTGTAAGAAGATATATGGAATGTAGGTGTTATAATGTGCATGTTTTATGCTGCGTGTGTAGGTGATTGTGTGTTGTGTGTGTGTATATATATGAGTGTGAGCGTGTGTATGTGTGTGTGTCTGTGTGTGTGTGTGGGTGTTTAACAGCAGGCAATTTAGATACCATAACTATAATCACTAAGATTTATTCATCAGATCTGTTATTGTTAACATAGTATTGTAGTTTAAAAAGTAAAGCACATTCTTATATTATTATCTGAAAGTTATCTTTACCCACCTACCGGAATATTTAGTTTTATGTTGAAAATATTTTTATACAAAATTTACATGACCAACGTTATTTCAGAATAACAACAGACATTAATTTCCAGGTGATGAAAGGCTACTGGAATAACGAAGCGGCTACTAAAGAGACGGTGGACAGTGACGGATGGCTACACACGGGCGACGTGGCGTACTACGACGAAGAACACTATTTCTACATCGTCGATCGCACTAAAGAACTCATTAAGGTTAAGGGTAATCAGGTACGCAGGCACACGTGTTGCTATAAATATAATCCTAGGTGCTTGCAAAACACTAACTGATAGTCTACTTCTTTAAGTGAGTTAGTTATATAGGAAATTCTTTTCGATTCGAGTCTAGTATTTTGTAGAGGTGCTTAAAAATGTCTAAGAATACGATAGCTATAATGTCCTACGAAGTCGCAGAGGGGCCGTTAAAGTCAGATGTCATGTCCTCAAGTTTAAACGCAAAATTTTATATAAAATTGTAACTGGTGTGGCTATAATTGGGTGGCAGTCGCCAAGGAATCTCAAAATTTTATTCTTTACCTTCTTTCTATTAGACAATAGAGCAATAAAAAATAAGCCATACATAGCGTACATCAACAGCCTTTACTAGTCCACTGCTGGACATATGCCTCTGCTTAGAAAGGAGGTTTTGGCCTACTATACCGCGCTGACGAGACGGGTTGGTATAGGGTCTGTTTCAAGTTTTTATTTTATTTGTAGTGCTGTTGTCCTGCGTAGTTTGCGCTCTTAGTCGGCCTCTCGGAAGTGTGAACTACACAATAGAACAGGAGGAGTATGGGACAGTTCTCCCTTCTGCCTTCCTGAGTATACCGGCTCTTACGACATCCATGGTACGAATAGCGGTGGTCACGCTCCTTATTCTTAATCTGTCACCACACGGACATTTATTTATTATTTATTTATACACATACACCGATAGCTAATTGGTGGACTCATGGTGGGTCCAAGCTGAGCTATGGCTTATTCAATTCTTGTAGTTATTGATTTATTTATTATTCATTCTAATTAATAGTTACCAATCCAGATTACACTACCATACATAAGTAAAAAGGACGTTATATTGATTTTCTTTATGGGAATGTGAAAAGAAATTAACGCAATTACGAAATGGTGTGAGAATATGATTGGTAGTACCTACTTAAAGCTAAGGGTTGTGCGCGGAGAGAATGGTGATTTGATTGAAAGAATACGTATAAATGTATACTGTTACTATATAAAAATGTTTACTGTATACATGACTACTGTTTTTATTGATTTGACTGTGAAAACTATGTGTTTCAAACTAACTCACGGCGTCTTAAATTGCCAGGTGTCACCGACAGAAATAGAGAGCGTCATCATGGAGCGGGCAGAAGTGGCGGACGTGGCTGTTGTAGGCGTCCCGCACCCCTTGGCGGGTGAAGTGCCCAAAGCGTTCGTCGTCCTCAAACCCAAACATAAACTCACAGAGAAAGACGTTTATGATTTAGTCGCGCAGAAGCTAACGAAATACAAACACCTTGAAGGAGGTGTGTTATTTTTGGACACGATACCGAGGAACGCGGCCGGCAAAATAATGCGAAACGAACTCAAAGTGCTCGGAGCGAAGAAAAATTAGTTGATTTGTAAATACATAAAATTAGGAGTATTATTTTAGTAATATATGACTATTGTGAGATGTATTAATGTAGATTAATAGAATCATGTTGTTATTTTGTAACTTAGATTAAGTTTTATTCCATGTAAATAGTTACTTGTTGTGATCGAAGAATAAAATATTTATTTTTAAATATTTTAATTCTTTATCTCTCATTAAAACTTTAAATCGTGGAGGTGCCGAAGTAATTTGGATAACTTGCCGGCACCGATGTCGTAGGTCTCATAAGATGTAACAACTGATTAACTACGTTAAACCCAAAGGAAATTGAATTGAAATACGTGGCCCGTCATGCTATACGTTTTTTTTGGAACGAATTTCCTTAAGGCGCGTTACACGCTCTGACCGGATGGCAGCAAGACCGAAAAATGTGCAACAAGACTTTATTCCGACACTTACTGCGGAACTTCGTTCCGACCGGGGGTCCATAGAACCCTCACGCAATTTTTTATAATGAAACGGTGAATGAAGTTATCTAGAATATTATATGTACTACGTTACGTACGTTATTTCAAAACAACGAGATCTACCTCTTGTTGCTTTCCGTCTAACTTAGCTTCAAATAATTAAATATGAGACACTACTCTTCCAGATGAAAACCAAAACCAGAACGGACGGACTGGACGGAACCAGATTCAGTTTGTCAACAGGGAGACGGCGGGAGTTTTCGGACATCTGACACAACGCCATCTAGTTTCAAACTAAGCAGAGCTTGTACTGTGAAAACTAGATTCACTGACTTATATACTTTTTTTGTAAATACATACATATTTTACATAGAAAACTCCCAAACAAATATTTGCAGATCATACAAATATTTGGTCTGACCCGGGAATCGAACCCGAGACCTTAGCACAGCAATCGCATACGCTACCACTACACCACTGAGGCAGCCAATAAAATTGCACTCGGCCCTCTGATGGTAAGTGACTACCTCCGCTAAAGAACACCTTGCCTCATCGCTTCGTTCAGAGTCAGGGAGAGGGCGTGTTTTGGCTCCGGTACTCAGTCCAGTACTATCTCAGTCACTCAGTGAAAAGCAACGAAAGAACTGCTTAACATCAGTTTTCTGTGATGCCGTGGTATCACTCCCGTCGAGCCTAGCCCATATGTGCCGAAGTATAGCTCTCCCACGGTATAGGCAGTCGAATTTACGGAGGGCTGTGTGTGCCTCCACCACCGACGCGTACATCTCAATGTGACCACGACCGCTCTGACAAAAGCGACACGACAGAGATTTTAATTTTATTAATTTTCATATACCCAGTGTCACTCTCACAATTAAGACGTATGCAACAACACTTCCCAAGCCAAAAGCTATCAAAGCATTTTGACTAGAGTGCTCAAGAAATTTACTTATATATACCTGAATAACATAACTCTCCTGCTGTTGCACTTGGATTATAAGATAGGGTGGATATCAATTTTCATGTACAAGTATCAGGTATAGTACTCACAAATGGAGATTTTCAAAAAGAGATCATGGATCACTTGGATTATAAGATAGGGTGGATATCAATTTTCATGTACAAGTATCATGTGTAGTACCTACTCACAAATGGAGATTTTCAAAAAGAGATCATAGCCCAAGGATTCATAAACGAAAGAACATCGCAAAACATTACTAAAACTTAATAATTTACAAATTCATTGTTTTATTTATTCCTCACATTTTACATCAATTACATAAAATAATACTTAGTGATAATCATTCATTTACAATCTTAATTACTGTTGAGACTTAACTGTGAAGCACTCATTTTATAGTTATATGTTTTCAGAGAAACAAACAAAGGTACTTTAAAAAAAAAAAGATTTTTTAGACTTACACGCAATTGTCCAGAGTGTTCACAATGCAGTACAAGTATGCAATTGATTTATTTTTCTACTATCAAATAACAGTCCAATATGAAATACTATAGCTATCAGAAAAAGTCATTTAGGTCTCAGTTTTGCTAGGTTCTACTTCAGAATTAACATTTTCAGATTTACTCTCTTCCTGTTTTTCTGGTTTTTGGATTTCCTCATCTTTCTCTTTTTCCAGAGTCTTAGGCTCATCTGCAGGTTGAGGTAGTTCTGACTTTACATCAGATATTGAGTAGTTATCAGATTCTATTATGACTTTAGGGGGATCTTCAGATGTTTTTTTAAGAGCTAGTTCCAAAGCTGGTTCTGGTTCTTTGACATTATTTTCTTCAAAAGTACTATCAGAAGGTGTATCTGATTGATTAGACTCCTCTTGGATTTCAATGTGCCTTTCATCTGTTTTAGGAGAATTACTATTTCCATCTGTATTGTCACTAGATGAGGAACTTTCTTCACTTGATGTAGACACTTCTGAAATATGTTTAACCTCAATCTCTTCCTTTATTGTAGAATCTGAGCTACTTTCGTCAATAGCAACAGATTGAGTTTCTATAACTGTCTTATCTTCTGGGTTAACTGATTCCTTTTCACGAGTTTCATTTGTTTCTTGAACTTTATCAGTACTTGCTTGCTCACTGAGTCTTTGTTCAGTCATTTCAGCATCATCAACTTTTATTTCTGGAATGATTATTGCAGGAGTGTTTGTTTCTGCCTTCATTTCTATGTCAGTTTTAATTTCTGTTGCCGTCTCTTTAGAACTTTTTGCTTCCACAGTCTTTTCTTTCTCTGTTGAAACCTGTGCCTGGGGATTAATATCAGCACTTGTTTTATTATCTGTTGGTTGTTCGTCAGTACCTATGTTTGGTTCTGGCGGTGTAACTGATTCATATTGAGCATTAATTTTATCTTGAGTATCCATTGCTGTATCTCGTTTCGCTTTTAATCGTGCTTCTATATCATCGACGGTAATATGAGAATCAGATGATCCTGGTTGTGGTTCAGATGTCTGCGCTTGCTCAGCATTATCCTTCCATGACATATCTTCCATTTCAACATCAACATTGTATTCCGAATTATTATCGGATCCGTTCACAATGGGTTCTATAGGTTCACCATTCTCTGGTTCCGAGTGACGCAGAATACCAGGCTCCCTGGTGCTGACAACTAAAATGTTCTTCTCAACGGCTCTCATAAATTTATCAACACGATTATACTGTTTACGTGGATATGTAAGTAATTCACAAATTCTTTGAACAGTAAAAGGAGCAGAGGCAAATGCATCGAGACGTTCCAACAGAGCATTCTTCATACTATCGTAATTGAATGGGTCCACGTTTGGATAAGGTGGAATTTCGATACCTGGAGATGTTTCATAGAAGTCTGTAATTACAGAAAGAAGCTTTTCTTTGAATAAAGGCCTTACTAGAGACCACTGATAAACAGGATCACCGGTACGGGCTACGTATGCTAAGTATTCGTTGAGCTCTTGTGGAATGGTTTTAGGTTTGCGTTTGGAGAAATCTTCCAAAAAGTTGAATATTTCTTCAGCATTCTCCATTTCAGCGAAGTGTCTCGTAAAATTTCTATTAATTTATTTCACTCTTGAGAAATCTAGGTAAACCACACTACACTATTAGTAGTATACAATCACAACCACAAACAAATCTGACACTTTTTAATTTTCCTTTACTACAGCATATAAAGAGCCATAGAGATCTCTATGTAAAAAGCACAGAATAACTTATTATGATAAATCAGGGCTGCCAGTAGACTCCTTTTTTTTTTCTCGGATACCACCTATCGGTGGCATGTCGGACTCGAACTGACTAAAACCGCACGCCGTCTCGGGTACTAATAGCCGGGGAACCAGGTATACCCTAGAAAGGAAGTCCCTGGTGCAGCCAGTAGACTCCTAGCTATCTTATTTTTTACTACTGAGTCTCAGAACAAAATATTTGGTGTTGTACTCATAGACATACAGAAGTTTTATTATAGTACGTACGTTATTTATAATTATTGAGGTTAAACTAATAGTTCTTCTAACTATTTATATACATTCTTGTTATTAATACTATTAACTTCAGTCCACCTGTGACTATGACCGAAATATTGAATGACCTAAAAGTTATACATATATTGAGATTTTGTAAATATATTGATGTTATAGATCCTGATTTTTATTATATATATTTTGATGTTATAGATATATTGTCACTTATAAATTGAGACTTTGGGATTTGGTCGAAACTAGTATTCTACATTTATTCACTGTTTAATTATTCATTTTGTTTTATTTATTTGTCATTTTAACCATAAAGCAATATAAAATGCGTACATTGAGTTTTCTAAGAATGCTGCCTCTAGGTTATGTATTATTAGCTGACCCGGCAAACGTTGTATTGCAAAACAAAAAAAAATAGGGATTTGTCACCTTTACCATTTAGGGGTATGAAAAATAGATGTTGGCCGATTCTCAGACCTACCCGATGTGCACACAAAATTTCATGAGAATCGGTCAAGCCTTTCGGAGGAGTACGGGAACGAACATTGTGACACGAGAATTTTATATATAAGATAATAACATAAAGGAAGAATTCTTGTTAAAAAAAATCCACAATACGATGATTCATTAGACATCAGAAGCATTTACACACATACACATTTAAAGCGCAAAGAAATCATGAAAGTTTTAAAACAAGTGTATATTTACCGTTTTTTTTTGTATTTACAGTGATCCCCCCTCATTCTATAGTTAATAGCTTTCGCATTTATTGAGTTCCGATTTGTATTTTTTTTTTCAAATTTGTCTTTTTTAACTTTAGCCATAAAAACAGGAGCAGGTTTCTAATAAATTTATAAAAGCACTTAAGACTTAATTCTTTAAATTCATTTCTATAACAGTTACAGATCAAGCATTATAAAATTTATTTTGTGTATTTTAAAATTATAACAGAGGATATACGCGGGGCTTGTGCTGTGATAATATTTTTTAATGAATAAAGATTAGTATTCTGTGGTGATACTTCTATAATATTCGGTTTTCACAATTTTTACTGACAGTGACAGTTAAAGTTTTAACAATTTGCTATTTCTGCAGTTATTTATTGCAAAGCGCAACAGTAGCCAAAAGTAAATGAATTAGGAACTCCGAGTAAAAATGAATAACTTGTTGAGAAGAACTATTTTTCCATCTTATAACAACACTTTAAAATTATGCAGATCCTTTGCCAATGTAGGGGTTCCAAAAGAGAAAATTGATACTTTGATCAAAAATAATAAAGTTGTAGTATTTATGAAAGGTGTTCCAGACGCTCCAAGATGTGGATTTAGTAATGCAGTAGTCCAAATAATGAGGATGCATGCGGTTCCCTATGACAGTCACGACGTCCTCTCTGATGAAAATCTAAGACAAGGTTAGTTTTAGTATCGACATGTTAAAAGTATTTGCAATTGAGTCGCGATTTAGATTAGATGTACGGAATTGTTGTGAAATCTTGAGAGAGTTGAGTTGAGAGTTATAAAACATGCGATGACTATATCAAATCACAGTTCATTATCTGCCATGTAATGTAGTAGTAGTACAAGATAGTGGAGACAAGCAACCGGATTTTGTTGACTGGTTATCCACTCTCCTTCAGAGTTAATTTTAGTTTGATCAGATGACTGATTTTTAAATCCCGTTAGGTGATAAGACACAGATTTGTAATTCTTTTTATTCCTAAATCTATACTGATGTGTATGATCTTCAGAACTAGTAAGAGGTGATCATAGTTACACAGACCAAACAGGTAGTAAAACCCTCCAGTAATGCCATAGTATACACACATTAATAACTCCTTGACTGCAGTCATTAAGGTTAAGATGATGATGTTTGTAACTATTTAGGTTCTAATAAGACCGATTCTCGTGCCATCCCTGTCTATGGGACAGTTTAAGTGAGTTATGTGCTAAACACTCACTGAAAATAATACAATGGTAAGGACATACCCTATGGGTTGCCATAGAGTATACATAATATGCACATAGTGTTCATGACTAGCAACCAGTGTGTCAAAATCTTAAATAACTACCAATAATATTTACCTATTTGTAACATAAATAGATTTTAAGTCTAAAATAAGTGGCACTATCATTCTATAGACTTATGAGGCATTTACATATTAATATATAGACATCTCTATTGTGACGTTTTAGAAAGTTAACCCAATATGTACGTAATTCGAAATATTGCATAGGTAGTGTTAATAGCAGGTGCCCGCTATGTTTTAGTGCATAGAAGGGTAATCTATTCTATTTAGCCTTCTGGAACGGTCATTTTAATTTCTGTTGGCACCTCATATAAAGTAACTCATAAAAAATTTGTAACTTATTGATTCCATATATCTAAAATGAAAACTCCGCCATCTAGGTGGCGGCCAATTATGATCTGAAGGTTCACTTCGGCATTCAATATGCATATAAAGTACCTCATAAAAAATTTGTAACTTATTGATTCCAAATATCTAAAATGAAAACTCCGCCATCTAGGTGGCGGCCAATTATGATCTGAAAGTTCACTTCGGCATTCAATATGTAAAATATTCATGTTTATCTGTGTATGATTGCTATAATTTTTTTTCTCAGGTATTAAAGATTACTCCAATTGGCCAACGATTCCACAAGTTTTCATTAATGGAGAGTTTGTAGGAGGTTGTGATATAATGCTACAGATGCATCAATCTGGTGAGCTTATTGAAGAACTCAAGAAAGTTGGTATAAAGAGTGCTTTATTAACAGCTGCTGAACAGTCTAAGGAAGAAAAGAAATGAAGCAATGAACCTCATTTTTGTTTTTCTAGGTTTAGTTTTCTTCATAGTTGTTGATAGCATAATTGATGATGTAATTTATGGTATTCTATTTTGTTATTATATTGTAGCATGTGTTGTTTGCGAATATTACTTACCTGTTACTATATATGGTAAATATCCCTCTTTATATATATAACTATTAAGATGTTTCAAATTGTACTCTCCAATTGTATGATTAAATATTTATTGGTAACATTGTTCTTGGATAAATTTGTTTTTATTACTAGTGCTTCTATTTAGTTGTCAGGCAGTTGTGCAAATAAAAAAAGTACTTTGTTTAAGAGCTTTTTATTAAATTAGCTGTACATTCGAGTTAGTATACTTTTGGGCACATAAGTCATTCTTATTCTAAATTCCGCTGCTGTCTCGCGTAACATAATTGGTTGGATTACAACACAGTCATTATTAAAAGACAAATATATGGCAGATCATTTATTCAGGGTACTTGTTCCAATACTCCCCAAACGATAAACATGAGAAATAAATAGATGCAGGCAAGCTATGGCAATCTATGATATAAATAATTTGTGTGACACTTCCCTGCAACATTTATAGTAAATTTAGAAAACTTAAAAATTATTGTGCCTACCATCATACTATAATTACTAATGGCAGTAAATAAAAATCGAACTTGTATAAATAATGTTTGCTTATAAATAAAAAAATATAACAAAAACATTCTCACAATGTGAATGAGTCTTATTTTGGTGTCACACATTAGTCAAGCCTAACATTAGCACCATTTTTATCTTACAAATATTTTTTTGTGACTTCTCCGAGAATTTCTTATAAAAGTTAAAAATACCTAATGCTAATGTATAAATAGGGTTGTAAACATATAAAATGATTTCTCTGATTTGAGCCAAAAGGTTACTAAACATTAGGAAAAGTTTTTATGGTATGAAAGTTAATGGCATTTTTGGTTTGAACATTGCACATAATATTTAATAAAGAACTGTTTTATAGACTAAAATACATCACAAAAATTGTTTGCTCCACATTGATCCTGGTTTAGGGCGATTTCTGAGAAATGGGTCAATGTAAGGGAAATAATCTTTGCGTGCCGAAACGTCGCCGCTGGAGTGCCGACTGAGTTGTTAGTCAGCTGCACGCCGTCTGGATTCTGTAACTCCTTGACCGTCGACATGGATGACAATTTCTTACATACGACATCTGTGACCCCGCATCTGATTAAAAAAGATTTTAGATTCTTTGTAAAAACAAAACAGACGAATCACTAAACCAATCAGTAACAGTAACAGTCCGGCAATGGCTTAAATTTTATTTTTTATTTTTATGCTACTGCTAAGGTAGTGGGTCTTTTTTTGTTAGGACTAATCCCACCCTGTACACCAGGATCCACAGCAGTGACCTACGAACACACCGAGTTATGACACTCGGGAAGTCCCAGGAAGAAATTAAACTGTCTTGGAACCCGCAACAAAATCAGAAGAAAATTGGAGGAGATGGAAATACAGTAAATCCACTTCCCTCCTTCGCAAAGCGGCAGACAAAATGAAGTAAAATGGGTGTATGCCACACCCTTTTAAACAGGGAAGCACCACGGCCACAAAATATTACGGGTAAGCTATATTTGATTTCTATAATAATATATGTATAGCAGAATCGCCTAAACACACGGCAATTCACCCTAGTTGACGCAAGATCCCCATAGTATATACTATAAGGTAGTGGCTACCTAAAGGTCGGTCTCGCCGTAGAGCGCGGTGGAGAAGGCCATGTAGTCGAGCGCGCCGGGCGGGGCGCCCGAGCCGCGGTAGGGCGGCATGCGCGCCACGCAGTACTCCGCCTGGTCCGGCGGCAGCTCGCGGCGGAGCTCGTCGGCAGTGATGTAGGGCTACGGACGTATCGTTCATTAGCATTCACGAATTACTAATCTCCAGAAATTACGTATAAATATAGTATTCACCTTGTCGCCGGCTAAGATCCTAAAGCTGTCGATGACTTGTTCGGCGGTGTCGGTGTCTGTAGATTCCCTCGTCATGAAGTCCAGGAACGCATCGAACGAAACGTAGCCTGCGAGTGAGTGTTAAATATACATGAGCGGTTCTAATTTTATCGGCCCCATTGTCGTCTACGAAAAAACGACCAGTATCACTTACCAGTGTTGTTGGGGTCGACTACGGCAAGTATGCGCTGGAAGTCGAGTTCTCCTTGTCTGTCCTTGCCGATACTGTAGCCCAGAGACACCAAGCAAGATTTATATTCCTCGGGTGCTAGGCGGCCTGAGAATTACCAATTTAATTTTTATAAATTCATTCTCTAATACCATTATTTTTTATGCATGGGTTTAATCATAGGCAAAAAAATCTTACCAGTGCGGTTTTTGTCGAAGTGGTTGAAAGAAGCGCGGAACTCTGTCAATTGTTCCTGAGTAATGCCCTTAGAGTCACGGGTCAAGATCTGGTTCTCGACTTCATTAATAGTGCGGTTGATAGAAGTAAGAAGTTGTTCCCATCCAACACGCAGAGTTTCCATTGTGTATTGCGAGTACCTGTAAAATGAAACTTGTTAGAATCATTTATGATTTGTTACTAAACAGTTTTAAATTTAAAAGCATAGAGTACTCGCCTATTCTCGAAGATCATTCCCTCCTGTACAGCCTGGTGGATGCGCTCGAGTTCCTCAATGTGAGGTTTGTAAGCGTAGACTCCAGTCTCGTATTCCTTGAGCCGGCGCAGTTGGTCTTCCAGAGAGCCCTGAAATACCAATATGAAGAATTACTTAGACGTCAATAAAGTAACTGTTTCTATTAATACGAACATTTATGTGTAATAAACATAACTGAACCTTTTTCTTCTAATTTATTATAAAAAAATATTTTTTACCTGCAGACCCATGCCGATGGCAGTGACTGCATCCATTTGCCTTTCGATCCACGGTCCGACGGCGTTAGCCTTCTCGGCGAATTGGCGCCTGAGGTTCTCGTTGTTCTGTTGCTTGCGCAGCTCTGCATTGAGCGTGCCGTCCCGCTGGGGCACCAACTGCCTCACGTCTGACCACTTGCGGTTCAGCTCGTGAGCAGTAAGAGTGGTGTAGGGATTCTCCAAACCTCCAGGGATCTGGTGTTGTTTCACGATAGACTCAACCTGGTGCACCAGGTTGACTATCGCCTGAAAAATGATTATACAATATTACTTCAATTCTAATGTCATTAAATATCCAAATTATTGAAAATCATTCTTACCTGATATTCCTTGTCCGCTTCCCCGAGGGTAGCCTTAAAGCGAGCGTGCGCATCCATGAGACCAGAGATTTCTTCAATGGTATGCACGATGAACATATCTACAAGGTCCTCTCGGGTTCCGTCCAACCTGGTGGCAGAATATAGTTTTATTATATACTATATTTTTACTTACATACTGCAGTTTAGAATCAGCTCTGATCGGTGAATTCAGATAATCGACTCTAAGCTCAAAATTTTGAATTACATACGCAAAAGGGCTAAATCTCCTTTTGCGTGGAAGGTAAAATCAAAGTTCGTCAGGCACAGTGAGTACATACCAGTTGTTGAAAGGTGCAGCGCGCTTAGCAAACTCGAGGTGGAGCAGGTCGATCTGCTCCAGCACGCGCTCGGCGTCGTCCAGCGCGTGGCGGCGGCGCTGCGTGAGCGCGCCGAGCCGGTCCCACTGCGAGCAGATGCGCTGGCACCGCGCATTCACTGACGCCACGTCGTGGTATTCCAGTGTGCTGACAAGTATTGGTGTTTCAAATTCAAATCTCACTTCACATCACATCGACGGCCTTAAATAGTCCACTGCGTGACGTAGGCCTCTCCTTAAAAGGAGGTTTTGGCCTACGATACCGGGCCAGACTCGTCAATATAGGGTTCGTGTCGAGTCTTCCTTCTCTTTGCAGTGCTGTTGTCCTGCGTACCTAGTTTGCTCCCTTAGTCGGCTCTTACGACACCAACGGGATGAATTGGGGCGGTGATACTCTGTATTCGTAATCCGTCGCCACACCGATTTATTTAAAACCTACTCAAAGTAAATGTCTTTGCGTACTTTTAAATTAACTTTTATGTATACCTGCGTATTTAATGGCAATATATATAAACTTTAGTTATAATATTCTGACCATAAATTATGCGAGAAAATACACCACTCGTGCTTTCTGACTTATTCTGCACCATTTTGTAACAAAAAATTAATGTGTTTGTATTCTATTAACCAATGTTTTATTTCTATTATAAACAATAAAAAAACATGTTTTCACGTTGGAAATAAAATTCATGGTTGTTTGACAAAACTGTGTTATAATGTCTTACTTGAGCTCCTGTGCGATGGCTGCAATCTGTTCAACACGATCCTGATGCGCAGCGAGGTCAGATTCAAAAGCTTCGTGTTTCTTTTTCAGAGCCTTGATATCATTCAGCTTGCACTGACGGAAGTCCTGAGACTGGAGCATCTCCTCTTTACCTAATAAATTTGTTTTCAAATTATGGATGCGGTCTTTTTATACATTCAAGATTATACCATACTTCTCAAGTTATGTCAGGTTTAGTGATGAGATTTTTTAGAAAAGTTCGTTATGTAATTTACCTCTGGTCCAGTCCTCGTGGATGTCGGCTTTGTGCTTGAACTTCTGTGCCAGGTAGTCAAGACGCTCAAGACGCATCATCTCGCTGAGAAGCCATTCTTCGAACGCTTTCTCAGCGATCTCCAGTCCCTTCCAGGCACCGGCGATGTCCTTAAAAATATAGAAAGATAATTATATTGCCGTTCATATATTTGCAGACACTATTTATATCAGATATACAGTAAAATCCCTTTAAGACGATTCAAAGCCAAAAACGTTTATACAATATTAAACATGAAACATATGAAATGAAATGAAAAATATGAAACATGTTACATTATAATGTACTAACTTGTGCCCGCGGCACCGCTCTCGGGTTTATCGGTTATAGCGGTAAAAAGTAGTCTATGTCCTTTCTCAAGAATCAAACTATCTATGGAAATAGTTTGTGTCTTGGTTCTTCTTAAATTAGGTATGGAGCAAATATCATCTGAATCGGTTCAGCAGTTATTGATTTCCCATACAAACTTCCACCCCCTTAAAGGATGATTTCTGGGATAAAAACTATCCAATGTTCTTTCCCGGGACTCAAACTATCTCTACCAAATTTCATCTAGAGCGGTTTCAGCGGTCTTAGCGTGAAGATGTAACAGACAGACAGACACACTTTCGCATTTATAATGCGAAAGCAACCTTTTTATTAATATTTTTCTTTATGCAAAGTGTGTTATTAGTCTGTAAGCCTTCTTAAAATAAAATAAATAAATAAGTCATAAACAAGAAATAGTATTATCGCGCGGGATACAAAAACATAAACGTATTTTTATTTTATGTTATAGCGAAGCAAACGAGCAGACGGATGACACGATAACTCAAAAGTCACAAGTGCCTTGCCGCCCTTTCAGTTTCTCCCCTCAGATTTCAGGGGGAGGGAGAGGGTTTGGGTTTTTGGGGCATACTCCCCTTTATCTTTGTCACTTAGGGTTTTTTTTGTGTTATTCACATCTTCAATAAGATTTCCGATTGAACGGATTTTCTATGCTGCACACTGTACCTACCCAAGGAAAGATATCTGAATATTCTCTGCGGAGAAAACCCCCAACTCCCTTTTTCGCTGCTAGATTTAACAGTCTTATGCAGATTTTGCTGCATGATAAACAGTATGAGAATATACCTTAAGTTGTAGAGCCTTTAGCCATGCTCGTAACACTTACAGAAACCATCTTGCCCTCGGTTGGCATGTAGGCGGGGCGGTTACTAAGACGGAGTTTGGTTTGGAGGGTGTTGAAGTTTGTTTCTAGCTTGGCCTTCTGCTCTACACGTGGCGGCTTGTGTTTACGCCTGAAACGTTTGCAAAAAAACAGCAATTGAATCTATCTATAACTTAAAGACTTAGGAAATAAGTAATGCCTTTAAGTCTATATTTTATACCTGTAAGTACGGTAATCTTCCAGCTTTTTCTGGCAACCGGCAAGAGAGTTGTCGGTTTGGCGGCTGTTCAGCCACGGCATAGTACGCCTTATCCAGTCCAACAGCTATGCAAATAATAAGTGTATAATTAGTAATTGATTCTATTAAAATGTCTATACTTAGTATTTATTTCATATTTGTTTACGCTTACATCACTGGCAAGACGTTCATACTCTTCCATGAGGCGTTCGTTCTCCTGGTTGACTTTGAGAACTTTGCAGATGCGGTTCGCGGCCGTCTCAGCCTGCAAAAATATATAATTTCGATCATCCGTGCTTTGTGAACATTTACACATGTAAACATGAAATAATTACTGAATGAACTGCAAACTCGGTTACTACTTTCTAAAATTGAGTTTTTTATAATGCAATGTAGAACGAGAATATGGCAATATTTTCTATTGGATTAGTAGGTGTAATTATTGAACAACACAAACCTTTTGAGCGCCAGAGAAGCAATGGTAGTATGAAGAGACGTATGTCATGACGGCACGCTCGTCTGGCATCGCCGTGTTCTGCAGATCTGACAAGCGGTACGCAAGCGACACGGTGTTAGTTGTCATGCGATGTACCATGAATTATTATTCTTTACAAGAATGCTTGTGTTTTGTTTTTAACTTTGATAGTTGCATTGACAGTTGAATACAAAAACATAACCATCATTACGATAATACTGAAAACATTAAATACCCGCATTGTCTTATCACAGTTAAAAATAGCAACTGAAACAGGAAAATGAAATACTTCGTTAAACGTATTTATTTAACTGCAAATAAACTAAAAGATGCTTTATATCAATTTCAGCGTGTTTAATGAAAGCAATTAACTAGAACACAAGCATACTTAGATTTATATCAATAAGTATAACATACACGGTAATGGTAGTTAACAACGTGAAGCTTGTAGTTGTTGATATTTCAATCGAATATCAGTTTATATTTTAATAAACAAGGATTTTGGGGTCTTCCTTTGAAATAATAATGTAGAAGGAATGTATAAACGTAATAAATCATTATTTATAATGCAGGATCCAATGAAATCCGGACGATAGTCATATAATTTATTCAAACTTTTGTAAGTTTGAATAAATTATATTAGTAACTCAATGTATTTGTAAATCACTGAAGTCCATAAAGCTTGCAAGAGACTGGAATTAGTGATAAATACGGTATGGTGACCGCAAATACCACTATAGTCATGTTACGACTTTAGCGATATGGTTATTTGGATTGTCGTCCGCATTCATCGATCTGCTGAACATAAAGCGAAAGGCACTCATCATGCTATAAGTTACACACAAAGGCCTGGCGTTAAGGGCTCGGGTATCAAACACGGAAGTTGGCGGTAACGCGTGGCGGCCATTTTATTTGTATTGTACCTGTTGCGCGCCTTGGAAGGCGTGGTAGTAACACGACACATAGGTCATAATGGCGCGCTCGTCCGGCTTTGGTGTGTTTATTAAGTCTGTAATATTCACATTACTTACATTTTTATCGGGTCTTACACATTTTTAAATTTCTACATAGTTCTTCACAGTACCTATCAGTCGATGTATACTCAACATTAATATTGAATAAACATTTTTCTTGAGAAATGCGTCGTCAAAATTATTAATAAAGTCAAAATTATGTTCTTCGATAAAGATGCAATGTTCATTAACTTCTTCTGAAGTATACGGAAAGCCATAAAAAATGACACCTTACCATCAGGGTCCAACATGCGGGGGATGTCGAGGTACTTTTCGGCCACATCGAAGGCCGTGTTCAAATTCTCCAGAGGATTATCCTTGGACAATTTACTATAATCGATGAGGTCTGGCCTGTGTCTGTGGATGAGGGCACAGAAGGCTAGACCGTCCTTGAATGATAGATGGAAGTTCTGGACATTGACGTTCTTGTATGGGGCTGTCTTGCGCTGACACCAGAGCAGCAGACCTTCCTGATATCACAGATACAAAAAAGTTTTAATCGAGAAAAAATTGATTATGTCGTAAATAAAATATATTTAATTAGGCTATGTTGTAGCTAACCTATGTGTGGAAAATCGATTACACCTAGTAAGTAATAAGATTTCGCTCTTTTATTTTAATCGGTGACTAATGCAGTTGTGAAAAAAAAGTAGGTAGCATGTAATTAGTGAGTTTACCTTGGCGGTCATTTCTTCCACTGAGATGTCCTGGATGGCAAATCGCAAAATGATGGTCCAGATCATACCGAGAGTCATCTTCAGGTTGCCGTCGACGATTTCTTCGGCACCGATGGACACCAATTTTACTCCTGAAAATAGATTAAAGGAACTTAGATATTGATACAAACGTGAACGGTAAAAATAGTGTGGGAGATTTAGATATACATTTAGTTTGACTTATAGCAGTCAAACTAAATGTATATCTAAATATATGGCATGGTTGCTAACATACAGCATACAAGAAATTCTTAAATAAACGTGACCTATGGGCATCATACTAACATACAATGGTTAGGTACTTTCATAAACCTACTGTCACATACAATATTGTGATGATTAGTCATAGCGCACCGAAGTATTTCTTGAATAATTTCTGGGAAACCGGACGGTGTCGAATGCCATTAAAATGTGATGGAGAATCATAATATCCTACTTTTGCTGCTTAGCACTAGTCTAAGTGGTGACAAAATAATATGGCATTAATAATGGTCAATTGGCAAATAGGAAACCTAGGAAGGTGAGTACTGCACAGGCTCACTGAACAACAAAATAGTAGGTATAGAAATTTACCTTAAATTTTTAGCTTTCTCTAAATGATTCCCTCGTCTGTATAGAACCCTAAAATGGTTGGTCTCTTGTGCAGAAAATGGGATCCTGTATCCTCGCGCTGGTTGGACGCATGTGTCAATATATAAATGTTACGAAACCTTCAAAACAATGTTGTAAAGAATCAGTTTTTTCTTTAAAAAAAAACTACAGCCTTATACGAAAATTTCATGCGTCTAAACCGATTTACAAAATACTTTGTCAAATCCGATTTAATTACTTCCTTGAAGCCTGCCCAAACGAATATAACGTACATTCTGGTAATGAAAAGTGTATCCCTTTAAGTTCATTTTTTATTTTAGGGATAGAAAGAAGTTGCAAATTCAATTTAAAGTTTAGTCCATATTCGAAATTACAGATTTTGGGATAAATTCTTTCTTCGTGAGACACGAAAATGTATTTTTTTTAAATGATGCAATTTAAAGAGTTCGTTAAAAATGTGAAAAGCAATTTAAATTTCCTGTAGTCTTTATTTTTAAGAAGTACATACCTAACCTGCCAGAGATAAATAAATATTTGACTTATAAGGAAAACTTTCTAAGTACTTTGGTGTATAGAATCGCGCCGAGGTTTATACACAAGAACATGTTGTGCTAGGAACCCTAGTTTTTAGATGTAGAATAAAGGTGACACTGCTGTTGTGTTTTATAACGACAACTTAACAGTTACCTACCGGCTATAACTGGTTGCAAACATTACGGACTTCCAAGTTTGGATGGAATAGAAATATTTTAGTATCATCGCTATTTTATTTAGCTTCGATTAATTATCTATACTATATTGGGCTGCAACGGTTATTTCTTAGAAGTCTTCGTGCAGGTCACAAAATAAAAAAAAGGAAAAATACTTCAATTACGTAGGTACGAAACCGGTGTAGCCAATATATTTAGAAAGAATTTAATACTTTTTATTTGTTATTAAATCAGTTCAGTAAATGTAAGGTCCATTTACTGCGATAATTTTATAAAAAATCAGCTAACTATTCTTAGAAAAAGTTAAAATATGTATGTTCGGGTTAAAAAAAAATACTTTTATAGATGTGGCCCGTTGCAAAATAATATGTGAGTTTGCTAGGCGTTTGGTTTCTATTGATTATCTATAGGGAAAAATTTAGAAATAACTACTTTACGATACGATATGTTGAGAGATATTCATAGACATATATTTTTAGTCGTTACGGTATTTACCGTATTTAACTATCTGCGTAACCTTTCGCATTTGCGTAAATTTGTAAGGTTTATTTCAGGTTAACGGAAATGTTTAACAGTAATTATATTTTTACCTTTGGATGCAATGAAGTCCAAGGCTTTGTTGACGTTAGCAATCTTGTGGAAACGCATTTTGCCACGATCGGGCTTTGGGAGGGTTTCGCCGGAGATGACCTCCAGCAGCAACATAAGTTTCAACCCATTGCGGAAATCTTCGTCGATATTTTCGATACCGGTACCGGCTTTTCTCAAGTGACTGTTGCACCATGCGGTGAAGGTCTGAAATTAAAAAATGTCAGGTTTAAAAAATTTTTGTTTTTCTGTAGAAAATAATTTAGTGTGTGAATGAATGAAATCAAGTGACTTCTTTGTAAACACACGAATAATAATTTAGCAAAGGGTTTAAGCCAATCAGTGCCTTAAGGTTAAGTAATTATTTTAATGTGTGACTGTAAATCAAGCGCATACGTTATATAGAGTCAGATGTGAGGAATTTCACTTTCAATTTCATAGTCGATGTTATCGGTCAAATCGTGGAACCAAATTTATTAAGCCAAAGTTGTTTTGCAAAAATTTGAACATTCTATTACTTACATAACAACGTTCGTATACTTTTCTCTTGGTTATATCATATAGTGCTTTGGAGGTTTAGGTCATTACATATAAATATAAATCATTTATATCTTAGTTACCCTAATATTCAAAGACTATAGTCAAACGTACAACACGGCGTTTTATATTAATTTGGTCTATAAAATAAAATCTAAAATACAATTTCGAACGTATCCGAGTAATGTTAATCAATACTGCAGTTGCACCGAGTTAGGGAGCAGCGGAGGGGTCCGACCCTCATGGTGCCAAATTTGCGAACTGTTATTAGCCAGCCCCCGCTTTCTGTTTGCAAATTTTGTGTCCCATAGCAATGTAAGTAGCTCTAGATTTGGTTGAAATAGTACTATTTTACGTATTTTAAACTGTACTTTCGTTAAAAATTATGCTCAGGTTGTTTAATATTCTGTAGCGTTCTTTGTACCTCTGCTTGTAGAATAATAACCATAAAATGGATCGGGTTTTATTTTCAAAAACGTCTTTAAGTGGACACAATCTAAACACATAGAATACTTAAATATTCGTGTCTCCCAATAAACGTTAGACGGCTATAACCGATATAATAGATCACGCAGTAGTTACCGTTACATAGATTATATCATTAGCCGACTATTGAAAACTTGGCCGAATAAACCTAATAATCCATTGTATTGGACGTTGAATAAGATCTGTAAGGCAATAATAGTTCACAAATGGCGTTCGTATGAAAACCCACAAACACGATTGGTTCCGGAGGCAGCGTCAAGGTCGAAACTGATAAATGTATTCAATACATTCAACAGACTGCGCAATCATGAGCTACAGTTAAACTGATGGTGACAATATAAATAACATGAATTCAAGCGGTTCATTTTAAGCACGCTAGCAATTTATTAAGTACTTTGATATGGTATTTTAAGATTAACAAAACTGTTGATGTAACTAGAAAACCATTAAATCCTATTGCTTAAATAGATATCTGCATGATAAAAGGCAATCGTGGATATAAATATTCTATTAATAAGCCATTTAACGGCAAGGTTTCGATGTAAATAAAGGTGTGTAAAGAATAAGCAAAAAATGCTACCTGTAAGCGCATTACAGCTCAAGGTTCGTGTTACAGAAATTTGATTCTTTCGTCGTCGGGGTTAAAAGTATTTTGCGATAAATATCAAGTGACATGGATATAAATATATCCATAGGTTGAATGCGAGGTTAGCAAAGATGCCATCACAACGGAACATTAAAAGTGACCGAACTGCATTCTGAGATCGTAATGTAACAGTATGAATCATCTTTGGGACTTGTATCTTGGCACAGGACAGAAAATAATAACATTCCACCTTCTACTGCAACATGACCTACGGGCATGCAGGTGAACGTATAGACTACAGACATAGGAAATAAAAAAATACGTAATAAACACAAGCCATAAATGGGAGAACACGTCACGTGTCGGAAGTAGTTTACAATAATATATTCTAAAGAAAGTTTCAAATATTGCACATTATCGATAATTTATGGAAGAAAACAAAACGTTGGAAACGAAAACATCGATTCAAAAAGATGTGCGAATCGTTAGCTATAGATGTGTCTATTTATATATTTATGTACATACATTTATATTTCAACTTAAAACTCTTTTACCTTTTACCAGATGAAATTTTAGTTATTTACAACATTGTCACGCAGGCCAAGCGACCTCGTGGAAACGGGAATATTAACGTCCCTGAGACAAAACACACATCGTGACCCAGAATATTAAAATAATCTAGCGTCACCTTGCAGCTACCATCACGGCCAGCGTGGATCTAAAATAAGGCACGCAGGTGCAGACAGTGGACTGTCTAAGATGCGTAGAATGAGAACTAGATACAACATCACTGAAGTGTTTCAATAATATTGTCGAATTGAAATGCAAGTTTTGAGAGAGATGTGTCAAATCTCGATGACAATATCGATCAATGGAATTCTTAAATACGGTACATACAAGTCAAAGCAGATATAAAGGACTGACAAATGATGTTCGCTATTAACGCGATAGTGTCATTTAATGTAGCAAATTACCAATGTCTTGTAATTCTACGAGGTCTAACATTATGCAAGACATTGAAAGGAATGGATGACACTTTAATAATCAAAGGAAGTAATTGAGCTCATTGGAATTGTTTCCAACAATACTTCTGTTAACATTGTTTTAAAAGGTCGTTTAAATGATATTGTCAAATTTCATTGATTAGCACATTTACATTCAAATTTCAATTTTCAATTTCAATCAACTCAATTGTTCTGTTTGTACTACGATTTTGAACGATAAAGAACATTCAAACTTTCATAAACTGTACAAGCAGGAATGCAGGTGCATTTAGAAGCTAGTTAGCATGTAATACTACTATTTCCAGAGCCCGTAATCCAATAACGAGCTTGCCTGACCTTACGACGCCTGTTGTTTTTACTCGTCCTCTATTTGTCTTTAGTAAATAACACATCTGTCATCTGTTTATGATTTATTAAAACTCCTATGCAGTGCCAAAGTGCTAGTATATGAGCAATTACGTGCCAGGTAAAGTGTGTTTGGCGTGATTTAGTATTTGCACCGTAAGCCGTTCATTCATCACTTTGCCTCGTTTGCCGCTTGAGTGCCATTGGCAGTTTTATTTATGAATTATTCCAATTAGGGTTGTTTATTCAGTTTTAATTCATGTTTTTTAAAATTATAATTAAAATTAATTTTGTAACTTAGTCAGAAGGAATTAGTAATATAAAACGATTAGTCCGCTATATTTGGCATGATAACATACCGATATTCAACATATCGATATGTAACTTTTGGTTAGAAAGCTAGATATCGATAAATATGAAAGTGAATATTTCAATAATTTAACTGAGATTGAAAAGGCGCCTATTGATATTGCTTTGAGTTATCGATTATAATATTAAGTCAAAAGGATTATCTTAATATTTAATTCAATAATAAAATCAAATGCCTAATTTCAAAAAAATGTTGTAGGTCTTGACTAGATATACTTCAAGATGTTTCAGACCTAACCAAGCGAACTTAAACAGAAATTACTGAAAACCTTTTTAAAATAGACGTTATGAGATCTTATCTGCTTCGCTCTCAAATAAAGGACAATTTAATACTTAAGATCATCGCTTGACAGCTTGAACAAAATGATATAATTTTGTTAAATATTCATGAAGACTATTTAATAAATAATAATGCAAGTGCAAAATCACATTCACATCATTTTAAATAATATCGATTTTACAAATCTGGGTAGATTCTGATGTAAATTTAGGCAAATGTAAGTATAATAGAATTTAAAGATTTTTTCTGCAATGTTGTGTTGTTTAAAATTAAATTACGTTTCAGAAAGAGTCCTTGTAACTACATTTAAATAAACTCAAGGAATGAATCGGGGATGCATTATGAATCTTCAAAATCTATCTTCAAGAGATAAATATTGAGTGTATGTTACTGCCAGTACACAACTCGAACCATAACCGAACGAGCATGCTTGGTATTAGACAATGCGTAAGACAGCGAAAATATTCACTGATTACGCTTCCAGAACTCAAAATTACTCTCACGGAGGTATGGAAGAATATTTCTCAACATTGTATAAGCAAACTTTATAAACAGTATGATAAATAAGCAAAGTAACAATAGCGCATATAGGTTTACACGAAGTACTGAAAGTTGTAGTAAGTACTAAAATTTAAAGAGAAATAGTGTTTTTCAAAAGTCTTTTTAAGATGAGCTATAACAAAATTTTAAGTGATAAATAAGTTTTATAATTTCAGTTAAAATGTTTTTTGAAACACAATTTATTTAGTTCAGCTAGAATTAGGAGGATTTTCAGGTATGTAATCCTGATTCCCTGTTGGGGAATATATTATCATTAGATTTTTTTAAATAAAAAATCATGCAGTAACTATCAATTGCAAATTACTAGTCGACCATACACTGGAATATATCATACACAAGAATGATCTAAGTAGGTGACGAGTGATTCAAGTAAGTTGTTTCACAAATTATAAAATAAGTAAAGCAATAAAGAAAGTATGTACTTAATTTGTAAGTTAGTGGCTAATAGTTTGTGCGGTTGGGCAATACGAACGAATTTAATGATCTGTTTTTACATCACTGTCTTTATTACATACATATATGCAATGTTACTATTTCAAATAAAATTACAATACTGTACTCTTTTAGGTTCGTTTTTCGTTCCACTTACATACAGAGCTATTTCGGTATAACGAAATTTCAATTTGTGTAAATTGTAAGACTTGCGTATGACATTGTGTAAGTCATCCTTACATAAATCTTAAACGAATTTAGCACATTTTTTGTTGCAAAAATTCCTAATTCTCATTTTGTAATATAAAGGTAACAAGGCGAACTTGTTAGTGATAGAATAGTTTATTATTACTAAAGATCGCCTAGTGTTCCAATTTCTATTATATGTCATTAAATTATAATACTATAACGATGAGCAGTATAACTGGTACTGGCGTTTCGATTATCTGTGCCTTGTCAAGTCAAAATATACGTCTAGAGAACGAGTATTATGTAGTCGTTTTCGAATAATTTTCCAAACTGATTTTATGTATTTTTATATAGTATGTGTAATACTTATTTAATGAATGATGTATTCCATATTCCTCCGTCCGGCAATTCTGAAAAT